ATTTTCTTTTTCATTTTTTTACTCTTGTGAGGTACTGCTCATGTAATGAGAGCTCTCTGTTTTTGTGTTGTGAAGCGAATGCAGGGTGGTGATGCATGCGTTCGTCCCGCCGCAAAATTATCCTCCATTCACTGAATCCAAGCATGTCCGTCCTCTTTCCGAGGCGACAAGTCTCGAGGCGGAGAGCACAGTACTCTTTGTGAGCGCCATCGCGGGCGAAAACGAGTCTTGATATGCTTTTTTCTTGCCGCTCCAAATCTAAATCGCGAATCACGGCAGAGTCAACCCAGAGTATGAGTCAGACAGCTCCTCTGCAAGGTAAGGTTCATCTAGCTTCCTCATCGAAACTCTCTCGCGCCGTAGCCGTAGACAAGAACAATTTGGTGCTGAAACAAGGTGTTTTTCATGTTTTGTTGGTATAGATTTGGTGTATGAGGAGTCCTCATCTGAGATGGGTTCATGTAAGTGGTGATGGAACATATGTATCGACTGGTTGTGCCGACTGGACGTACCAAGCACATTGCAACAATGGCTAGAGTTCATTCTCGTCTTGCCATCAAAGGTCTTGTATTGCGCTAGGTTCTATAGCGAGGCATGGCATGTGTGATGTGACGTCGTCTGTGTATCTGGTAGTGCATAAACAAGCTTCAATGGCAGACGCTACGCAAAGGCGTCTAAGTTACATCGCTCACCTCACTGGCCATCAGACGTTGGGACATAGCAGATGCCAGATACCAGCTTGGACAGCACATCTTCAAAAAGCGGGTAGCGACCAAGTATCCAACAATAGCTAACGCCTCGGCCTGCGCTCACGGTAACCAGTGTCTGCTTGGTATGCCTCGCTCTCGATGAGCCCCTAAACCCTGCAAAGTCGCATGAATCCAATATCTTCAACATCCATTCATCCCCAACGCCCAAGGTTGTCCGCCGCATTCACACCCCGCTAGAAAGGCAGACTTTCATCTTTCTGATCGCGCACAGATCCCACGTCCCACGTCCCACGTTCCCCCCTCTCTTCTTCTTTCTTGGCTTGCATGCTAATAATATTCATACCAGGGGTCCGGAGGAGGGCGAAACAGAGCAGAAAAGAAAACAAGAAGCTTACGATATGGGGCCGCACGCGCGCGCGCGCGTACCCAAAGCCGTTAGCTCCGGGCATGTACCTTTTTCCGAAAGATACATTTTTTCCCCTTTCCAAGGGGGGCGGGCCGTGGGGGAGGACCTGGCAGTGGCAGTGGCGTGGATTTGGCGTCAGCCTATTTCAATTTGTAAAAGCAGCCCACCACGCCAAGCCAGAACCGGGACGCCGGAGCTGTGCTATAAGAAACAACTTCTTGGCGTTTCCCTGCAGGTGCAAGGAAGTAGGCAGAACCGGGGTTGTGATTGGTGCTCTAGACGAGGGTGTGTCGTTTAGGATGTGTCGCCTTTATCGCACTCCCTCCTTCGAATCCACACGCACACGGGAGATGGGGGAGGGGGGGAGGGGGGGGTCGGGAACACTGGGAATAGGGTTGCCAGGCCCAGGTAGAGCCGGTGGTTGGTGGTGGCACGGGATGTGTGTTGGATGTGTGTCTCATGGCCACCTCTCGAAAGTGCTCTGTAAATGACAGCATCTCGGGGTATACAGACAAAAAAAAAAAAAAGGACTAAGAGCTACCGCCTCAACCGCAGTTGCAGCAGCATGCATGCTCCTTCTCGTACAATCTCTCGCCTGAAAGCAACCAAGCCAGTTCAGCGTCGCATTTGTGCCATGTGTTTTATCTAGCGGGGCCTTGCCACTACCCAGATGGTCCCTTTCTTGTCATCAGCGCTTCATTTCACCCGTTCTTGATACCTATCCATCTGGGCTAATTAATCCTCGTGCACCTTGAGAAAAGAAAAAACACCCACGCTCCACTACCATCTTGTATCTTAGTATTGTATCCTAGTCTTGGAATTGTCTGACAGATTGCCTCTTTGGTCTGATCATTACGTTCGAACTTGTCCGCAGAGAAGCCTCAGTACTTTGTTGTATCTTTGTTGAACGGTTGCTCGTCCGGACGCCGCGCACCCCACCGGCCGAGTCGGGACGCTGTTTCGGCCGGACACCTGACCGACAAACCACGAGGCACTCTAAACGCGGATGGCTGCGTCCTCTGTTCAAAGTAATCGGCCACCTCTAGTAGTAGAAAAGTTTTAAAAATGTAATAGGAGTGTTGCGTGAATTGCTATTTTTAATTTTTTTTTCTTTCATCTTCTTTTCCTTTTTTTTTGTACTGCTTTTGACTTGGTTGCTCTTGAACACGAAGTGACCAATCGCTAGCTCAAGCCTCGTCACAACATGTGCAGACGCAAGCTCCTCCAAGGAACCGATTTGCCGATCAACTCAACGAGAGAACAATGCTACGGACAAAAAAGGAATACGAAATCACCTCCACTTTCATTGCACGTGGTCGTCAACTGCATCTCACAAACACGACCGCATCGACCCTATGCAGAGCCCCGAGCCACTCCCTGCTCCCCGCAAACGACAGGCTATGCGGCCAGCTCGCAGCCTTGTTTCCCATTTCGCAATCGGCCATGGCCTAGAACCGAACCGTTGCATCTCTGGCACCAGAGTTTATGGCATTTCGACAGCCCGCCTTGGTCGATGCACCCGTGCAGGGGCTACAGAGCGGGAGTCTTGCTTGCAGGAGAGGGGGGGAGGGGGTGCGGTTGAGGCTATGCCCCGTCCCTTCTCCTTTATCAATTTAGACCAAGTCTCAAGTGTTCTAGAAGCTAGTGTCTATACATGACTTAGTATCAGCGACAAACACGTTTACTACCTGGCCGCCACTTGCAGCTTTGCCCGGCTACCGGTTCCCCGACCCGTTCTCGGGACCGAGTTCTATAGAAACAACCGAGTATAAGATTGTCTGTTTCATCCTATGGGGAGAAGATCGCCGCCTTGTGGTACCGATTGACGTCTTTAGAAATGTCTGGCCCGTCGTTGGCGACAATATCGGCATGGGACAATGCGCGCCTCGCAGCCTCCCTGAGCTGGCAAGCCACTCGCTCCCAGTGCACCGTGTTCCTGATAAACTCGCTTTGCTTCGGTGAGCATCGTAACTTTGGGCGGCAGAGTTTCGCTCTGATACAGAAACAGGCTAGGCGGCAGCTTTCCGCAGGGAATGCCGGGTTGGGCTGGTGGCGGAGGCGGAGGCGGGCGCTCAGACGAGCCGCCCCGTATGCTGCAGCCGCATGTCAGGGACTGGAAGCAGGGTGCAGGCTAATGCAGTATGAAAGTGACGTCTATTAGACAAGCTTGGTTCGTGTGCCGAGTTGAGATGCATTCGGTTGCTGCCAACGTCAGGAGGAAGAGACTCGGGGAGAAGCTTTGTGAGCTGAAGCACGACAACCTTTCTTGCCAGGAAATAAATGGTCATTTTTTTTTCGTAAACTGTGATATATTACAATAGTAAACAATAGATTGGAATAGAATACACGGTGCGAGGTCTCGTTCCATCAGCCTACCGACTTCCCATCTCAAGCCCACCGGGTCCGGGAGGGTTTCGACATAATTCATCACACTGTTGTTCGCAACAAGTTACTCTCCACTCCAACGCCTCCTCTCGCGGCGAAGCTCATCATCCCTCTTGAAATCCCCTCTCATGTATACCCATCCGCCCGCGACGGCGTTTGCGGCGCCAAGCCCGACGGCCGCGCCGCGGACGAGCCCGCGCGGGGTAAACTTGGCGCGTAGGCCCTGGGGGCGACGTAGAGCGAGCAGGGCGTAGAGGCCGGACCAGGCGGCGGTCAGGCCGGCACTGGCGGTAGTAAAGCCCGACAGGTTGAGGTACGAGGAGAAGAGTAGTGTCGGGGCGAAGAGGAAGAGCGGGAGGGGCTGCATGGGTCGAGCGTGTAGCGCGGTGACGAGCGTGGCAAGCAGGGAGGGCGGGAGCGAGGATTCTGTGAGGCAAGATTGCGTAAGCCAACGTTTAATACGGGGGATGAGGGGTTCATCAGAGCGAATGCGTCGTGGGCATTCAATGGGCGTGGGCAACCTATGGTCGCGTGGGACGGGAGGAGCTTTGATGGATGGGACGACGGGGGATCAGGCTGGGCTTTGGTACTTACTGCCCCAGTCGTCGATGCGTTGAAGGACGGTCTTTTCCGACGGGAGAGGACTGCCATCGTCGGATGCCATTGCGAGGGTTGCGACGCGTCAGGACAGGATTCCGAGCGACGAGGTAAAGGTGGTGCACCGGTTTGTTGAAGCTGGAAACTGGCGCAGAAAATTATGTCGTCACTGGGCAGGCCCAGTGGGCGAGCTGGGCCAATGAGCGGTAAGCATGAGCAGAAAGCGTTTTTGATGTACGGAATAACTGCATCGGAACTCGGTGAATGATGATCTTGACCACGAATGAAGGGACGGTTTTCAGTAAGGTATTATCAGGCTGCCATAATTCCGTCTTTCGTCTACGTTCCGATTACGAAAACAGTCGCGGGAGCTCGGTTTGCACACGCACGCACGCACGCAGGGAGCTGTCAAGCCACGAACCCACTCACTAGAGTCGGCAGCCGTTGAAGCCGACAGCTCTCGTCAGGCGGGGGTAGTAATTGGAGCATCAGGAGGTGACTACTGAAGAATGCGATGCAGGATGAATATGCGTCCAAGTCGTCATGCTGCAGAGGCAGTGGCCGGACGGGGAGCACGGAAACGACAAAGCCAAGTCATGCCAGCGAGCTAGTTAGCTGCGGGCAAAAGCACAGGGACCCCAGCACCCATGTACAGAGCCTGCTGCTGAGTACGAGCAGCTGTCAAAAAAAAGAAATGGTCGCAAAAAAAAAAGAGAAAAAAAAATATGGGCAATTGTGAGGGCGGAACAAAATATCTCGAGGTTTTCCCTGCAGTTCGAGCATATTGCTGCATCGTGGCTGCGAGCGCCCCCCATCATAATGTACGACGGCAAGCCGACAGCTGACGCACACGCCCCCTCTTCCTCTGCTCTCGAGTATCAGATAAATGGCCTGATGAGATGGTTTTTATATTATAGTGGAAAAGCTTGATTTGAAATTGTCCTGCAGTCACCAACGTCGAGACTAACGAAGAAGTGTGGCCAGACACATGCATCACCGACCCCCCGGATGACATATCGGTGGGTTCGCGAGCCAGGCCACGCCTTCTTGTACTGATGTGGTCAGATCGGCGAGAATGGAAGTCGCATAGATTGATTGATTGCTCAGCAATGACAAAGGCGTACACATCTATCCGTGACCGTTTGGCCCCTCTATGCGCCACGGCAACAAAAAAAAGCCACAGTTGAAGAGGCGTTTTCTAACTCGTAAGCTACTACTTACTACGAATGAGGACATGTATCCGTAGACCTCACCGAAACTGGCAGCCGCTCACCTGATAACTAGGTAGATGCATGGCTGGATGGGCTCGCTTTCTTCAATTTTATGCATCTGCTCCAGTGAAAAACCACAACAAGAAGCGGGCATAAGGCAAGGGCAGCAGCAATAATTTTTTTTTTGAAGCAATCTGCAAGTCTTCGCAAACGTGCCAATAAAAAAGCAGCGTCGGCAGCCTGGTCAGTCATCGGTTCCCACGCCATTTTCCAGGCACACACCCCTAGGTAGGTTGTTGCTCGAGCCACTCCCCTCTCACTCTTTTCCATGCGCGCCTTCAGCCGTAGCGGCCCATGCCGTACCTTTTGGGAAGTCGTGCAGAAAAACTACCGCTTCCAAATCGACAATAGATCAAAGTTACTCCAGAAATAGTGTGTCAATTCCGAAGCAGACGAACGAGGAGAAACTCTGCCCCGACTCTAATCTATCACGAGGGGGGGAGCCTCGTTTATGCTTTTCCCGCCGAGGTTCGTTTGGGTGGGCTTGCGGACATTTCCACAGGAAATAATGAATCAGGCACAAGGCCCACGGCGTATGACATTTTGCCCGGGGACAAGATAAAGGTGCGGACTTGTCTGCGCACGCCCACTAATAAATACCCCCAAATTCCAATACTCGTGCCTTTTGTCCTTGCCGCCCCCCCCCCCCCCCAGATCGAAAGACGTGGGATAAGCTTATCAGCAAGTTACCGCGCGCAGCCCTACCCCGCCGCGCCAAGATGAACAAGACCGTCTCACCCGAAAACTTGTTTTTTTATGCCATTCTTGTTCTTTTTTATGATTCATCTATAGTTAAACGAACAGCAAACGTGGCCAAGACGAGGGGCTGACTAGCAAAGGGGAAAAAAAGGCTGTAGATTGTCCCGCTCGTCTAGACGACCAATCAGCTTTCACAAAAGTCTGCATATTTTCAGTCTTGGCCACCCCGAAGAGGTAACTTCATCAGTCAATGTATCCTTCTTGTCTTACACTTCTGCAAGGTTGCACAAAATGTTTAACAAACGACAAGGCAGAAAGTGCAAAAAAGCATATATCATGTCTCGGCGACAGCCCCCGCCCCTCCGCCGCCACCACAGGGCGCCGGGATGCTTGTCCACGGGAACAGCCTTTTTTTTTTCTAGTCTCTCTGTCAAATCTGGGTGCCTAGCGAGTTTTCAGCCCTACTGATGCGTGAGGTGGCGAATCAATGGGCGGGCATCTGCAGCTGGGGCTTAAATATTAGCCCGCGCATGAATTGAGACGTACCATCTCGAGCACTTGATATCAGGGTATGCGGCTGGCCGTTATTTAGGAGAGCTCGAACTTATTCGCAATGATTACCATGAAAACTTCAAAGATACCATCTTGAGATTGTTACTTTGTCCTTGTTCCATCGTACTAGACAAGTCTGCACCCGTGATACCATTTGAAGATACGGTCTCGTCGAAACACCCCCCTCCGACCGTTTGAAATAGACGGGTGTCGTTGCAACAACGATCGCCATCTCATTCGCTCGTTTATAGCGGGGAATGTCTTTGAATAGCCATCATTCCCAATCCATCCACGTCCCTAGTCGGTGCTGCCTCGCCCGTACCACCGTGCGCCGCTCACCCTCGCCTTGCCAGAAGTGTCCGGGGCGGCTTTAGCCCAAGGTACGGAGTGCAAGTACCCGTACGGCCCCGACAGCATCGGCCTCCGCCGAGGGGATCTCATCTGACCGCCTTAGCTGTCATTTAGCCTTTGCTTGCTGCCTATTCGCACACTTGGCATACTCTTATTTTAGCTCAATGGAGACTCCCCATTTTCATTGGTTTCAGCCGCTGGCTAGTGTCCGTCCCTACTGCCCTCATGTCGTATAATGCAATGGCAGATCGGCGCTGGGCGGCGCGCCCAGAGTGATACAGCTGTGCTCGTCTGCTTGGCCACACTCAGTATGTCTGGTCAGCCATTCCATGTACGACTTTCTAATAACCCTTTATCGTTTACTGCTTTTGGGCGCCTATTGTGCTGCCTAGTTTACGTAGTCATCGACTATGTCATCTCATGCACCAAGTAGGACGGCAGTTATTACAGAACCGGCTTGCATGTGTGGAGAAGTCTTACACATACATGCACCTGCATCCGGTGGCTGTCGACTATACGGATATCGAGGGAGTGAATGGGAATTGTGTCTGATTTTTGTCCGGCCAGTCTATACTATGTAGCAATCCCGTAAAATGGTCTGCCAAGTCGCTGCCAGCTCTACCACTAACTAGCAAAGATGATCATTGCAGCAGCAAGAGATTTTGATGAATATAAAAGCCCACACTAAAGCAAGACCGCAACTCCGCGTTTAAAAAAAAACCAAATGCTTGCCACAATAATTCGAATACATTCTTGTGAATGGAAAAATAAGGGGAGTGAACATGTAAAGCATCGTGACATCCTGTCGTTGCATAGTCGCGTATATATATATTTCGGCCCATCTAGCGATGATAGGGCCAAACATCAGCGCCGGCAGTCTGCAGGCTGGCGTAGGCCTGGAACTGCATGTACTCGTCGGGAGGTGTCAGGATGGGAAACGCGTGCGGATTTGATACGGTCGAATTGAAGGAGCTACTACTCATCCCCGCTGTGCAGTTCGGGTCGCGCTGGTACATGGCCGGCCAAACAGCGCCCGATTGGTACCCGCAGTCATGGTACGGCATCGTGTACGGAATGTGCTCTGGTTGTTGTTGTTGCTGGTGGTGATGCTGAGCCATGATCAAAGCGTCAGCGGAGTCGTAGGGGCTCGCGAGACTGGTCGATGCAAAGCCGCCGCTCTCTTCAATGGTATCAAAGGAAGCAGCCAGGCTGTAGGGGCTGCCGGCGACCGAAGGTGCGGTTGATGCACGAGGCGAGTATAGCTCGATGTCGGGCTCCGTCGAGGAGCGGGATGGGGCCGACGAGGAGCAGATTGACTTGCGCCGAGACTGGGTGCCCTTTCGGACGCGATGCGGCTGCTGCTGCTGTTGCTGCTGACTTGTCTGTGTGCTTCGTCGCGAGGGCGAGCCCGCGTTGCTGGTGGGTCGACTCAGCGTCGTCTCATCGCCGCCGTCGGTTGAGCAGCGGCTGCCCCTCTTGCCCCGGCGGGAGCATCGGGCCTCGCTGCGATTGTACACGCAAGAATGGGCGCTGGAGATGCAGCGGTCGCAACCGTCTTTTTCACCGCTGCATTTCAACTGAAAGAGAAAAGTAATGTTAGTTTGACTAGATGGCTTCACAATAAAACCGAGGGCAAGCAAACGGGTAGGTCAAGATGTTTTTTTTTTTTTTTGGCAGCTGGCAACGACCTGCAGGGCCCGTCGGGCCGTCCAGCTCGAAACTTCAAACAGACATCTGCAGGATACAACTTGGGTGGGATGCTCTACCTTTTTCTCGTGGCAGCGGTCGCAGGCTTGATGTTGACTCGATCGAGCAGAGATGGGATCATATGCGAGACGAATATTTTGTACCTCTGCCGTGTCGCGGTCGTACTTCCAGGTTGCAAACATGTTTCCGTCGTGGGGTAGAAACCCGGTATGTGACTGTGTAGTATCCGGGCGTCGAGTCACTGAGGTTCTGTCGCCACTAACGTCTCTACAGATTCTAGAAAAAGAAGACCGGGACGATCGAATTTATAAAGAACAGTTGTGAAGATTTAAGCTGGTTGGAATGGGGGTCTTTTTCAACAATGGAGACGGGAACAGCTTATATACCAAAGTCGTCATCTCTCTCCCCTCTAGACGACCCTAGGCAGGCAGATTGGGGGCCGGCATTGATGTGGGGGAACGGAAAGAAGCAGGCAAAGAATAAAAGAGCAGCAACCACGAGGACGAGGAGGGCGTGTATGTATTACGCCCCCCCTTTCCAAATCGCGCTGCCAGCCCTGCCGTTGCAAATAGGCGGCCGACGACGGACAATGTACCTCCAGACTCAAGGTACCCGCCAAGAGATTTCGTTTAAGGTGGGCGCGCTTACAGAAATCTGGCGTTGCCTTCTCCACACAACCCACTCACAAGGTTGAAGCGGTTGAGATTGTCACTGAGAGTGTTGAAGCTAACAACAATCCTTGGCGTGCCCTGGGCCCAAGGCTGTCACTGTCCCCAAAGTAAGCCAACCAAGTCACGCAGACCCCAGTCATCGTTCGTTCAACTAATGCAAAGCCAAAACTAGCTGCGTCACGGCCTACCAGTACTGAGAGTCGCCTACCGGCAGTGGACTAACCCTGACTCAGAGTCTTGGAGTGGCTTCCTCGCCCTGTCGGGATATCGTCGCGTCCGCTCACGACCGCGGCTTTTCCGCTGCCTTGCTGGTGTGGACTTGGGGCAAAAACAAAAAAAAAAGAAAAGAACAATCAGAAACCCTGGCGGACTGTTTTTTGCCTTGACCCCTGAGCACGAAAGGCCTCGGCAATTTCTCCAGAATCCCCGACAAATCCTTCGCCCATCGGTCGCTGTCGGTGGCTGTCGGTAGATGTCGGTATATGAGGGTAACCGTCCGATTTACACCCACCCACTGCAAAGCCAAATGGCAAGGCCAGATGCGGGCGCCTTGAGATTGCCATGAACCACGACTTCACGCTTTTTGAATTAACAATGTACAGCCGATAATGCAAACAATTTTACGTTTCCTGCCCATTTCAGAAGTCTTTGCTCCGAGACCAAGCACGCTGTCGCTAATCCAGAGCAGATGCCTCAAGAACAGCAAAATGACATTACGGAGTATCAGCACCTTCAACAGTGGGGGCGGGAGCCTCAGCTGAAGTGCCTCCTTTCACAGGGGGAGCCAGCACTGCCAGAACACACCATATTCATTAGTGCACGCCCAAAGCTTGTCCCATCCAAGCTGCATTGGCTGAGCAAGGGGAACCGCCAATGCTTTTTGTTCCTATTAATAATGGACCCCCAGAGACTCCATAACGGTATTGCCTTTACGACAGCCTGCCGGCTCCTGAATAGCCCAGCCTGGAGGGTTTAGTGCGATTCTTGGGCTCCCTTGGCTTCGTCGTCAGCCTGTTGAGCCTTCGGCCCACCTGTTATCGAGACGAAAATAAGAGCGGCCCCAGATCTTCTGCCCAATTTCCGTTTCTCTGGCGCCACATCATGAGGGGCGACGGAGAGAATCGATGCCTCGCCTCGTTTTTATATCTCGGCGATTTAACGCACATGATGATATTACCAAGGCCTCCCAGAACCAATCCGTGCAACAGAGGGCAAGCTCTCCACGGATCAGGTCGCGCGTATCGCGCGGAGCTATCCACAGTTCGGGTACAGAGACCATTTGCCTACGGATATGTACTGGTCAATTAAGCATGTACGTACACCACGAACCCACGTTTTTGGGGGTTACTTGAAGTCCGCCGGTGGAGCCTCCTGCATAATTTCCCTGCTCGAAGCCACGCATGCTCAATGATGAATACTGAGTAATCAAAGAGATCAACCAGGGAACAGTGCACAACTGCAGCTCAGCACTGCCGACTTTAGAAAGCCACATCATTTGGGAAACTGGGGCCTTGCGCCAATCGTAAGCAACTGCATAGACTACTGTTTCTAATAACGATCTTTTGTTCTAGATTGGCGGCCAAACTAGTTCACGCTTTCGGGGCCGAACCATGAGGCCGATTATGCGGACCGCATCTCCACAAAGAGCCGCCCTCAACTCAACAACATGATGTAACATGTGCTCTGTACAGAACAACAGCCCATGGGCAGTGGGCAAAAGAGGGGGGGGAGAATTAGCTTGATTGAGGTTGTTAGCCTCTGCCCGGGCGAGCCCACAGTAAGAGCTACAAACCAACTTGCTCTCTGAATGCTTGAAAAGGCCTTCTGCCTGGCGTTGAGTTTTGGCATTTGCCGATGTTCTTTATTTCGGACTTCTACCAACTTGAATGGCATCTATTCATACGTGCCACCACACGCAGCTATTCGGTTGGTGTATGAGGGTGAAACCTACTTCACTACCAGTGCCCAACTGCATCTTTTACTTTTGGCAAGGCAGTCTCGAGGCCAGTCCGCGCGGACCAGACTGATTCATTCAAAATTAACTAGCTCTAAAACACCAACATCCAGTCAGGTCCAGTTGATTCAAAGGCGCTCGCCTCAAGGTCAGAGAATACGAGAATGTGTACGCTTTCTAGCTAAGCCGCGTGACGTTTTGATGAGGCTGTTTGCGATCATCTACAGAGCTTGCGTTTGCTCGTCAGAATCCATCAGCATTCAATCGCTCAAGCCTCGTCCAAGAGCTAGCACTAGTTGAGGCTCAAGCTTTGTCCCTTGAGAAAGCAAAGTGGTTGCTCGTTCTAGATTGCTATCCATTTCTCATTTACCAGGCCAGGAACCCACAGAGGTGGCTTCTGAGCCTGATTAGGGGACGGGCGCAGACGACGAAAGCCCAAGCAGCCTACCAGCAGTAGCATTCTGACCGCCTATCTCTTAAGTCGAGGTATACGGCATCATCCGCCAGCGCTGCCACCGAAATTGAGCAGTTCAGAGGCTCACTGTCGCCATCTAGCCAATGGACGCGCACCTCTTGCACGTAGGCGTCGGTGACTAGCCGCGCAATCACGTCCTCAGTCGCCGCACCAACATTCACCCGCACACAGTAGCTTGGCTGGTACTGGTGGCGCCGCGCGGAGGAGGAAGACGAGTCCACCTCGGTTGCCACGCGGCCCTCCTCCTTCTCCTCCATCTTCTCCTCCCCCCGCTGGCGGCGGATCGGGCGGGGGACCGGCCCCGACACGTTTCCTCCACGTCATAGCATCTGTGGCGGCGGTCATGGCTGCGAGGCTGTGCTCACGCCTCTGCTTGCTGCTGCAGCCGCAGCTGCACGCCCTCTCCGGGCGGTCCTGGCGGCGGGGGCCAAGGCCGTGGTAAGGTACGTACCGTACGTAGGTGGTGGGCGTGTTGCGAAATTCACGCCTCTCGAGGCGGTCCCTCGCCGTCTCGGACCGAGAAGCCGGTCTCGACGGTAATGGTGCATTTAGGTTCAAACGATCACACTTCGAGGACGAGGCTTTATCGCTAATTCATCTGTTCTATATCGTAGCTGCCGAAAATGGGTGTTTGGCTGAAGATTTCGCACAGAAGTGAACGCAGAAGCCGTGAATGCAGTGTAAGCAGTTGCGACTATATACCGAACTCGAAAGCAGTCGGTTCGTCCTGGAGAAACGGCTTGTTATGAAGAAAAAATAGTCTTCAAATTTTTGACTCTTTTGGAGCAATGTGTGATTTCATTGCATTGCGTTGCACTCGCCGATCCAAGCTTATTGCTCCAAGAGGTTGCTCCAAGAGGCGGCGAAGCTCAAAGAACCCCTCCCGCAGAACGGGGTCACACACCAAGCCCTGGCCGATATGCAGACCCGATTGGCACTGCAGCATGCCAGAAACTGGATACGACGATGGCTAGCTGGGTTGATTATTTGGTGATCGCACTGAGCTGTCGGCCTACACAAAACGCCACGTGATGGCCATGCTTGTCAGCGTACCAGTATCCAGTATCCAGTATCAAAGTCCAGTAAAGGGGGAAGGGGTGACAAGACAAGAGGACAATTTGTTGTCGTGGAAGCACTGTCTTCAGTATACTATTCTCAACCATAGAAACGAGGCTAGAAAAGGATTCTTTGCTGTGTGTGTCTGAGTATCTCGGCAGCCTATCATATGCTCCCTGACAAATTCTGGTTCAAATTTGACCTTGCGCCTTTGTGGGAAAGCCCGTCTGTTTTGTCTGCATATTAGTAACCTGCTTCAAAGGTCGCTGTGCGTGCCGCCTCAGGTTGATCAATGATGGAATTTTGCCCATCTACATGCGTCGTCGCGACTTTCCCGACAGGAGCCTTGCGTTCTAGCATTTAAGCTGGCATGCCGCGCTGGAGGCAATCGAAGAGGAAGCGACTCGCGAGGCGACCGGAGTACTAAAACGGAAGAGGTTGCCATTTCCGGCACGCAGATGATGTTGGAGTTGACGGTGACACCGTACGTCGAGATGCAAGAGATGAGAAGTCAAACATCGAAACAGTACAAAATTACCAATAGCCTCCGCAAGTAGATTGAGGGGATAAGAACGAGACTTGGTGAAGCGGAAGACGAACTTGAACAATCAGACGGCCTGTACTAGTCCACGACCTCCCCACGCCGAGATTGCGTAAGCACTACCTGAAAGCCGCCCAAGTAAGAAATGCTATCTACTGCACAGTCTGGAAAATGATGACAAGGAGAAGCGTACTTTTGAGAAGAAGAGCGCCAAGCGCGTCGGCAGAAACGATGACAGCAATGCGGACGCCAGCGACTCGGCCAGTCCCAAGCGCAAGGCATTTAGAGGCTTCCAGAAGCCGTTTTACCTGAGCGAGAGTCCTTTCTGTGTTCGTGAGCGTAGCATAGGGATGTGCAGTGAAACTCGAGCGCGAAAGGCTGCCATGGTGCTTGGCGAACATAATGTGCGGCCACCAAAGCAAAGAGTGCAATCAAGAGAGCGAATGATAGTAGAACGTGTTGAAAGACTAATACGATGGCTTCTTGCAACCTTTTCTTCTCGCCTTACGAAGGTGCTCATGGTGGTGCACGAGGCTGGTATGTGCCAGCATCTCAATCAAATTGACTCTTTGTGATCATAAGAGGTGATGGGCAATGTAGTTAATGATCGCCTCAATGCTACGTAATACAATAGAACAGTTCAATACATCTACATGCCTGCTTCATTTTCCTTCTGCTTGTCCTCTTCTTCGGCCTCGCCTTTGCTCTGCTGCTGCTGCTGCTGCTTGCAAATGATACCACATCCCGCAACAGGGAGGCAGGAGCAGTTCATGCGACAGAGATTCATGACAGACTGAACATCGCCGTTATCATTGCACCTAGATCTTCCATTGCGACAGTTTCGCCTTGCTTCTTCGGTATAGCAGTACATGCTGAATCTGATTGCTGGCTTCTCGGGGTCGTTGGTAGGCGCTGACGACACTAGAGAACAGACAGAGAGGGCACCTGAGAGAATGTAGGATGACTAAATTGCAGAAAAGCTTCATTTTAGCATTTCTTTTCTTTTTGAGCGTCGTCTATCTTACCTTCATTGTTGTTAAGACACTGTTGTTCCGGTTGAGGGTACTGTCAATTGCATATGAGCTGAGCGAAGCGACTGCCCAACTTATTTGTTGTACTTGGAGACTTAGATATTAATTCATATTCAAGACTTGGAGGGTATTTATCCTGTATTGAAGAGCACAAATACAACAAGCACGCCGAGTCAATGTATATCATGGCTTCTACAAAAGTGCCAATAAACCACGCCACGAAAGAGTTGGCAGAGCAGTCAGGAGCAGCGTTACACATAAGCATAAAATCATCATCAATTCAATATGTTTGACACACTATCAAGTCAAAGGTAGAACTTGTGAACAGCTCAAGCCACAACTGCAGCCTGCAGCGGACAGCATCTGCTGAAAAGGGCGAAACGGATCGCGGAGGTTCGTTTTCTGCACGGCCAGACAGCCAGTCGCCCGGTGGCACATCGATTTATTGGCCGAGTAGATGGTCTAGAACCTCTGTCAATTTGTAGGCGCACTGAGATCAAGTGTTGGTGCCCGGTGGCTGATGAGCAAACGAACAACCCCGCACGTGTACGCCAAGGCCGCCGAGAGAAGCAACGAGAAGCACCAAGCCAGGTATATTGAACTCGCTGTGCTATGCTTACGAGGCAAGCTACTCAGAACACTGTTGCGAGTTTTTTTTTTGTGAAGCATTCATTCGAGCAAGGAACACGGCCATTCGTCCAGCAAACCTATTCAAGGAGATTCTACATACCCAAGATGACAGACGTGCCTTTGCAAAGCGAAGGCGGAGGGGTGCCAGACCGAGGCGCTTCACAGAGCTTCCACAGCCCTGCTGCAACTGCTGACGATGACGTCAATGACACCAACGATTCGCTCGTATATCAGGCCTGGACGCAGAGCGGCTTCCCCATTGTTGACGGAAAATATATTGACAACGGCGCGCTCAGGGACGCCGACCCCGACGAGGCCGTCGTGTCAGGACCACCCGCGCTGGATTTGTACTGGCACAACCGCTCTCTCGGTCCAGAGCCGGGACTGTTCCGTGGCGTTGCAGCTGCTGGGTTTGTCAATGTGACAGAGTACATTGTGAGACTCGGCAGCTTCCTCGCTGAGACCAAGGGCGCTTGCAAGATTCGGGCATTGAATACGACTCTCTACTCAGTCAATGTCATTGTGACTACAAACTTATCTCAGGCGGAAATGATGCAGTATCTCCAAAAGCATGGGTTGGCGCCCGCATGGTAGCTGCGTTTCGCTCTGGCGATGGCACAGAGAAAATTTGTCGCTGCTTGACCATCAAGAACCATCTGCTTTATTTCTATGAAATGAAAGGAGTTTGTCTGACTAGTGTGGTGTGAAGAAGTTTTAAGTGAATAGTTATCGAGATGCGTGGTAATATAAATGACTTGCCAAGCACGAGGCAGGTATATAACGCACGGATGCCGTCGCTTTTTCACTTGCGCATATTGACCCAAAGACTGTAATATACACCTGACCAGTTTGTCATGACGAACAGCTATATGCCACAGTGGAATCGTGGTTTATGCTCGTACTAAGTTCAAATGCCTCATCTTTTACCAGTTGGCGTGGCGAAACCATTCCGAAGCTACTGCTGCTACGCCAGCTCTCTGGTCAGGTTAAACCGAACTTGGGGCCGCAGGTTCCGAGTCAGAGGTAAAAGTCGTGGGCAAAGGTGAGGGCAAGAGGATCGCCCGCAAGTAGAAAAAGGATATCTACGCAACGGTTGCTTTGGTAAGCATTGTCGAGGCTTTGTAAATTTGCTCCCGAGTCACCCCCAAGCGACTTTATGGTTTCGCACGTGCGCAGCTTGGCGGTCCTTCAGTTTGTCAACTGTGTGTGACTCGCTCCTGCTCTCGTTCAATACCCTAGAATGTCGCGGCCGCAATATAGTTTGTGTGCACAATTGGTTACTAATCCGCTCCTGATCTCGCTCATCACCCTCGGGTGTCGATCACAGCCCCCTTGTGCATCATCTGAACGACTACGGACAATGCTGGCCGACACAGAACTGCACTATTGCTTCTCGAAGGGGGAAGGAGGGGGGGGGCAGAAAAAAAAAACAGCCGCTCATCACTCATTCATCAATCTCGTGTTCTTGCTCACAGCTACGCACCAGAAGAAGCTAATAAATGATTTCAAGGATCAATTAGGGTAGAGGTTTACTCGTTATAGAGTCTACGCTTATTTTGTTCATATATTGAACTAGCTTGTCGTTAAAGAAGCGGCACTTAGAAGTGAGCCGCCTTCTTAAAGCCGATCGTTTTGTACATCCCCGACATGCCTTTGTGTTGCCAAGTCTTTCCAAACTTTCCAGACAGTTCCAAACAAAGACTTCCATGGGTCGCCACTTTATTAGACGAGAGTTGATGCGGTCGCACCGTGTGCCGTACTGTTCAAGGCCCTTGTCGGGGACGAGACACGCATGACTAGCAAACACAAGCAAGCAGCCCCAACTTGCGCGTTACTTCCAGGGGCCCGTCAGAGATGTCCTTGTCTACGCGTGAAGAATGCCGCATCGGAAGGCATGGAACACGGAAACAGGTCCAATGCATTAGATACGGATTAGTGAGCCTACGTTCCTCCTTTCTTTGCACTATTACCCATCGTGGAGTCATATCAAGAGACAATGACGGCTGATTCGTCATTTTGTGACGGCATGCTCGAGGAACTTGTTGTGCGACATCATGAATCAAGTATTCCATGAATCGTCACTTAACCTTGATGTTCTGCCGGAATTAAGTAGTGGTTATCAATCAAGAATGGCCATCGTCAGTTTTATGCACGGCAGTCTCGACCACAGCCTCACAAGCAGCATGGGCTGACCAGCTTAAAAGACGCGCCAAGCTGACAATGCGTCTCTTCCCAGGAGCACGGCATATCAGAAGCGCAGCAGGCACGGCTCTATTTTCAGGGGCACGACGTCGTAATGGCGGGTAATCGACAGACGGAAGGGATTAAGCTTTGGATCTCACGGACCTGCCGCCCGCTATGAAACTAATGGGGCTATAGTCCACAAGTCATTCCTCGACGCCTGAAACATTGCCTCGCTGAGCCGATGTTTTTTCTTTTTACTTGGTCGCTATGTTTAGCTCGCATGCCTGGCTCGCATGCCTGGCTCGCATGTCTGGCTCGCATGTCTGGCTCGCTTTCTGACGCTGTTCGTTGTTTGCTGTTTGCTGCGACACCAGGTTACCGAACAGTGCGGATTGAAAGAGAAGGGCCACCTTGGATTCGTGATGATGGAATCATCAGCCTAGCGAAGGACTAGATGAACTTTGCCCCTCTCGGTCAAGGAGGCTTGGACGTCTGAGAGGAGTTTGGGAGGATCCCGTGGAGACTGGCAAATCCAAAAAGGGCAGCCGAAACAAGACTGGGCTCTGAGCCCCTTTTCTGCCTCAGGCACCAAGGCATCACCCCTTTCGAAAGAACCACCGTGTCCTGAATGATAAAGAGGCAGCGCATCCACCCCTTTCGCCATCGTCCAGCTCTTCATCCATCCGTCACAAGCCTCTTTTGTTTCCATTCCCGGGGTGCAACGACCTTTGAACACTTGTCCTTTTCGAGTCCCACTGCATTTTCGCAATCCCAGCAGTGACTCATCATCGCCACATATTGCCTAGCCCATGGTTGAGTCACTCCTTATAGTGATTGCCTGACATTGCACCGCCAGTAGGCAGCTACATACTACATTTAGCACGCTTTTCTGCCCTCTGCTTGACGTCAAAGGCTTTTGCTGCATTATTCAAAAAGTGGTCACCGGACATTTGTGCCCACTGCAAATTGCTCCAGTCTCACTCGAAAACCAACCCACAAACACAGCATCACAACCATGGCTTTGCAACAATCACAACAAGTCTCGCCCGCCGAGTCTCTCCTCTCGGCACCAAGTGACAACTATACATCGCTCTTCGCTGAGTCGAGCACCCCGGATCACAACCTTACCATGGACCCCATGGAGATGATGACGCCCCAATCATATGCCTGCGATAGATCGGACAGGCTATCACCCGTCGCCGAAGACGGGACTGAAATCAAGACGGAAGATCAAGATACAAACGACAAGAGGCCTGCCAAGAAGCGCAAGTCCTGGGGCCAGGTTCTTCCCGAGCCCAAGACCAACTTGCCTCCCCGCAAGCGAGCCAAGACCGATGACGAAAAGGAGCAGCGCCGCGTCGAGCGAGTTCTTCGTAATCGCCGCGCCGCGCAGTCCTCCCGCGAGCGCAAAAGGCTCGAGGTCGAAGCCCTTGAGCAGCGTAATCAGGAACTTGAGGCGCTCCTTATCAACGCTCAAAAAGCCAACCTTATTCTCGCCGAGGAGCTCGACCGATTCCGCCGCGACTCTGGTGTTGTTACACGCACCTCATCACCCTTGGACTCGCTTCGCGATAACCAAATTACTCTATCTCCCGAGCTCTTTAGCTCGCAAGACGGTCACACCGCCGACGCCAAGTTGGCCAATGGGCTTGTTGATGAACTTCTCATGACAGCCAACCCTACTGTTGACCCCGTTGCTCTCTCTCCCGAGCTCGGCCCAAAGAAGGAGGCTAGCATCGAGTCCGCAACCACGGAACAGACTGAGACCACCTCTCCCGACCTGACACAATATCCTGCTGAGATGTTGTCTGACCTGCAGTGTCACATGTCGGCGGAGGTGCCCCGGCCGTTCCAGCAGTCGCAGACTCCGATGTCGCCTCGTTTGGCCTGGACGCTACAGCTCAGGATGCTGCTCCTTTCAGCATCAGCGATGATTTCGGCGTGTCAACGGCCGCTGACACAGATCGCTATCTCCTCGAAAGCGGGCTTTTCGCTTCTCCCAACTCCTCAACTTTTGACGACGATTATATGGTTGGTGACTCTTCCTCCAGCTTCGCGGATCAACCACTCGAGCTCTTCGACATCAACGACTTTCTCAGCGACGAGGCAAAGCACGTCGCCTCTGACATTATGGCAGCGAGCGACTATGCCGCTGCGGACCACGGCCTCGACTTCAAGGTCCACGACCCTGAGACTCAAATCTCTACGTAAGATCCTTTCCAGCAGCCCCAGTCTGGCGCGTCCCTTGATGGATGCGACGATGGTGGCATTGCGGTTGGTATCCGAGAGAGGTGACGATCAGGTCGAGAACTTGAAGCGCGAGTCCTCTGGTACGCGCGACGAAGCTTGTGAGCTGACTCGGTGTCTAAGCGGCGCAAATTTACCGTCCAAAGAAGTATTGTTGACTTTGTTGTGGAGTCTCAAGATGGAATCACAGCGAATCAAGAACAAGGGCGGCAGCACGACAGTTGACGAACTGGCGTCTGCCTCGAAACGGGAACCAAATCAAAAATATATACTAAAGGTGGCGGGATTGAAGCAAACGAGACGACGTATAGGCGGTGTTTCCAAACGGTACCGTCTAGCTTAAACTTACAACTTGATTTTTACATGGACAGGCAGGGGTATAGGCGCAATTGGGAATCCAGACCCTCGAACAGCGAGGCAGTTATGAGAGTACATATACTTGAATTGTATCATACTATACGCAGGAGCGTACAACTTTTTTTCTACACAAAATGAAGCTGCTTTTGGATGTGACTGCCGAAATATGCGGGATCTCACGACGTAGAATACAGAGAGTATTCGGCTTGTAATTCATTGGGTGAGGCTTAGGTGTTGCCCATTTCTTTTTCTAGCGAGTCTAGACAGGTTGTTTCGATTCTCATGATTCATCACTTTTACTTTTTTATTGTCAGGTCTTTTTGGCTAAAGTATCGACGCCACGCGCCCCCTTCCAGCCAACAGGTTCCTGCCCCGCGTACAGAAAGCCGCCTATTAGTAGTTTCGGAAGTGCTCGGGAGCCTCGTACTCGGGGTTGTACTCGTCGCGGCCGCCATAGTGCTGGTCGTACATTTGCTCGGTGCGCTTCTTGGCCTCGTGCTGGGCGCGCTCCCTGTCGATCCAGTCGGCGCCCTTGCTCTCCATGAGCTTGTCGACCTCGGCGCCGGCAAAGCCCGCGAGGAGCTCTTTGGCGAATTGATGAGAGACGGGCTTGCCTGGTGCGGGGGAGGGGGGGGGGGGGGGGGGGGGGCTATGTCAGCTTATTCCAGAACGGGAGGGGGAGGGGGGAGGGGATTGTGACTTGGTGGGAACTTACCTTCTGAGCGCTGGTGGTCCTCGAAAGCCTTGAAGGCGGCAAAAGAGGCGCCGCCGGCGAGGAGCTCGTGGGAGAACTTGGCCTCGTGACGGCCGTCTTGGAGCTGGTCGTAATTTTCCTTGGCGTCGCCTGTGGAGTTTGAGAGAGGTGTGTTAGCCGAGCGGGTGTGATGGGTGATGGTGGCACCAAGGCGCTGCTATAGGTGAGCGCTTACCGAAACCAAACATTGTGAATAGATGTGGTCTTGTATTGGAAGATGAATAGATGAGGGTATGGAATTGCAATTGACAGAGAAAAAACGAAAAAAGAGAACAGGACGGCGAGGTCCTCCTATGGGCAGGACCACACCTTTTTATTCAATACTCTACAATCTTCCAGTATGGACTTTACGCAACCTCTGACCCCTCACTTGACAAGCGCCGGACCTCGAAAACACATTGACCCGGTAGAAAAGGGTCCATAAAGGGTCTTTATTCCAGCTCTGCCAGGGTCTGTTATCCTCGTGGCCTCATTACGCAACAAGCAGCGGGTGGCTGTGACAATCCACTGAACCTGTGACAAGAAGGTACAGTGGTACACAAAGTAAAGGCTGCATGATTGGTAGGCAAATGGCTGAACTTCGAGGAGTAGCGGGTTCCGACGTAGCTGAGTTTTATGTACAGATACACGAAATTCCGACGAAAGAGCATAATGGGCTGTGCCAGGGCTTGCCCCCCCGCCCTCCCGCGATGCCGAGTTAGCCGTGTCCCTGCGATCCCTGCCCGCATACCGCATCAAATGGTTCGACGGGGATGAGCGGCGCAGAGAAAGTACACCGGTGGAGCTGGGCCGGAGCCGAAATTGCCGCCCAGGACGAATCAGCGAGCGTCGGGACCGCCTTTAGTGCACAGACGGCGTACGCAGTAAAGCCATCACAGCTTTCTTTGAAGCAACAAATGCCTTTTAGCTTTTCGTGTGGAAGCAAGTTTTCACTCATCAAGGGGCGATGGTAGCTGTGATGAGGGGCAGATCAAACTCGGGCTGATGATTCGAGATGACCGGCTGGTGTGTACCCTGCTTCTCATCGCTGCGGGAGTTTTTGTTGGTTTCATTATGCTTGTTTTCAGACATGATTTATTCTACCGAGATACAGGCTCACGGTAGAGACAAGACGACCAGACACCTTTGTGCTTGTTCATCAGGGAAAACTTACTTTGCTGGTTACCTTCGCTGTCCTGCCGGCGGACCTCCGATACATCTCGCCTTCATCATGTACGTGATCATCGGTTAGATAACCAGCTAATTCCCGCATCTGTCTTGCTTACTTCAAGAGACGATACTAGAAGAGCTGAGAGCTGGCTGGTTGTGGATTAGCATGTAGCTTCATGTCTTGCTGGATTGACGCCATGTGCCTTCTACAGAGTCCCCCGCCATCTTGACAACTTGGCGAATCACTCCGTGACCCCTCTTTTAGTTATGGCCTTGTTGCTCTCCACCGTCATCCCCCGTAATGCCCACTACCGGGATCCGCTTACTGTCGTCACCGCGGGTCCATTGTTCAACGATGCAGTGTGCATTACGTTTCAACTGAGCTTCCCTACTTACGGGAGAAAGAGGAAAGTAGGGAAAGAAATGGAGCATTGCGAGAGTCTCTTCAAGTGTGAGATGCTCGCGACTTCAAGATTTGCGTAAAACAGAGCACTCGCATGCCTAGATGATACCCTGGATCCGGGGACGAAGCAGTCCGGGGTACTTGTCACTGACAGATCGCTGTACTGAATTTCCAAATAGGACAAGACGACGCAATGAGTCGACAATGCAAAAAAAAAGGCTTACAGTGTACAGCAACGTATTCGCCGAAAGGTTTCTTGGCGACGAGCCTCAAGCGCTGCAGAGGCCAGATCGACAACTGCCAAGACGCCAAGTTCAGATTCGTCCGATCAATGAGCCCGCAGCCACAAACAAAAAAAAAAAAAAAAAACAGAGATCAAACGACTCAAGTCTGAGCAGATTATACTAGCAGTTGTACCTGCATGGGGAGAAGTATCATGTGGCTTCTACAGAAGATACAATCGCCTCGAAGTGTCATTGACTACCAACCTAGTCTCCGATATGCAGCAGCGCCGCCGACGAATCTGGCACATGCACCGTCACCACCCCTCCGCTCACCTTCAGCGTCTCCCCCGTCGTCACGTTGCGGAGCCTCACCGGCTTTCCGTTATCCAACTCATAGTTGTAGCTCCAGCCGTCGTACGTGATGCCTGTGATGGCATCGCTGCCGTTGGCCATTAGCCGCTGCACTGTAGCCAGTCTGTCCACGTGGCCGACAGCAAAGAAAAAAGGTCGGCTTGGGCGCGGCTTGGGCGCGGGCAGTGGGTTGACGCCGGCACCGTCCTTGGTTGTGTTGTAGCCACGCATGTTGATGGCCAGGACGCGGCGCAGGCGGCCGCCCTCGTAAATGGCGTACGCGGCCTCGGCGTCGGACACGAGGGGCAGTGAAGTCACGCTCACATTGCCGCTGAGGAGGTTGCTCAGGGCGCTGGCGGCGGCGATATTGCCGTAGTAGGGCGCCTTGGTGCCCTTGGGAGCTTTGTGTGTGTCAACCGGCTGCCAGCTTTGGTACTACGGTCGTGTTAGCGGAGCGGCAGCCATCTGTGCACCCTCACATCTTGCTATGAAAAGAAACCTACACGGTAGTTGGTGCCTTGGTGCATGTGCACGCGCTGGTAGCCGGCAGCCGCAGAGTACAGGTTAAAGTCGAGACCCCAGAGCGCTGCACCAAACGAGTTGGACAGGCCCGGTTTGCCCTGATTGTACAGCGAGTTGGTCTCGCCAAAGATGAGGGGTGCCGTGCCCTTGCCCGCGGCCACGATATTCTTGTACCGCCGAACCTGCTCGTCGACGTCGCGGGTGGTGCGGGTGTGGTTCATGAGCGTGTGCTGCAAAGTCACGCCCGGCGAGGCCGCACCGTCAATGTAGCTGTAGACAAGTTGGCCGATTAGTTCCACTCATCGAAACGTCGAGGGGCGCCTACTTATGCACCGAGTAGGTGTTGATGTCATTGTTCTCGTCCAGGCCCAGTTTCCAGACTTCGACAGCCGGGAGCGACGACGCTCTATCGTCATACGACGGCGCCATGAATGTCAGATACTTGTCCTCCAGCTCCGGACAGTGCTTCCGCATCTGCCTGCGAATCTCGGCCGTGCCGTTCCGCCACTCCCTCACATAATCCTCGGCATCCCAGCTTGTGTTGCGCGGCCTGTATTTCCCGCCGAGGTTGAAGTTGTTGGGCTCGTTGCCGTACTCGTAGCCGTAGAACCGGTCGCGGCCGAATGCTTTGCACGCGAGCGGCGCCGTGTCGACGAGCGCCTGCCAGCCTTCGGCCGAGACGGCGCCTTTACCGAGGTTGAAGCCGTGAGAGAAGCGCACGCCCGGTAGGGTCTGGTAGGATTCGAAAAACGAGGGGCCTAAATAGATGGTGGTTGGGTAGTCGTTGGAGCGCTGCGGGTCGTAGGTGCCGTTGATTTGCGTGCGAAGCGAGGCATTGTATAGCGCGAAGTCCTGTGTGTTGCCGCCGACTCGGATATACGGCTTGCTGCCAGCAATGTTGCCAATGTTGGTGAGGAGGTTGTCGGTGAAGGTGTTGGGGTTGGATTTGTTGCCTGGGACAAGAGTAAGCGAGGGTTGGGAGCTGAGGGCGGAATGAGGAGGAAGGGTACCAGCAAAATCGGGAAAAGATGACAACTCAATAGAGTAGCTGATGAAAGACTGGCCAGGAACTGAATCGACGTTTGGGGCGGAGGGAATACGAATAGGCTCGGTGGTAGCACCTGCTACGCTGGCAGCGAGAAGAGCTTGCTTCCACATGTTTGTTGCGTATGGCTTCAGCGATCGATACTGTTGTCTTCCTACCTCGTTACCTGGCTGCCGCCTTGTTATATGCCCCAGGAGGACAGAAGCCGCTTGCCTTTCGCCATGCTCTCAGTTGCCGCTAGAAGCAACTACTATGCAATAGATGTGGCAAGAGTAAGAACGACTGGAGGATCTGCGTGCAACTATGTCATGATATTGGCATCCGTGCGATGCACTCTGGCTGCAAACAGGGATTCCCCGCCTCAGTCCGGGAGCATCACGGCAGAGGACCTTCCATTCAGGACCTTCCAATCAAGGAAAAGCATGGAGTCAAGCTGCATGGCTCGATGCGAGATACAACGTTGCCAAGAGCGTGGAGCAGAACCATCTGTGCAGTGATTAATTAATACCCGGCGGCTGAAAGATGATGCCATGTACCGCAACCGACGGGCCATTTCAGCGCTATTGTCTTTGATAGTGCTCATGCGATGGTTTAAATGCTGATGAACCCTTTCTTTCTTTCCTTCCTCTTCTTTCTCTTCTTCTTTCTCTTCTTATTTTTCTTTATCTGCATATATACATGCTGCCAGAGATGGGCATTCCTTTACGCAGGCCATCTCTTGGATGCTGGTGGCCCCTCGGCGTTATTAGTGGTTGGCCGCTGTATTTTGCCTCAAAGTCTGCCCAAACAAAGGGCCGCTGTACTTAGCTCGTTAGCGTTCAAGATGCAGCGCTTTTAGTAACAGCTGACTCATCACCGTGCGATTTGGCTGCATCTAGATCAACCTCGGGTAGATTTCTAGGTGATGGCAATACCACGAGGCCAAGCCCACCATATTCTGTCGGCAGAACAAGTAATAATAGAGAGCAAGTTCAATTCGCTCAGACTAAAACCACATACCGCAAATATGGTATTCCTAAGAACCCCAACGATAACCTCGGCGCCCATCTCACCCGAGGCCAAAGCCGCCTTTGGCTCCCGCACATCACCACTATGGTGCCGTCAACTCCTCGTCGACTCGCGGCTTTCACCCGTCCTCGTCGGCTGGCGCACGCGCGACCGCGCCCGCACCAAGGAGGACTCGTACCTCTCCGGCGTCATGAACGACCCCGATACCATCGGCGCATGGCACACCCTCTACCGTCCCCTCCCGGACACCAATCACAACGACAACAACGACGACAACGGCACGAGCCCCCTGGCCGGCGAGCTGCTTTGCCTGTTTTCGCTCGGTAGCGGTGTCAACGGCCACGTCGATGTCGCCCACGGGGGGGTCACGGCGGGCATCCTCGACGTCGCCATGGGCACCGCCTGCAGCATCTTCAGCACAGAGGGCGACAGCAATTTTACGCTGGAGCTGAATATTCGTTTCAAGAAGCCGCTGGCGACGCCAGGCGTGTACCTCTGCAGGGCGTGGCTGCAGAAGCGGACGACAGGCCGTAAGGCTTGGCTGCAGGCGCTCATTGAGGATGGCAATGGTGAGGTGTATGCCGAGAGCGATGCTTTTTGGCTCGATGTGCCGGCAAAGCCAAAATTATGATGCGTCTGGAAAATTTTTATAATGAAGAGAAGATGTAGACAACGCGTAGATAATATACAGAACATTCATGCACAGAAACTTCCGTGTCACCTTTTCATGACTACTAGATGCCAGGTATAATACGCAAAGCGTAATCATCGTCATTATGCAATATTGATGTATGCTACTCGAGAAAGTGAAATCCGGAAAGAAAAAAACTCCCCAACTCCAGTACAATTTGTAGTCCGCTCAGAACCCCTCCATCTCTCGCAGCGCCGCCTCGTCGTCGTCCCAACCCGACTTCGCCGGCTTGCTCGCACTCGGGTTCCCAAAAATGCTTTTCACCGGCCCTGCATCCTGCGCCTCGGCCTCGGCCATCAAATCATCTAAATCATCGTCATCACCGCCGCCTCTCTCCGGTGCTCGCTGCGCCGGTGGCGGCCTGCGGTCGTGGTCTTGCGCCTCGGCCATCAGCGCGTCCAGGTCATCGTCGTCGGGCGCGTCTGGCTGCAGCGCCGTGAGGCCGGGTCGCGGCCCCGCGCGTGGCGTCACATTGTACAAGTCGTCGTCTTCGGAAAAGTCATCCGGGTGCTGGTCGCGCGGCGGCGTGCTGGGTCCGGATGCTGTGCGGCCCTGGATCAATCGGCCAGCAGATGGGCGCTCAGGCAGGCTGACCGCGGTGGCGGTGTCGGGACCGTCTTCCAGAGGAAAAGGGTCGTCACCGTCAGCGGCGAGGGTATGGTCTGCGGATTGGGGCCTGCCCTCGTTGAGCCACTCGTTGCGTGCGGTCATGAGGCGCTTCTTGTGTCCGGCTTTTTCGACCATGGCCAAGGCGTCGAGGAAGCGCGCTTTGGGGTAGAGGTCGTCGAGCCAGAGCTGATAGAATGAAAGAAGCCGTGACATATCGGAGAACTAAGGTTCTACCAGTTAGTCGCTAGTAGTCTGAATTATTTCAAGTACTTACTTCGTGGCCTTTGCCCTTGAGCTTGAGACCGCGGGCCCGTTTTCGTAGCTTCGGGATGCCAGCATCACTCAAAAGCCTGGTGCATGACTGTGAGCGAGAGTAACAAAAATCTAGCCAATTACGTCCTAGGTAATTCATTACACACCTGTCCTCGTCGAGCTTCACAGTAGGTGCTCTAGGTCTTTTTTGCACATCCACCTCTTCGTCAATACCCAGCCCAGCATCGTTGCTTTTGCGCTTGTTCTTGGACGTCGGGCTGGGTGTCGCAAACGGGTCGTCGGAGAGGTCCTCAATGTTGTAGTTGTCCAAGTCATCATGCTTGTCCTTGCCGGACGTCCTAGCGGCAGATTTCGTCGCCGACGGCATTTTTTCTTGCTATGCTCGAGATATCCTCACCTGAAGCAACCACTTACACGATGGCACGCGTTGGGAGACGCGATGGTGGGGCATCAATTTACGCGGGATGGGTCACGTGTAGGATCTGGATGGTGGATCACGTGCCTCAATACTGAGGCACATCCATTGCTGAGCTTCATCATGGCATTCATTGGCTGTATGTAATCCACGAGCAAAGGTCTTGGGCACCACCACGCAAACATGTCGGAAACTACGACCAAGCAGGCGCCGGCGTCCTACGTCGGCACGAGCAAGATTGTTCAGACGGACTATCCGGTACGTTACGGGAGCTTCAATGCCGTCAATTGATGAAATTTGCTGACCCGGCGGCGTAGCTCATCGACAACGACCCGTATGTGCTTTCCACGCCACGATGGCCACGATTCCACGTCTGAACCGACGGGGACTACCATATGGGATTAATTGATTCTTGCTGACCGTATTTCGATCTGTTTTGCAGCCACTTTAAGCGTGTCGTTGGATATGCCCGCAGGGAAGATTACATTGCCGGTGCTCTCGCCGCTGCGTTTGCCCCGGCTGCGCTGTACACGCTGGAGAAGTTTGCGCCCTCACACGTCGGCCGCGGAGGCTTCGGCAAGGCTATGCGCCTAGCCGGCTTTGTCGGTCTCGCCGGTGGCTTCCTCTGGTTCTACCAGCGCTCCGCCCGTACGTTGACGACCAGCCTCCGATTCCCGGAACCACCGTCGACGACGAAGACGAAATGCTAACCTGAAGCTATAGTGCGGTTCTACGGCGCCACCGAAAACGCGAGAGAGGTCGAGATGGACATGCGCGAAATGGTCGCCAAGGTCCAGGCCGGGCAGCCGCTGTACGGCGAGTCCAAGCTGAGCCCGTACCTGCAGGGCGTGGCGGCGCGCCAGAGCCGGTACTCGGCGCTTTTTATGGCGACGGTACCGTGGTTCAACTTTGTCAACCACAACCAGCACGGCGTTGACACGGCCAAGTACTACCGGCAAGCGGAGCGGGAATTGGAGGCGGCGAAGAACTAGATGGGAGGTGTGAAGCACAGGAGAAGATTATTTGTCATTATTTCTGCGTTGGGGACAGAGCGTGTGTATATTACAGGGTGGTAGAAACCTACAACTATATTCCTTGGTTCACTAGGTGGACGTGAGGCGCATATTGCTGACAACTAACACGACGACTAACACGAGACTGACATGATGGCTTACGAATCGGGGTGGCGATGGGATATAGGAGAGCTTGACCTGCGTAATGTTCGCATTCTAAATCGCCGACTCAACATTGTGCGTTGCATCACGATTTCGTTTCACCAACACATATGCCCGGACACAACAGGACTCGCAGTCATAGGCCGTGGACTGCATCCACCCTGTGGCGAGTCTCCTTTGCCTCTCTCATGCTGCGGACGTATAAGCAGTCACCGAGGCTGCTGCTCTTACTATTGCTGCAGCCCAAGTGGCCGCTAAGTATGGACAGAGCTCAGCCCAACCATTTTTTCGTGGCACAGTCTCCGACTATCACGAACCTGCTTACAAGTCCAGCACGATACTGACATCAACGAGTCACAAATAAACAAGTTGACACAAAAAAGAAGAAACAGGCTTCAGAGCGTCAGCCTCTTCGATGAAGCCATCATCGTCGCTACCCAAACCCTTGGCACTGCCGTGCCCGACAGCTGGCTAAGTTGTTCGATGTGACGCTGATGAAGTCATCGGTGCGACGTCCAAGTATTTGTCCTGCCGGGGCTCACCTGCTTTTCTCCCCCCAAATTCAGATTTACGCAGCGGTGAGCGATGCGGCGAGACAACATGCGAGACTTCGAAACAATAGTCCCTCAGTACGGCTAGCTCTGGCGGCACCGTCAGGGTCTTGCCAGCGGACGCGTTATCGTTATGTGTCTGCTATGGCTCCGGGGTAAAATTAGCAGCCTCGCCGATCTGAGGACGTCATTCATGTGCTTGCCCAGATATTCGCAAAGCGCCTTGCAACATATTCAAAGAAATTCTTTTCTTACGTGTTGGGAGCTGATGCAATGTAATTGCCTCATAACACACACAGTAAATTTTACACGGGTTTCGGAAGCAGCAGTCTTGTAGTTGCATAGAACGATAATGTCGCACACAGCTTCAACTTCGAATAATGCATTTTTCCCTTACAATAAAGAGCCAATAAGAACGAGTTAAATCTAGTTATTGGATTTGCCTTAAAATTTGCGCTTTGCGATCTACGACTTGGCTCTCAGGGGCGATATGAGTAAGTACCTAGGTAGGCGCTACCAGAGTCTGGCGCGTCCATTTTTTGTCTGCATAGCACATCTCAATGGCTTCACAATTTTACGTTTTTAAAGCGAAGCTTGGCCTCAGCTCGTGCTGCAATGTGCAGAATAGAGCATGACCCGCCCGAATCCGCGACCTATACAAAGCAGCGTATCTGTGACAATACTTTAGATGATGCGCAGTTGGCGACACGATGCCCGCTTGACAACGTGCGAAGCAGCGTCGCGACAAGCCCCCCTCGTTATTCCGCCGGCCAGCTCGACCGCCTTCCTACGGAGATTCTCTTTTAGGTCCTGCTATACGCTGACATTCCATCGCTGACCGGTTTTCGTCGCGCCAACCGCCGCGCGATGGAGCTCGTCGACTCAGTACCCCAGTACGCTGCCATCATCAAGCATTGTCCTGACGTTATCCGCGCCATTCTCAGCATCCAGGCAGACGCATTCGACTGCAATCTACTCTATAGAACCCTGGGAACAACGCGATGCTCTACGTGCGAGCGTTTTGGCGACCATCTCTATCTAATTACCTGCCGCCGAGTCTGCTACTTTTGTTTTACCCAACGGCTGGAATACTGTCCCCTAACAAAGGGTCACGCTTTACGGTTCTTCAAGTCTGATAGGGCGCAGTCGCGCAGTGCTTCGAGAAGTCGCCAACGACTATGTGCTTTGAATATTCCAACTGCTCTGAGCCTGCCTGGACGGTACTGTGCGGCCTGGACCTGTGAAGGGGGTAATCTGCAAAGGAGGCGCCTTCAACTCTTTGACCGGCGTGCAGTGATGCAGGGCAAGGCCGAATCTGATCTCACGGAGCCTGACAAAACTACCAGAGAACCCCGAAGGTTCATGACCATAATTACCGCACCATATTTGTTTGATTCCGGTCGGCAGGCTGACTGGGGCTACTTCTGTCTTGGCTGTAAAGAGGAGAAAAAGGAAGAAACGAGGCACTTCAGGATCAAATATACAAGAGAAGAGATATCGGGTCACATTGCAAGGTATGGTCCGGTGAGGGAGATGCCAAGGATACCCGGTAGGTTTGTCCATGTCACTGAAGACTAACAGCGAGATGAAGCTTCCAACTAAGAATTTACTGCTTCGCCTGTGACACTGCCTCTATGTCCTTGACTGTCCTTTCCCGTCCTTCACTTGCTCCTAACAACATGTATCTCCAAGTGCTCGACGAACCCACACAGCTTTCTACCATATCGCATTACCTATTTATCAACTCAACCGTGGGCCAACGTCGCCGAATAGCATCGTTTTCGGACCAAAAGTCACTGTGGTATAGGATACAAGGCACAGACACGGATGACTCACCTTTGCGATCTTGAATAACATTGATATAAGTCACATTATAGTTTTCGCAGTGCATCTATAAAAGTAGAGAATCTGTCTAGTGTACCCTATAAATCAATGACTCTTCGTGTGCTGCCAATCAAACAAGCTAAACGGGATAAGGTTTCTACCCATGCCAATATTCATCCGTCATCCATTGTCGTAAAAACTGCCATTGCCATTCTCTTTTGTCGTTACATCATCATCATTACAAGCATCCATCCGCTCTCGCCTCCTCATTACCGCGGCGCAGCCGCCTTCCTCAACATGTAATCCATGCCCGACTGCATCAGCTTGTGCCGTATATCGCTACCTCTGCCCTCACTCTTTGCCCGCCCGCCGCCGCCGCCGCCACTACTTCTTTCCTTGCCGCGATCCTGGCTATGATCCCGGCCTCGATCGCGACTACTGCTGCGACCACGATTTCGACCACCGCCGCCACCACCACCACCACCACCCTCGTCCTTTTTGGCAGCGCCGCCTCCGCCCATGAAGCCGTCCATCAGCGCGGCGCCAAGCGCGGCCGTTGCGACTTTGGCGCCTTTGGCACCGAGCCACTCGCCCTGCGCGCCGCGATTATTCATGGCGGCGGTGGCGCCGGCCGACAGCGCAGTGCGAGCGCCGGCCTGCACGAGCGGGTTCTGCCACCACTTGGCTGCCGTCTGCGCGGCGGGCATGGTCGAGCTGCGAACCTTGGCGCCAAAGCCCTTCGGAGCGGCGGCAGCGCCACCGCTGCTCACATGCTTTTCGCGGCCGCGGGGCGGCTCTGCGGCGGTGATATCCTTGCTTGAGTGCTTGACCTTGCCGTGGGAGCGCGAGCTGCTGCTGTGGCCGGCGTAACGGTCGCGGTCCGGAGCGTCGGCCAGGTCGCGCGTCTTGGTGCGGCTGCCGTGGGGAGGTGATGGGTCGTCGCGGCCACGGCTCTTGGTGTAGCCTCCGTGGCGGTCTCGGTCTCGGTCTCGGTCATCGCGTGCGGGGTACTCTCTGCTCTTGTGGTCTGGCGAAGAGCGTCTGTAGCGGCCAGGGTCTTCTGCCGTCTTGCTACGTTGGTGACGGCGGGGGTCGTCGTCGTAGCGGTCGCCACCACGGGGAGGGTGGTAATCCCGATCGTGGCGGGAGGGGCGCGGGTCCCTTACATCTCTCGCATTTCTGCCATCTTTCGTGTCTTTGGGATCTCTCGCGTCTCTGTGGTCTCTGGGATCGCGGCGTGGATCTCCACCGCGGCGGTCCTCGTAGCGGTAGGACGGCGGGGGAGAACGGGCGCGGCGCGGTTCATTTTGGCGGTGAGAAGGGCCACGAGGTGCATAGTCGTCTTCGCCACCGCGATATCTGCGGGCCGCGGCGGCGGCGCCTCTGTCGTCGAAGTCAGGGGGTGGGCCGCGGTGACGCTCCGATTTGCTGCGACGCGGAGGCGGCCCCGCGGGTCCAGCGTCGGCGGCGTCCCAGTAGGGCGGGTTGCGACCGTAATAGCCGTCTTGGGCATACGGGTCGTCGCGACGACGCGCCATGGTTTGTGTCGAGGTTGAAGTTGGTTTTGAGGGGAGTGGAAAAGGCTGTATGTGAGCGAGATATGTATGTGGCGTGCGTCTTCACCTCTAGCTATATTTATAGCGCGAGTGCTGATCAAACAAATCGGATCGAAGACGATCCGGGAGCGGGCGCGGGAGGGACAGGGTGGAAGTCAGCAATTAATACTCTTGCCCGGAGAATTTTCTTTTTCCGTCTCGCCTCGAAAGATATTCCAGTACTGGGCGATCCCATGCAGCGAAAAGCCACGAGGCAGCCAGAGGGAGAAAAGGGACCAGCTCAGGCGGCAGCGTAAATCAGGCGGTGGGCGCAGCCGGCGTGCAGCAAGCCAGCTACCTAGCCAGCACCGTGCGAGCGGTCTGGCGGCTGGCAAGGTAAAAAAAAGGCGCTGTCCGGCTGACGTCATAACGGCCAATGGCGTTGTCTGAGACTGCGCCAGCGGCCAATGTCGGCTGACGTCAAGAAGCAGACGACGGGAAAGAAGCGTAAAGACGGGACGAGAACATGGTCGATGTAGGCATTTTGTGCCACAGGGAAAAAGAGGCTTTGGTAGATGACAGTGTCAGGTATAAAATAGGATTCTGGCCTGAGCGGTTTGCCGTTTGCCTGGGCGGACCGTTTGCTGCCTAGTTCTGGAAACGCCGAGAAGAGCTGAGCGGGATATGTCTCAATGCGGCCACCGGTCAGCCACGGAAAAATACATTCACCAACATTGCACCAGAAAAGGCTACAGTGTCTCTACAAGACCACGTGCTGCATCACAGACTCTGTCAAATCTGAGAGAAATATCTGACGCTGCACAAAGGCGGAAAAAAAGAACGCAGAGACCTGTAACATGGTACTTTGTTGCAAAGTGGCGGCTCGGAGTGTTTGGTGTTTGTATGAAGCCTGAGCTTGGGCATACGGGACAGAATGGGCTGAAACTGTGTATTTGTCAAGTTGCGCGCCATGGTCACGGGAAAAGGGTGCGAGACTGCGACGTGCGAGTAGAACAAGTTGACAAGGTCGCAAGGACATGTCTTGCTTGTAGTGTCACATGCGGGCTGGAAGTGGTCGAAGCAGCGAGCTTGAAAACTGTGTCAGACAACCTGTTGAATACAAGTTACTCTGAACGGCACAGTGATTTGAAAATGCAGCTTAATAAATTTATGAAGGAGAGGAGGAGGAGTTGCGAGTACTGTGTGAGTACTGTGATGAAGTAGATGGATGTAATGTCTAGATCGGGACAGACATGAAAACCGGGGACCCCGATTGCTCGATGGACGTCGAAAGACGACAAGTGTGGCGCATGAATTGCAACGTTGGCTGACCCTGTAACTGGCAAAACCAAGTTGATTTGGTGGCCCACAGAGCATTCCAATCAATGTCTGCGACTTGGGCGACTCGTTCCAAGCCTGCCAACGTCGTACAAGCAAGGAGCTCGGGCGGCCACGTCGTCGCAACTTGGCAATTTCGCAGAATCATGACGACGATACCGGCCGTGTTTCCCCAGAAGAGGACTTTGTGCCGCGCAAGTGCCGGTCAGCGGGCACGCACAGATGCGGCGAGTGATGATGTGTCCTAGCCCGCAGGCGGCCGAGACTTGTAATATACGGGAACTAAGCTCCAGGACAATGGGAAATATGAAATGCGGGGGTTGTGTTGCTCCTCCGTCGCAAAATTTGCTTCGAGTTGAACAAGCAAAGCGGTAGAAAGTTTGAAAGCTAATAACTGCTCGTTTTATTCTCAAATTGGATGCAGGTGGACGTGGAGTGCAGCGGCAAGACTGGGGTGTGCATCTACAGATGGTGCCCCATTTGGGAGTGTAGCATCGTGAGAGACAGGCATACAAACAATGCAGATGGGCTCTGAAATGGACATATTCCGGACAGAGCCTATCGATGTGAGCTGTCGGGAGGCGCCGACTTCCACTGCGGCTAGCACAGACTCGGGAAGAGGGACAGGCGCGATAAAGCAGAGTGGCGGCGACGGCGTTGTCACCAAGAAATGGCTGAGAGGGGAAGGGTAGTAATTTGGCGTTTGGGCTCGTTTTATCAACACACGCGCTACAGCCGAGGTGTTGATATGAGGTGCAGGCAGGCAGGTTGTCACTTGTCTACTGGGGAGCGAGCGATAGCGATCGGTGGGGGGCGGACGGAGTAGGAAGGCGATGGTTGGATGGGCAATAATTTCTAAGTTGAGAGGTGCATCTGGTGCGTGGTGGGGATGCGAGGGGCCGATTTGACTGCGGCATCGGGATGCTGGATGATGGACAACGTTTTGATAGAGGTGTGGCTTTGGCTGCTCCATAGGAGGTTGGGAGGCACGAGGGTCCTGTATCCGTAGGAAGAGAGGAGATGCAAGCAGCCGAAGGTGCCAAGGCAAGAAGGGGTGGTGGTGGCGGGTGGAAGTACCAACGTTGTGTAATTGTGTGATGCAGGCGTTGGGTTTCAATGATTCACCCGTTCATTTGGGGGTTTATTAAATATTCAGATGCAGAGATTTGACACATCAGTAAGGCATGCAGCGACCGTGAGATGAATCTATAAAATGCCCGACAAGGTGGAAAATTGAATTCGGGGTGCAGCGTCACTGTGCATTTTATGTCGTCGGCCGTTGTGAGGCTGGGCCAGTGGGCCGAGGTAGGTATCAAGTATTAGCTGCACGGTACGCAACCTCTGAGCCGTTCTTTCGGAGCGACACGACCAACAGCATCTGCCAGCTTCCGAAGTGGGACAATTGTCCTCGAGTAGAATGAAAATGCCGTCTGTTGTCCGATTTGCACATGATTATTACCTCTTGTGCGACGGAGCAGGCATCACAGAGTCAAAGTACCTACGTGCCACCAACGACGGACAAGAAATGCCCACCGCGGAGAGGGCCAAGACTGGAGGCCAGGTTGTGTGGTTGACACTGCGCAGTGGTCATTTGGATGTAAATGCAAATGATTTTCCTTGCGCCATGGATCGAGGAGATTGATGTCTTGCATTGCCGCTCTTTTTATTTTTAGCAGTTGTTTGCTTGTCGGCAGGTTCGACTCTTCAGGGTCTCAACCCCGGCACGGTTATTAAGAAAAACCTGCGAAATAAATCCGTCCAGTGACAAGGCTGCTAAAAAGGCCAAAAAAGGCCCGCACTGGAGCTGAAAATCTTTATCAAGAGGCAGGCGTGTTGGACTTGCCACAAGCCACAACGCACCAACCAAACGCCACCAACAAACCGCCGGCCAAGCTGATAAGTACCTACGCACATACGCTAACTATGGGCAAGCATTCCAGACAAATCATTGCGTTTTCTCCAGCCAGCAGCCAGCGCTCTGTACAAGTCAATTGCTGTATCAGTGGATTCACCCGTCGAGAATCAGCATCATGAGTGGGCTTGTGTCGTTTTGCCTCCCTCTTCTTACTTACCCCACGGCTCGTCGCAGCTGGCAGACCGTTTGCCCACCCTCTGTTTGTCGAAGCTCCAGATTAATTTTTTCTCTTCTCCATGACGGAGTCTTTATTCTTGTCTCTTCTTTTCTCTCTAACTTACTAATTGCTTTCAACTCTCACCGTCTTGTCCATCTCATGTCGTCCTATTCTGATTCCATATGCAAGATTTCAAAAAGTCCTGCATCGCATTACACCGCTGCACACCATCACACGCACACTCCATCACCGCGCACCCAGCTGCACAGCAGATAGCCTGTTACGGCGCCCACTTCTCTTCACTTGGCTCCTCTCACTCCGCCCACACCCACCCGCCTATCTTTGCGCCCGGCTTTTTTTATCTTTTCTTTTTCAATCCCTCTCAATGGCATTCTACTTTCTTTATTACGCCTTTCAGTAGCCATCTACGTGTCGAGTCACACGTACTTTCCATCATCTCTTTCACTACTTCAACTCCGTCACCTCCGCATTCAAACCTAGTCTCGGCTCCGTTCCGCCCCGTCTGTCTACCTTATCTGGTAACAAGGCACACCACATCACACCCGCAACTCTGCGAAACTCAATTAAGCCCGACTCTTGCTGATAAGCCTCGTCGACGCCCTACTTATTCAAGACGTCAATATCTCTTTATACATGTATACCGTCTATCCAGATCATTGACATTGTCGCTTGCTGTTTCAACCACCCACGCCTCCTCTCGCTCCAAAGTCGACTTGCTATAAAGACGGCCCTCTCCGATAGTCGCCCACAATCAATTGCTTCAGCACCTCGTGATTGACTGTCACTATATTATTGCTATTGCTTCAACATGGGCTGGGCTGACAAGGTCGACTCGCGCGTTGCCAAGAGTTTCGTCGGCCGTTGGTTCCGTCTCGATGGCTCCGGTCATGTAAGTCTCTCCAGTCACGACACACTGGACAACTACGCAACCCTATTCAGAACACTCGCACCAATTTAATATGTGCCATCTTGTTTAATCTATTACGTCCCGAAGACAAACACTAATTTCACCTACACACTATGTACTAACTCGTATCACCAGCCCCGCGAGCGCAAAGGCTCCTACTTCCTCACCGAGATGCGCGCCGGCCTCACCACCTTCTTCGCCATGGCCTACATCCTAGCCGTCAACTCGTCCATCGTCTCCGAGTCGGGCGGCACCTGCGTCTGCAACGCCGGCCCCGATGATCCCCTTTGCAACGCCGACCAGGACTATGCCATCTGCGTCCTGGCCATTAAGCGTGACGTCGTTACTGCCACCGCCGCCATCTCCGCCATTGCCACCTTTTTCGTCGGCCTCCTCGCCAACATGCCCGTCGGCATTGCGCCAGGCATGGGCCTCAACGCCTATTTCGCATACACCGTCGTCGGCTTCCACGGCTCCGGACCCGTGCCGTACAAGGTCGCGCTGACAGCCATCTTTGTCGAGGGCTTCATCTTCTTCGGCCTCGCCCTGTTTGGTATGCGCCAGTGGCTGGCCCGCGCCATCCCAGCGTCTATTAAGCTCGCCACCGGCGTCGGCATTGGCCTCTACCTCACCCTCATCGGATTGACCTACAGCAACGGCATCGGCGTCATCGTCGGCGCTCAGGCCACGCCCGTCGAGCTCGCCGGCTGCCACCCCGCCAACCGCGACCCCAAGACGGGCACCTGTCCTGGCTCCGACAAAATGCGCAATCCGACCATGTGGGTTGGAATCTTCTGCGGCGGCATCCTCACCGTCATGCTCATGATGTACCGCGTCAAGGGCGCCGTTATTGCCGGCATCCTCCTCGTCAGCATCATCTCCTGGCCGCGCCCGACCCCCGTCACCTACTTCCCCCATACGCCCGTCGGCGACGACGCCTTTGACTTTTTCAAAAAGGTCGTCACGTTGCACCCCATCAAACATATACTCGACGTGCAGGAGTGGAATGTCAGCGAGTACGGCGGCCAGTTTGGTCTCGCCCTCATCACGTTCCTCTACGTCGACATTCTCGACTGCACCGGCACCCTCTACTCCATGGCCCGCTTCGCCGGCCTCATCGACCCTGTCACCCAGGACTTTGAGGGCTCTACCCTCGCCTACATGACCGACGCGCTCTGCATCTCCATAGGCGCCGTGTTTGGTCTGCCCCCCGTCACGGCCTTTGTCGAGTCGGGCGCCGGCATCACCGAGGGCGGCAAGACGGGCCTCACTGCCATGATGACGGGTTTCTGCTTCTTCATCGCCATCTTCTTCGCCCCCATCTTTGCCTCTATCCCGCCCTGGGCTACCGGCTGCGTCCTCATCATTGTCGGCTCCATGATGGCTACAGCCGTCGTCGAGATCAATTGGAAGTACCTCGGTGACGCCGTCCCCGCCTTTCTCACCATTGCCCTCATGCCCTTTAGCTATTCCATCGCCGACGGCCTTATTGCGGGTGTCATGTCCTACATTATCCTCAACGGCTCCGTCTGGGTCATCAAGAAGATCTCGGGCGGCCGCATCCTCCCACCCAACTACGAGGAGCGCTCCGGCTGGACCTACAAGATTCCCGGTGGTGTTCTGCCGCCCTGGATGGTGCGTCTGTCCAAGGGCGACAAGAAGTTCTGGAGAGATGAGCCCCGTGTGACGACCGCAACATTGACGCCAAAGGAGGCCGACCTTGCGTCGAATCACGGCTCCGAGCATGACCAGCCCACACCGGCTCCAGCTACGACCATCTCCGAAGCCCATCCGAAACAGCAATAGTATCGTGATGCTTTCAAAGGTCGTGACTGCAAGCTTTCTCTTTCTCGTTTCACTCTCGCCAGTGATGTTATTTCTGAACACTCTTGCGCGCTCGATACCCTACTTCCGAGCCTGGTGTCCGCCAGTGATGTTGCTCAATACGCAAGAGTTTTCGAAATCTGGCTTTTTTTCTTCTTTTTTCTCTGGTGATGTTGCTTTTACCCGATTTCAACATTCATCATTCCCTTCTTTACATTTGCTTTGCATCGCGTTATTGGATACACAGATACAAGCTTCTTTCATCTGGTTGTGGTGGGTGTGGTGTTTTTGGATTAAGGAATTTGGGACAGCGATTTCAAAGATTTGCGTTTTTGAACCGGTGGCTTGCATGAGCTGTGTGCTCTTACTCGACAGATCTTTTTTTGTATACGGCAATATTTTGCAATCTTGCATATAGCTTCAATGACGATCATGCTTATTCGCCAATTTGCGCAACAATCTGCCTTTGTATCTGAAGGTCCAGCTCGGAGACGTTGTGATGTCATTGCCGCTTCAAGATTACCAACGCAGGCAGCACGTAAATAGATACTCGAATTCGCACTTGATCGAGAAAACAATGCAATAAAGTTCAGCTTGTATACCAGGTCTCAACGGACTATAATTGAGGAATTCGGCGGACTCCGACAAGCATTCACGCTACTGGCGAATCACAGCGCCTACAATGTGCCATTCTTCAGCAGTGCCCCTCCCCCGCATGCACATGCTCACGGCTATCAACGGCGCCATCCCGTTAGTTTTTCTCCCCTGCCTCTCGCCATTGTGTTTTTTGTATTTTCTGAAACACGATCCCGTTCGTTTTTCCTTTAGGGCTACTTTAAGGTTTGCACCGGCCTTTATACCCCTTTATATCGGCATTTTGACGACGCGCCACTCCCCCGCCCACGTTCAACGCCCCCATCACGAAGACGACAAGGACGACATCGATTCACACACAATCACCACCCGTCCGCCATGGCGCCCCCCGACACCTCCTCCATATCCATGGACCTCCCCATTGTCGACATGGACGTGTACCTCGCCCACGGCCCCTCGTCGCCCGCCGCCCACGCCGAGTGCGCCAAAGCCGCCGCGGCGCTCATCAACTACGGGGCGCTCGTCCTGCGCGACTCGCGCGTCGCCGCCCGCGACAACGACGACTTTCTCGACCTCCTGGAAGACTACTTTGCGCAGCCGGTCGAGGCCCTGCGCCGCGACGAGCGGCCGGAGCTGAGCTACCAGATTGGCGCCACGCTGGAGAATACGGAAAAGCCAAAGTGCGCCGTCGACGAGCCGTGCCTGGACGTGATTGCGCGGCTGGACCCGGACCAGCGGCCGCTGGACATTAGCGGGCACAGCCCGGATCCAAAGTGCAGGTTCTTTTGGAGGATGGCCGAGGAGCCGCCGTACGAGACGCAGTTTCCGGGGCTGAATACGGAGAATGTGGTGCCGCAGGAGCCCGGGTTGCGGGAGCGCTGGACGCCCGTTATGGACCGCTGGGGCAACTGCATGAAGACTGCGTGAGAAAAGCCCAACCTGGGGCACGGTACCTGGCGACTGTTTGAGACTGACTCATTTTAGGGTATCGACGCTCTCTGAAATGGCCGCCATTGGCCTCGGTCTTGAGCGGACCTTTTTCAGCGACGCCGGCCGTTACGGGTTCGTCCTCACAACTCTCTCTCTCTCTCTCTCTTTCCCTCATTCTTCACATTTCACTCGCTCATCTTTCTTTTTATAGCCCTCACCTCCTCGCCCCGACCGCGTCAGACCTGACCAAATACGGCACGCAAGACACCATCCTCGCCGGTTTTCACACGGACCTCAACTTCCTTACCATCCACGGCCGCAGCCGCTACCCGGGCCTCAACATCTGGGCGCGCAACACGGGCCGACGCATTCCCGTGCGCATGCCCCCCGGCAACTACCTCCTCGTGCAGGCCGGCAAGCAGCTCGAGCACATCACCGGCGGCCTCATCAAGGCAGGGTTCCACGAAGTCACGGTCAACGAGGCGACCGTGGCGACGATGCAGAAACGCGCGGTGGAGAAGCCGGATAGGCCGCAGATTCGCATCTCGAGCACGCTGTTTTGGCATTTGAATTCGGATTTTGATTTGAAGCCGGTGGAGGAGCTCAAGGAGAGAGCGAGGGAGCTGAGGGAGGAGAGGGAAGGGGCCGGAGGGGATGAGGGGGCGGAGGCGGAGTATCCAGCGATGAAGGTTGGGCATCAGGTGCAAAGGTATGTGGTTTTTTGATTGCAAGGGTGAGGATGAAGTTGCGCTAACTTGGATTTTCAGTGAATTGAAGCACATTGCCCTGATGGTTTGAGTTGGGGTGGGAGAGGTGTTATCCTGTATATAGTGGCAGCCCTCACGAAGGGCAAGGACAAGGCCTTTCTCGCTTTTGCCGAGCATCTCAACGGCTGCGTGTATCGACCCGCTCAATTACCAATGTTTGTCCCAAAATCTGTGATTTTGATTTTTGGAGGTCGACGCGTGTATAAAAGTGAGTGAGGGGAAATGAACAACGCGCCCAGCAGGCGTGACTTGAACAGTAAAGACGAACAGTAAAGACCAAACTCAAAAAATCCATAACCTTTCTACTCAGGATGAACAAACGTGAGAGACCTGTGCAGCGTTATAGCAGAACATGCCACAGATCTAACCTGCAGATAGCTGCATTCGTCCCGATCTAGACGAGAATATTGTCAGCACACCGATCAATATATTAGAACTTTTTTCTGCAGACTGGCGATCATATCACATCGAATCAATAGACATTGCGACCGTGGTGAAGATCTCGCTGGGGTGCTCGGCCAGTCCGGCTGGCTACTCAGCAGTCTATATTCTGGCTCAAAATCATTAGCGTCGCCAGCATACAACTTTCCTCTCTCCACACAGTCGGCGCCTCATGCAACGAAACTTGTAGTCCGTCGCAGCACCATGGCAAGGTCAAAGCCAAATATGCCCCGGGTTCGGGCGTCTCACTCGAAATCCCGTCAAGGATGTCACGCATGCAAGTACGGTTTGCCCTTGTCCCTCGCGCTCGCCTGAGCAGCAGAGGAAGAGCAGGTCCTTGCTTCTCTCTACCAGGCGCATCAGTGCCCGGCGCGACCCGGGTAACTTGACTAACGTGTTGACTTTTTCCGTTTTCCTTTAGAAAAAGGCATGTAAAGTGCGACGAGACTCAGCCAGCATGCCTTCGATGTATCCGAAATGGGCGAACCTGCACGCCTCACGACACCACCAGCAGGCCAACGATCCGCCAGCAGAGGCAGTTCAGATTCATGTGCTTTTCCGGGCCTGCCAATTCTTTTGCCGTGCAAGATGACTCCATCATGGCCCTGGAATATTTCTACACCCGGACCCTGCCGCTCTTTGACGTCTCGGAGCCGAATTTCCTCTGGCAGTCGTTGCGGCGAGACGCCCCGAGCGACCAGTCTATGTGCTACGTCGCAGCCGCCCTCGGCCTCGAGCATATGCACATGGCGCGGGAATCTGTGCATGACTATCGCGAAAACTCCTGTCGCTTAAATGGCCGCGCGCTGCGTTCAATGCAGAAACGCCTGACTACGCAGTCGCCAGCGCAGATTGCCGCGGCCGCCTTTTTGTCCTTGTTGATGGCGATTTTGCAGGGCCTGGGAGGGCGGCAAAGCGACATGCTTGTCCATTTGCGATGCGGCTCTGCCATTGCGCAGCAAGGCATGAAAGCCTACGGCAAAATGGCCAGCCCAGAACTGGGCGAGACTCTCCGGCTATTAAGAAAATACTGCATTTCTACCATGGTTTTCGATTCAATTGGCATAGAGGCTGACAAGACGGCAGCCATAATGAAAAGCGAGTTTGCGTTGATCGACGACTTGCCTTTGGGCTGGGATCAGAACCATCATACACTGGCAGCAGAGGTGGATGCACTTGTCGAGGAGCTGATGCAGTTCATGCGAGGCTTTCGGTCGCCCCAGCATGATGCTCATGGCAATATTATCGCGGTGCATACACATACACGCGCGCACCCTTGCTACAACCCGTTCTCTAGGCCGATTCTATCTAGGCTTGCTGCAAAACAGTCTATGCTCGAGCTTGCTCTAGAAGCAAGGCTGTACACAAATCCAGTCGCAGAAGGTGCGTCGATCCTGTTGCAATTTGCACTGCCTCAGTGTCTATTGGTCAAGATATATCTCCGCTGCTGTTGCTACAAGCAAAGCAGCTTCGAGGATGAACTGCCCATCTTTCAAAGAATTGTCGACTTGGAAAGAGCGAGTTTATTATCCTTGCGTGACTCTCAGAAACACATTTCTGCTATGCCCTTCTCGCTTGGACTTGGAGCTATTGGCTGCCTCGTGTCGGTAGTAAGGCTCTGTCCCGTCACCCAAACTCGACACGAGGCAGTCGAATTACTTGACCTGTGTCCACCGACAGAGGGTTTATGGTCTGTTGAGCTTGCACGGCGTCTCTGCACTACCATTCTGGAATTTGAGAAACAACTGGCGGCAGCGGCGGGGAATGGCATTGACTCAGCACCGTCGCAACTCACTCCAAGACAGTGCAGAGTGAGCTATCACAACTTTGGTGCTGAATCAGAGCGGGTTGTCACAACAGTCCGCTTGTTTCGCAGCATGGGAAACACGGAAACCCTCAATTATGAGGATGTGATGCTCTCGGGCCCGTCAAAACCGAACAGCACTCGGACCTCGGCGCCCACGGAAAGGCCTGTGATTGAGTGGCTTTCTTGGCAGGGATAAAAGGTTCGCGGTTCACTGGCGTACAATTATGTCAATAGAAATGTACATACGCAGACAATTTGGGATCCGTCAACTGAACGTGGGTGATCGATATTATGCAGTGTGTGCAGCGCAGCGTATCAGCCACTTACAACACTACTGGCAAAGAAACAGGGTCGATGATGCATGCGCCACGGCATATCCGGGTCCAATATTATACCAGCCCCAGACTTTTCCCCGGCAATAGAGATAGCCAATCATGACCAAAGAAGACCAAGCCACCGGAAAGAGGAGAGAAATTCCCCAGTGAATGATGAGTTGGGCGCACTTGTCGGCAAGATGGCCCGCACCGCACATGGCAAGCGTCTATGCCAGGAAAGGAAATGTCGATACGACCTACAGCCACAATCCACACCAACCCCACAAACCACAAGGTCATGGCAGGCTTGCAGGTCCATGTCAATTGGAAAAAGTCGATATAAATCGATCACTCCGCAACCTTGACTTGGTGGCCCCTGTTCTGAGATGCTATAACACAGTTTTTCACTTTCATTTTTACCATCTCACGTCGACACGGCTTAACTCTTCCAAGAAACAAAACATGCGTTGCTCGCCACTTACAAGTCTTGGTACGCTCCTGCTCATCGCCTTGCCTGCGCTGGGAACATCGACTTCTCGCAGGATTGATGAAGAAAGCTTCGCGTCGGCCAAGGAGCTCTTTGCAATCAACCAGCATATTGGAGGAGCTGGCTTGCGCGGCACAGCTAGCGCGAGGCAGAATGCACTGATTGACTGGCTTGATGGACAGCTGCGACAAGTCTCTGGTCTTGACTTGTCCTACAACTCTTTTAATTTGACGAGGTGGGAGCCGCAGCAGGACAACCTGGGCGAATCTGCTTCACTGAAGCTTCTGTATCCGGGGGCGTGCTCCAACACGCTCAGTGTCGCTGGCGCCATACCATATACTCGAGTTACCAACGGCAATCCTGTCAAGGCTGAACTTTTGTACGTTGCGCAAGGGACAAAACTGTCGACCGTCAATGCGACAAACAAGATTATTATACGCGACGTCGCGTTTCAGTCTGTTCCTTTTTCACTTCTTTTCGCCGTGAGCAACTTTCGAACTGCCGATCTGGATAGCGTGGTCAAGGGCAACTACTCGCGGTATGTGTGACTGTTTTTTTTTTTTTTTCGAACATTTTCTGCGCAGAAAAGTGCTAATCCTTTGCTCTCTACACCGCCTCAAGACCGTATACTGCAAATTTTGACGATGAAATCATCGATGCGACAGCCGCCGGTGCCCTCGGCATCATCTTTGCATGGAACGTGCCGCAAAAATACGTGCAGTCGTATTTTGACCCCCACGAGGGAACCATGTATCGAATTCCCGGCGTCTTTGTCGGCGTGGAAGTCGCAGAAAACCTGAAAGAGGCCGCGTCGCAGGGTCTAACCGCAGAGCTAGACGTTTGCGGCGAGATGAATCCGTCGACGACCAAGGAGATATTTGCCACGCTGCCGGGAATGACCCCGGATACTGTCATTGTCACCTCCCACACCGACGGCAACACATGGATCCAAGACAATGGCGTCTCTGGCGTGCTGGCTCTTGCGCGGTACTTTGCAGCGCAGCCCCTCTCCTCGCGCAACAAGACGCTGCATTTTGTCTTTACGTCGTCGCATTTGCACTACAGCACAGACGGCAACGCGATGCTCGCCAAGCGTCTGGACCAAGGCTACGACAATGGAAACACGGCCCTTGTTTTCCCGCTCGAACACATGGGCGCCAGAGAGATACTCCCCACTCCTAGACTGGACAGGCATCTCCGCGGCCAGGACCTCGCCTACACGGGTAAAGGCGAAGTCACGCTTTGGGCCGTGGGACCGTCTGATGCACTGCGCGACGCAGTCATTGATGCTGTCAAGTACCGAAAACTGGACCGCATGTCGATTATGCCGGGGATAGGCCTTCCAAACGCAACCGTCGTGCCCGAGTATCAGTCGTTTGGCGGAGTTGGCACGCCGTACCACGTGGCTCTTGTTCCGACCATGGCGATTGTTGCTGGGCCGTGGTCGCTGTGGGCGCCGTACTTTGGAGCTGATGCTGTGGATTTTGACCGCCTTTGGCAGCAATTACTGGCGGTCGGGGATGTGCTATTGAGGGTGGATGGGCTCTCTAGAGAAGAGATTGCAGGCGGCTATCTCGAGTACAGACGGCAACGGGCGGCTGGCAAGCCTACTGCATATCAAAAGCCGATACCTGAATTTGCGCCTTGAGAAGTCTGCTTTATGTATAAAACTCATCTTCGATAAATACAATCTTACTGCCATATTCTTGTAGTGTTGTCATTATCTTAATCATTGCTTTGAGCCCTCACTAAATAAGGGTAAACTCGAGGGTCGTTGCAGTTGGCAGGTCTGCGCCTGGAATTTATGACAACTACAACTCAAAGAGAGGGAAGACTTGTGTGGCGCAGTGTCTGGGATAGCCTCGTCTTGTACAGTGCTCAGGATGCGAAAGAAGTTGTTCAAGTCTTAGCCTTTAAGATAATATAAGCTAAAAGGCTATTCAAGCTAAACATATTATTATTAATCATATATGTTTTACAGTTTATATCTATTTCTGTACATGCCCTACTATGCGGCCTAGATAGTCTATTTTACTACTTGGCATAATCTAGCACAGTTTGTCTCATGTACTACCGTAATACCCTAGGAAGCTGATGGTTCAGCCGATATTGCTCCGCCGACTTCCCCTCACGGAAACGTAATAACTGCACATCTGCTCCCTTCAATATCGCCCCCACGGCTTCAGGAATCCGTAAAACCCCCAACGTGAGTCCACTTTTGGCCTTTTATGCTGCCCCGGCCCGGATCTGGCTCGGATAGTGGAGACCAACGCGGCGACGACCCGGCCCCGGAGTCGACGCACAAAAAGATGGATGTGACGCGGAAAAAGGCATGGGCAAGCCGATCCAGGACGGGGTGCAAGACATGTCGGTGAGCATTTTTATTTTCCATTTTCATCTTTGTCTGTTCCTGCGCTTTTATAACTTATTTCTGATCTGCCCCATTTCTTTGTACATGTGCTGTGCTGCTGCAAATTACAGTTTGCTAACGCGTGCATTGACCAACCTAGCGCCCGCCGTGTCCGGTGCGACGAGGAACGGCCGGAATGCCGGCGATGCGTCAGAGGCGGCCACGGGTGCCGCGGCTACGCGTTGCCTGCGCCGGGTGCGTCCATTCTCGCCATCTCTAGTAAGCCGAGTCGTGAGGCCACCGCGGAGCAGCACGCCGACGAGCAAGAGGCGTGCTGGGCCTTGGCACGCCGCCCGGAAAAGCCCGTTATTGAAATCGACCCTCCGTACTGGGACTACATGCAAGCCGTCCAATTCTGTACGCCCGCGTTTCCCCCCCTTCTACTTTGATCGTTTCTTCCGCGCTCTCCCTTTCAAAGAGATCTCCTGCTGGCAAAGGAAAAGGGGCAAAAAAAGAACAGAAAGACTAACGTTGTTCGCGACAAATGTCCGCCAGACCACAACTGCGTTCGGGCATGGCGGCCCAAGCAGTTTGGCGTCGTGCAGGCGCCGACGCTCAGCGACGACACGCACCCGGCCAACTTTGTCGGGCGGCAGCTGGCGCACTACATCAAGATGGTGTCGCTGCGGCGCGGCGCGCTGCTGCTGCCGGGCTGCGACCGGCGCTTCGCGGCGCTGTGGTCGAGCTACGCGAGCACCATGCTCCAGATCATCGGGCTCATCAACTTTTTCATCCGCGGCGGCACATTTGCGGGGGGCCGCAACTACATTTACTCGTGCCTGTACACGCTGATGCGGCTGGACCTCCCCGCGCACTGGTCGCTGTGGCACGCGCACATTCGCGGCAGCATCGCGTATGTGGAATCGATTGGCGGCGTGACGGGGATGCTGACGTCGGGAAGGACGTATGGCCCGCCGATAGGATTCACTCGCATGTTATCGTAAGTGGCAGAAAAGATTCCATTATTGGGTTATCAATGAATGACTATGTAGGTACGACGGGTGTTGACTTGAGAGTTTTTATTTAGAGAAGCCATCATGTTTAGCACGACGACGCCGGCGAGGATGCAGATTACAGACTACTACCACTTTACCGATCAGGAGATGCGCATCATTCTTCTCGGCGAGTACGACTGCGACATGCCCGCACCGATGGATCTTCGAATAGCCATATTCAAAATCAATCGACTACGCTTCGCAGCCGCCACCGCCACCAAATCCACACCGGCCGCCGCCGCCGCCGCCGCCGCCGCCCTCACGCCGCTCGTGCACCGCCAGCTCAACGACATCGACGCCGCCGACGTTGACGACTGGTGCATGAACAATGCCGTCTACGGACTCGAGCACAGCCTGAGCCTCGCCCGTATATTCCGCCTCGCCGTCCGCCTCTTTGCGCTGCTTACCCTGCCCCGCTCCGCCACGACATCGTGGGCACGCGCCGTCCTTGCGCCCGACGAAGACGAAAACGATCCGTACCGCAGTGTATGCGCCGCGCAACGGACGGAGCTGCTGGCGCGCATGCGGGCGCTCTTTCCGCAGCTAGAGTACCAGCCTAACCTGCGGTGGCCCATGGTCGTGGCGGGTGTGGCGACGGCGACGGCGACGGCGGACGGTAGTGCGGCGGCGGCGGCGGCTGATAAGGCGTTTATAGCTGAGAGCCTGCGCATTATCTGGGAGCAGCCGGTCGTGGCGTGTGGCCCGATGAGGTGCAGAGAGCTGCTGCAGAGGTTCTGGGCGTCGGGCAAGACGGAGTGGGAGGAGTGCTTTGTCGAGCCGGTGCCGTGCTGACAACAAAAAAAAAAAAGATTGTTTGTTTTGTACATTTACATGTACATGATTTATGGCGATACTGTCGAGTTCAAGAGTTTTTTGATCGCTATTTTATTCACAACAAAAGGAGTATACCCGTCTTTTATCTGTTTCCTTGCACACCACCGCCGCGGACAAGATGTACAGGAACCAAGTCGATTGGCCTTTAGCAGAGTCGCGTGCACACGAGAGAGGCGTCCGGACACAAGGCCATCATTTCCCTTGCAGAGACTCTACATCATCATGAGAAGAAAAAAACTACCGTTATGAGAGAGGATGCTGTCAGAGCGATTCTGTCAAGACTTTCAAGCTGAAACTTGTTTGTTCAAAAAAAAAAAGCTCTCCTGTTTTGAAAAGATTTTCTTTAAAATATGCTGTCACCCGAAATTCACGCTTGAGAAAAGTTGTCCCGTTGTACAAGGATTTGTCTTTATTTAATCAGCCTCGTTTGATGCTGTGTATCGCTCAACCCATTCAGATGTTTTGTTGGGGAAGGTGCTGTTGTGGCACCTAATACTTCGCCGCCGCTGCGTCCGTTTGTAGCGAGAATTGGTCTCTTCAACATTGCTTGTGCTTTATTCTCTCTGTCTCTCTGCCACCTTTGTGCCGCACACCACGCAGTCCTCTTGGTCTCATTGCTGAACCAGAGCCTCTGAGGATCATATTGGAACATGACCAAAAGTCAACGACTTGATCTATCGAATCGACTATCCAAAGCCAAAGCTCGAGCCTCAGTGAGCTAAACACATGGACACTGTGAAACATGACGGCTATCCGCCGGATTGACCGCCCGTGTTTGTGGAGTTACAATGTCGTGCGAGTCAGATGAAGCTGTAAAAGCTGCGAAGCTCGACGAGTCTGGCCCTCAGCGAGCTACTCTCTTGTCTCAACACCCAACGAATTTCCATCCAGACGTCGCAAATTTCGTATTCACGGATACACAGCAGTGTGCAAACGCCGAATCCGTTGCCAATGCTGTGCAACTATATGCCGTCGCCCACCCAATCACGAGCTTCCTCGACGCGCTCAGATGACACCGCATCCGCGTCGCTTCAAACTTTTTGCTCTATATAAATCTCCTCCACTCCGCCGCTCGACTCTGGTGCAAAATCAATTGTCTGCCCAGGCTGCAAAGAAAAATGAACAAGCGAGCAGCACCCTCAACGGAGAGCTTGGAGGCAGGATGCCGACCAAGGAAGCAGATCAAATACAAAAAGAGGCGTGGAAACTTTTCGCCAAAGTTCTATGACGACCTGTCCAAGGTCTGGCTCACCCCACGAGCTCTGCGAGAGCTTGATCGACGCAACGCTGCGAGACCGCCGCTGGCAAGCCGTCCCCCGGTTTCCGCTTCCTCTTCCCCTAGCACAACTGTGGCCCAGTTTGCACGGCATGGAGGCCCCAGTCTCTGCCACTTGAGAGGATGTATCGACTCTAAAGGTACTACCCAGATACCGACGAGTAAAAGTTGGTCGTACACACCCGACTCCAAAATGTCGAAGCGAACCTCGGCCTATGATACCAAGTTTGAAGAAGGCTTGGCAGAGTACAATATATTCACAGACGACTACCACCTCAGACGCTGCAGAAGGGACTACTCGACGCCTGAGCCGGAAAACTTGGACGATATTGTCCAATCGATATCCAAATCTCGAGCCTCTCAATCTCCGACTAGAGATTTGTCGGCCGAGTTTCAAAACTTAAAGCGGGAGAATAGTCGAGTCATCAACCACGCTTGCACCCGGTCGGCGCTTTTGCCAGTCATCAAAAGCAATAGCAAGGAACATGATGGCGAGTACGGCCTTCGATTTAAACGCCTAGACTCAATCACCAAGCGCACCACTGTCGACCCAGCGCCTGATCTGTACGACGGAAGCTATCCCTCGAGTCTTCACAAATCTGTCCAACAAGATCTCGGAGATGTGATAACTCCCACACATCATTACAACGCACCCGTTCTGCCGAATTTCTTTCTCGAAATCAGGGCCCCGGAGAAATGCTTCGAGGTGGTGAAGCGCCAAGCATGCCTGGATGGTGCCGTAGGCGCTCGCGCCATGCACGCGCTGCAGAACTACGGTGCAGAAAAGCCCATGTACGACGGCAACGCGTATTCCTTTAGTTTTGTTTACCACGCGGGAACGGCCACTCTTCACATGTACGCCCACTTTCCAACGGCTGCGCAGAATGAAGGAGGTACACCAGAGTACCAGATGAAGCAGGTCGACGCGTTTTTCATGACAAAGAACCGCGAGGACTTTGTGGCCGCGGTAACTGCGTTTAGAAATGCCAGAGATATGGCGAAAAGTTATCGAGAGCGCTTTATAGAAGCGGCTAATGTAAGAGCAGAGGGCAAAAGCCAGCCTCTGGCGGAAGGTAGGGAAGAGTTGCAGTAGCTGTTGATGCTGTGACGGTGTGAGAACCTTGAACGAGGAATACGATTGTGCTCATGCCGTTGGACATTGAAAACGACCGCGGCCGTTCGTCCAATGCAAAGACCGGGGCTACTAACAGATGTAAATAGATGCTGGTCTTAAAATAGGGTTGGTCATGCTTATCATTCCAATCAATTTCGAATTAAGTTCAGTTTCAACTCCACTGCCTTTTCCACAATTGCCTCCCCTTGAAAAAGCGCAACTTTGTAAAACAGCGGATCCTTCCTCGACATTACGCACTGATAGTAAAGACTTGACCTTCAAAAGGATGTAGATTCTGTCCTTCATCCTTACCGTCATGCGTAGACAGGATGCGCGTCAACTTGACCGAATCCTGTTCCGTTAGTCCGAGCTCCGAGGCAGACGGCACAGTCCACGTCTGCGGCTCCTTGGTAAAGTTGAGGACCACGAGCGCCCGCTGCGAGCCGCCCTGCGCTTCTTTGAGAAACATGTACGTCTCCTCGTTGTCCTCTTGCAGACCCGTGTAGTCGCCGTACACCAGCACGTCGGCGTGCTCCTTGCGAAACGCGAGCATCCTGCGCCAAAAGGCGAGCACGCTGCCGGGGTCGTCGAGCTGCGCCGCGACGTTGATCTCGGCGGCGAGGGGGTGCGTCTTCATCCAGGGCTCGGCGACGTCGCGGCCGGCCTTGATGGCGGGATCGGAGAAGCCGGCGTGCTTGGCGGTGCCGTCCCAGGCCATGGGCACGCGAGCGTGGTCGCGGGCGAGATATTGCATGGCGGCAAAGGCGCGGTCCAGCTCGGCCGGGTTGTCGGCGCCGTGGCGCTCCCGAACCATCTTGTAGTAGGAAGAGCTGTCAATATCGAGGTAATTTTCGGGCGGGTAGCCGGCCTTGGGGGCGTTGACGCAGCCAATCTCCTGGCCCTGATAGACGTACAGCGTGCCGCTGAGGCAGGACTGCATGAGCGCGAGCAGCTTGGCGCCGGCGACGCGGTACTGCGGGCTGTCGTCGGCGAAGCGCGACACGGAGCGGGACTGGTCGTGGTTTTCGATAAAGGCCGTGGTCCAGGCGTCGGTGCCGCGGATGATGCTCTGGGTGCGCTCGACGGCGGCCTTGACGTCGGGCAGCGTCCAGCTGCGGGGCGTCGTGTCAAACTTGTGCGTCTTGCCAAAGCCAACGTCGACAAGGTCAAACTGAAAAACCATGTCGAGCTGCTTCTCCCTGGCGCTGACGTACCTGACCACCCTGGCCATGTCGGGCGTGCAGGGCAGCTCGCCGACGGTGATGGCGCCGTGGCGGGCGAGGATGGCGTTCATCTCGGAGAGGAACTCGTGCATGCGGGGCCCGTTGCAGTAGACGGAGCCGGCAGGCTGGTAGGCGGCCCCGGGGTCAGTGACGGGGGCGTCGGGGTAGTCCTGGTGCTTGCTGTACATGTTGACCGTGTCGACGCGGAAGCCGTCGACGCCGCGGGCGAGCCAAAACTCCATGGCCGAGGCGTAGATGGCGCGGCGCGTGACCGGGTTCTCCCAGTTGAGGTCGGGCTGCTCCGCGGCGAAGAGATGGAGGTAGTACTCGTGGGTGGCCTCGTCCCACTCCCAGGCGCTGCCGCCGCCAAAGTTGGAGCGCCAGTTGTTGGGCGGGAGGCGCTCGCCGGTGGTGGGAGAGTGTCTGGCGGGCTTCCAAATGTACCAGTCGCGCTTGGGGCTGTCCTTGCTGGCGCGCGACTCCTTGAACCAGGCGTGCTGGTCCGAGGTGTGGTTGATGACGAGGTCGAGCATGATGCGCATGCCGCGGGCGTGCGTCTCGCGGATCAGCGTCTCCATGTCCTGGACAGTGCCGTACGGGCGGTAGACGTCCTCGTAGTTGGCAATGTCGTAGCCCATGTCGACCTGCGGGCTGTCGTACATGGGACACACCCAGATGGCGTCGACGCCGAGGCCGGCAATGTAGTCCAGCTTGGAAGTGATGCCAGGGATATCGCCGATGCCATCTCCGTTGGAGTCGCAAAAGGAGGCAGGGTAAATCTGGTAGATGGAGGCCTGCTTCCACCACTTCTTCTCTCTCCCGATGACGGTCATTTTGGAGGTTGTGATGTATGAAAAGTGCAGAAAAAGACGGGGGGTATCAGTTGCGGAAGAAAATACAGCTGCTCTCGACAGGGTGACTCAGGAAAGGGGGGGCGGGGGAAGAGGAGTGATGGTGTATGGTCTGGCATCAGTCGAGAGACGGGCGGCGGCTTAAATCTGCAAAAGTCGTGCCTCGCAGTGGAGAGAGTAGTGTAGGCAGTGTAGCATGTCCCATTAGCAGAGAATATCGGACTGGGGGAAGAGAAAACTCAGTCTGCAGGTGGACGTCCGGGTTCCCAGATTCTGCAGGATTCAAAACATCGTGGTGTTGTCGGTCCGAGAGCAAGTGGTCATTCTGCGACTGCCGGTCGCGGGGACAGGCTGAGCGCCTCGCTCGGTTTTGTTCTTGCCATTATGATACTGAATCTCAACCAGCCAGACTCGTTGTGTTAGATGATGATGAGGATGCTTGAAAGCTAGAGCTCGTTAGCAACGAAGCTTGCGGGGAAGATGCGGGGGATGAGCGTTGAGCGAATCGGACGATCAACTGTCGGACCGACGAAACGCCTGCCTGGATACCTTGCTGGTCCTCGACCCAACTCCAAGCATCAGATCTGCACGTCTCCGCTTCCCCAACCCAGCCCCAGACTGTCCTTTGTACGAACTATTTTTACAAAACCTACCATTAAAACTTGGGTCCAGCTACATATTCGAGCTCAGAAGGAAGTCGCCACAGCGCCCGAGGCGGTGGCAAAGTCTCATTCGGCATCATCATGGCTTCAGCTATTGAACGCCAATTGGAGATTCTTTGTATAGCGGCAAGTGAGCTGATTCGCCGACGCAATTGCTCTTCAAGGTCGGCCCGAAGGTCGTCGTATTGCTTGACGGGCGCTGTTGATTATGCAACACACGTGAAGGATTTATCTGAAGAGGGGCGGCATCATACCAAGTAAAGTGTCGTTTGAGTGGAATTACACTATGAGATTTAAAGGTAATACTATTATCTACATGGCATAGAATTTTTTGCAAATTCTCTAGAATCTATGACTTACCTAAACACCCAACGTCAAAGCGAAATCAATCACTCTAACCCCTCTTGTTCAACCGTGACTTTTTGGAAAGGTATTCTTGTTCAAGTACAAGGCGTGCGTGTAGTCGTCATCTCTGATGCTTCAATAGCTAATCATGTATCATGAAAACCAGATCCGACCCGCCTTTTTGTTGGACAATTCCCGCCCATGTAAATGTATGTGCTGGACAATCAACAGCGCCCTAGATGGACCGGTCCGGTGACCGGCCTAGCCCGCATATGAGCGAATCATTGATTTCATGGCGTTTGCATTTAGCCGAGAATCTCAACGCGCTGGCTTTAATCTGAGGCTAGGCAATCATTCCGGGGGCTTGACGCACGCGACGCTAAGCAATTTGGCTACGACGCTCCGGCAATTAATTGTTGGGTACGAAAACGCTATCCGTTCTTGAAGCGCGGGGAAGTACATTTCATGCAGCCACAACTTGTAAGCGGCAGGCTGATATTGGTTACGAAATGATTCATTGAATAGGACTAGTTGAAGGAGATGCAGAATTAGGTATACTTGGTTCTTTGCTTTGGTATTAGGTTCAAAAAAACCATCTCCCAAAAAGGAATCAAGTAAAAAAACAGACAAGAAAAAAAGACATCATCAGAATACCTGATAATTTTCAAAAATTAAATCCAAAAACTTCTTTGTACCCATAAGCATTGTTTTAATTATAAACACACTAACGATTCATCAAGTTGCTTGTATATCCACGATGAGCCGACCAATCAACGGATTCCTTTTCGGACCGAAGAGACAATTGTAGCCACCAAAAAAAAACAGCCAGCTAAAGACGCATCACAAAAGCAATATTGGTTTCTTGGGCGGCAATTGACTTTCCCCCCATCTCCTTTGCTTTGACAACCCTTTCACAAACTTAGTCCAGCCACCTACCTCCCCTTGAATGCAACTGCTAGCGCCGTTTTGCTGGCCTCGAACGACGACAGGCCCCCATCTACATCTCTCATACATGCGACTGGTTCTTCCTTGATTTGCCCCCCAGATCAAGGCCTCAACACTTTTTTGAGGTCCTTTTTCTTCCTTGATACATTCAGAACGTGGCATCATTATAAATAGAAGCCTCTCCGCACCGGTCAATATCTTGCAAAGAACAATCATAACTCGCAGGCCTATCATGACTGAATAAGTCGCTCGCTTTTCCCAATCTTTTGGACAAGTTTTCTCCTCATTCAGTCTTTGCTGCTACTTTTTATTTTTATTTTTTATTTTTTTTTGTGAATCTCGTAGCCATGACTTCTCCAATCCCTCAAAAAGATGTCGGCCCTCAAGTCCTAACCACCGTGGCTAGTCCTCCTGCCTTTGACGCCTCGCGCGCCCTCGAAGCCGTGGCCGCCACCGAGGCCGAGCACAACATGGGCCTGCGCAAGTCGCTCAAGCTCTACAAAAAGGCCTGCATGTGGTCCATTTTCTTTTCCACCTGCATCGTCATGGAGGGCTTTGACCTGGCCATCATCGGCGGCCTCTACGTCTACCCGGCCTTTGCCAAAAAATTTGGCGAGCCCACCGCCGACGGCGGCTACGAGCTCACGGCCGCCTGGCAGTCTGGCCTCTCCAACGCCGCCCTCTGCGGCCAGATTATGGGGCTCTTCGCCGCCGGCGTCATCGCCGACCGCTTCGGCTACCGCAAGACGCTCATCGGCGCCCTGTTTCTCTGCATCTGCTTCATCTTCATCATCTTCTTTGCCGAGTCCCTGCCCCAGCTGCTGGCCGGCGAGCTGCTCGTCGGCTTCCCCTGGGGCGTCTTCCAGACCCTCACCACCACCTACGCCGCCGAGGTCTGCCCGACCCATCTGCGCGCCTACCTGACGACCTATGTCAACCTCTGCTGGGTCATGGGCCAGTTCATCGCCTCGGGCGTCCTCCGCGGCATGATTCCCCTCAACAGCAAATGGGGCTACAAGATTCCCTTTGCCCTGCAGTGGGTGTGGCCGCTGCCGCTCATGGTCGGCATCTGGCTCGCTCCCGAGTCGCCCTGGTGGCTGGTCCGCAAAGAACGGCTACAAGAAGCCAAGAAGTCGCTTCATCGCCTCACGACGCGCAACAGCGGCGTCGAATTCCGCCCCGACGAGACAATCTCCATGATGATTCACACAAACGACATGGAGAGAAAGATTCAGGCAGGCATATCGTACTCTGATCTGTTCAAGGGCGTCAACCGCCGCCGTACCGAGATTGTCACCTGCGTCTGGGTTATCCAGACTCTGTGCGGCGCCTCCCTCATGGGCTACTCGACCATGTTCTACCGCCAGGCCGGCCTCGCCACCGAAAACGCCTTCAACATGTCTCTTGTCCAGTACGCCATCGGCTTCATCGGCACCATCCTCTCCTGGTTCCTCATGACGCGCTTCGGCCGCCGATCCCTGTACCTCTACGGGCAGTGCGTCCTCTTCACCCTGCTCGTCTCCATCGGCGGCGCCGCCTTTGCTGGCCGCCACAACATTGCCGCGCAGTGGGCCATTGGCTCCATGCTGCTCGTCTACACCTTTGTCTACGACTGCACCGTCGGCCCCGTCTGCTACTCGCTCGTCTCCGAAATCAGCTCCTCCCGCCTGCGCACCAAGTCGGTCGTCTTTGCCCGCAACATGTACAACATTGCCGGCATCGCCACCAACATCCTCACACCGCGCATGCTCAACCCCACCGCCTTCAACTGGGGCGCCAAGTCGGGCCTCTTCTTCGCCGGAACCAGCAGCCTCTGCATCCTCTGGACCTACCTTCGCCTGCCCGAGCCCAAAGGCCGCACCTTTCGCGAACTCGACGTGCTCTTTGAGCGCCGCGTGTCGGCCCGCAAGTTCAGCGCCGCTGTTGTCGATCCCGCCGAGATTTCCGGCCTCGACGCCCATGGCGGCGATGCCTTTGCGGAAAAGACCGACGCCAAGTCCGAGTTTATCGAGCGTGCGAAATAAAATACCAATCATCTTATGTGCCAAAAGCACATCACTTCACATTATTATGCACTCATGCCATCTCATATCATCTCGAGCGATAACTAGCGCATTTTATCGTATATTAATACCACGTACTGATACTCTGATTCCTAGCAATATATTTGAGAGCGTGTACAGGTGACAAGCCCGGCTGGCAAAAGAGCACACAATGATTAAATGACAGGTCTAGTGAACCAATAATACACCCATTATACCATGGCATCTATGCAAACACACTTCTAGTGTTAATACGCATCCGACCGCTTCACCCACTTTGGCGAAGCCACCACCTCCACGGGCTCTCTCCCCGTCAGCACCGGCTGCCGCGGCACCAGCGATAAGCCGGGCACGGCCACACCCGCCTCGTCGAGCGCCCACACGGCCAGCCCGACCCAATTATCACCCTCATAGTTGAGAATGCCCTCGGGCACCGGAAAGCTCGTTTGGGGACCGAGGTAGTTGATGTACTTGCCAAACTGGAAGCCATTGACGTAGAGGAAGCCGTGATAGTGCTGCGCGACGGTCGCGTTATCAAAGACAAAGGACAAGGGAATGTCGTAGTCTTTCGCGGGCAGGTCGAGCGCGAACTTGGCAGCGTAGAACTGCACACCGGCACCGTCATGATGCTCGAACGGCGTCTTGTGGAAAAATTTGCCCGCGGGCGGGTTCGGCTGGTGGTAGCCCTGGCGCTCGAAGAACAGGCCGCCCTCGTTGAGCGGTCCTCGAAAGTGGTCCTTGTAGTCTTCGCCACCGAGGTTACCAGTCAGTTTCCAGGACGAAATGTCCGTGTGGGTGCCGGAGCTGGTGGTCAAGCTGTACGCGATGATACCGCGGGGCCGCTTCATGTCTTCGTCGCCAATGATGAAATTTTCATTGAGGCCCATGTTGTCGACAACAATCGTCAAGACGTGCAGCGTGCCCGGGTCGAGCTGCGGGATCGCGTAGGTCGAGTTGGCGTCGTCATGGTTCGCCTGCGCGAGGCTACCACCGACAAACTTGCCGTCGAGCCACACGCTGCTGGCAAATGCGAGACCGCCCATGGTGCGCAGAAACAGGCTGTTTTCGGTCCCGGTGGCGTTGAAGCGGCCGCGGAATAGCAGTGTGCCTGTGTTGTACCCGTAGTCGCCGCCGTAGAGTGATACGGGCGTGCTGAGCGGCCAGACCGAGTTGCGGGTATAGTTTTGGGCGCGCGTCCACTGGCTGTCATCGTAGCCGGGTTGCAGCTCGGGCAAAGAGTCCATCGACAGCCAGTCCAGCGACTTGAGATCCGGGAGCTTGACGTCGGGAATCTTGATGCTGGGTTTGGCAAGCCAGCTACCATGCTTGGACTTTGTAAATTCGGTCATCTTGCCATTGATGGAGAGCTTGGAGACGCCCTTGGGGGCACCAATGACTTCAAAATCGGTTGTCTTGTTGAAGTCGGCCTGTATGTTGAGTGTCGAGCCTGAGACATCGGCCGAGCGGACGAGGTAGGGGCCGCTGACAATGACCGCATCGGGGTTCATGACCGAGTTGCCAAAGTTGCCGTTCTTGCTGCTGGGAAGTATGGGAGCCCAGTAGTTGTAGGCCGAGTTGCGGTCCAAGAGGTAGATGGTGAGATCGCCCAGCTGAATAATCTGTCGCTCAGTCTCGACAGTCCAACTGATGACCGTATTGACGGAAGAAGACACAGCGACGTTGCTACTTTCAATCTGGGCGACATTGTAGGATTTTTGGAAAGCGAGCTCGTGGAGTTCGCCCAGGCCACCGTACAAGACAAGTATGGTCTGATTATCAGCCTTTTGCCAGGTAAAAATTTCTGCCGTGCAGTAGCGCATGGTGTGCTTGCCAACAGGATAATCGGTGACGTGGATCTTGGTGTCACGACCTGGCATGGTAAGGCGTCCGCCCGTCTGAGGCACAATGAGAGTTCCGTTGAAAGTCGGCAAACGCAGCTTGTACGTTGCAGAGGTAGTGAGCTGGTAGTCAGAGTGGCGTACGATGTAATAGTCACCAGTACCGTTAGACTTCAGCGGAGTCACGGCAATGTTGGGGTTGTCGGTGTAGGCAGTAGTGCTCAGAGCGCCGGGGGTAGTGAGAAGATAGCTAGGGGAAGCTCGGTTGAAATGCGCCTCGAGCTTGAGCTCGGAGTACTTTTCTCTGTCGATGTAACGATCCTCACGAATTGCAGAGCCATAGTCGTAAGAAGTGTATCCGCGCGAGTGACCAAGGTTGCCCCAGTTTGTGCCGCCGAAGAGCATGTAGACATTGAGGATGCCGATAGCACCAGCAAGAGTGTCCTTGTTGAAAACGCGCTCGTACTCGTGATTGGTGAGAGCAGCGCACTTCTCATATCCAACACCGCCGTAGGGATCGTACGAGCCACCGCCAAACTCGTTAATGGTAAAGGGAGTGTTGGGACTGTTTCTCATGTGCACCTCGTAATAGTCAACAGGGAGGGCGTCGCTTCTCCAATAGGTAGGGTTTGAGCAGTCAAAGCCTAGAGGATACGCGTCGTAACCGTATATGTCTACCGCGCCAGCACCACTACCAGGGCGGTTATGGCCGTCTTTGCTGGCATCATTATTCACAATAGGAAGCACAATACCAAAGCGACGGGCCTGATCAATGACGGCCTGCATGTATTCGCCATCAGGAAATGGAACTCTGCCGTTGGATATGCTGTACTCATTTTCGGCCTGATAGAGGATGACTGGTCCGCCGTTTGTGATTTGGTACTTGGCAATGAGAGGAACAATGTTGCTCATGTAACTGTGTCTGGTTAGGTACCCCGGACATGTGAAAGGTAGTTGTTGAGACTCACTTTTCAGTTGCGTTCAAGAAATCGGGCGACTTGGTTCGCAATTGGCCGGTGAGGCGCTGCAGACGCCCGGGGAAACCACCGCCAGCGACTTCAGCATTGATATATGGACCAGGACGAGCGATGAGGAATATGCCAGCAGTCTTTGCGGCCTTGAAGAAAGGCTCTAGGTCAAAGATGCCTTCGGCGCGGTATTCGCCCTCTTTGGCTTCAAGCAACGCCCAGTCGACGTAGAATGAGACTGTATTAAAACCAAGAGCCTTGATTTTCTGGAAGACGTCAAGCCACAAGCTAGGCACCGGAAGTCTGAATGGGTGGAACTCGCCAGAGTAAATCATGGCGCGCTCACCGCGAATGAAGAGGGAGTGAGCGTCCCAAGTAACGACATTCTGTTGCGCACCTCGCCCCTCGGCGTCTGAAATGACTTTGAAGGGGCCAAAGCCGTTGCCCCGTATCGCAGCGGCGGCCGCGAGGGACGATAGCGCGAGCTGTAATACAAGCGTCAAGAGCTTCATATTGGCGCTTCAACTGAGGAACAAAAGAATGAAAAGTAAAAATAGAAGCCCCAAACGCGTTTTGTTTCGACGAAAACCGCAGTCACAGCCCGGTTCATAAAGCTGCTCGAAGCTTCAAGGGGATGCATTCAAAAGGAAATGAAGCCGATGTAGCTTGGATCACGGGGATTTGTATCGGCGGGTTGGTCTTGCCCAGCCGTGTTTGATGAATCCATGCTACGGTAACGCATGGTCCTTTCTCCTTTCTAGTATAAATAGTGCAGAATTCCAGAGTATGCCGCTTGGAAGCAAGGGTAAGGCGCATACCAGAAGACCCGGTTATGTACGGAGTACTTGGTGGACTTGACACGAATTTACGGCCGAGGGAACCAGGCCCGTGTCCGGGTACTCGACTCTTTCGTGGGGCTTGGTCCGTACTTGAGAGATTCACCCCGCAGAGTTACGATCCTCAATCTGATTGGCCTTGGCATCATGAGGGAGTACTGCAATAGCGACAATTCTCCTACTTGGACTGGGTAATAGGTCAGTGTACTATTCGTACTATTGATTTCGATGATTTTGGCGCTAGTTTCCTTGGGCCGTACCTGCGTCAAGAGGCTACCTATTTGCTGCTAGTTAGCTGCACCAGCTTGCAGCGAAAGATTGGTTCGCTGTTGGGGCCATTAAATCTGTACAGAGAGCGAGATTAAGATCTCCACCCCCATGGAAACCCCCCCTTCAGCAAGGACGGAACACGGCATCAAAAGGGCAGGTGATGTCCTAGCATTGAAAGCCAAAGTAATTTCTTTGCCCTGAATCATGCGAGAGCTGCATCACGCGACGCGTTTGTTGCTTTGCCGAGCTCGAGTCGAGGTGGCACACGGCGGTTGACTGCAGACGCAGGCAATGCCGTTTTGAATCGTCGGCGCACGGTGAGGCAAAGGGTATATCGGCTTGTGCCCGGATCTTGAATCAATCTGGTGAGCTGGGCTTCTTCTCCATCTCTGGTGAGATACTGACGCAGTGGCACCCAGGGCGTCCAAGCCTCCCGTACCTAGCGAAGCCAAGGGACTACTTTGTAGCCTGACTGTTTTTCCATCATTTTTCACAACAACGCGTCAATTGATGAGTTTTGTGACATGTGGCACGTTGGAGCCAGCTGCTTATCCCCGACGTACTGCTAACTTGGACGTGTCTTAGCAGGCCGCACTCGCCGTGTTCATTGGTGGGACTGTCTCTTTTCGAGCGTCGATCTTTTAATCAAAAATGAGATGGTTTGCGCTGGGCTGATGATCTGGGGCGATTATCCCGTACTAGGATGTATAGTGTCGTTGGCTGGGAAATCTGTCAATTGTCATGTTTCGCCCAGCAGCCTAAGCCTATGCCTGAGAGGCCAGAGGTAACTGTCGCTGCTATCGATTGCCACTCCGGTACAGATTAGAGCGGCATAAAACAGAAGCAAAGAACCGGGCTGACAGCGGATCATCGATAAAGCTTCCCCGGAACTGCGAATGCTGGAGAGATTTCTCTCCACTGCGGTAATAATTCTTCCCAAGCAAGCTTGTTTCAACAGATTGGCCGACAGCAAACAGCGAATCTGCCAGCTGCCGGCCCGCTGTTAAATCCGTTGCCAGCTGCGGACTCCACCTCTTTTATGGATTGAGTAGCTTTAACTTTATCTTGGTTTTGTGGCATCAAAGCATTTTTCTCTCTACAAAATTACGAGATAACTGGGACAAAAGAAGACTGCAACAGCATTCTCATCATCTCTGCACTACCACATATCTGCGTCTCTGCATCGCCGAGACACATCCTCCCTCATCGGACGCAATGCCATCCCACTAACCGCCGTCGCTGCGAGAGCACCCCTCCTCCGCAGTTTGCCCAATCACCCCCACGACGAGATCATCTACACAGCATCCATCTTTCGCTCCGCCTCAACGATGTCGACCCGTGTTGTCCGCGCCTGCGATGGATGCCGCGTTCGAAAAGTCCGCTGCAACGGAGAGCAGCCCTGCTCTCAGTGCGCGCACCTCAACCTCGCATGCAAGTTTGCGCCGCCCCCCGCTAAGCGCAAGCCCGGCGTGCGCGGACGTCTCGTTGCGCAGCTTCGCAACAGCCAGGCGCAGGAACAGGAGCAGCCCAACGGCGGAGGAGGAGGCAGCAGCAGCAGCAAGACATCCCCCCTCTCAGGAGGAGGGGGAGGAGGAGGTTCCATCACCTCGAGTAGTTCGCCCAGCGACGCCTCCCCGCCCGCCGTCACCTCCATCGCCGGCATCGTCAATTCGGACTCCTGCGCCGATACCGCTCTCACCACCAATAGCGCTGCCTCCTCGCCTCTTCCCGCGATGCCCTCGCCAACTACGTACAATGTCTGGCCACACCACACTATCAATTACTTTCTCGGTTACCTAGCCCTCTACGAAGAGCAAATTTACCCCGTCAACCCAGTCCTCAGCCGCGATGAGATGTGTGCCGCCATTCACAACATGAATGCCAGCTTTCAAGACCGCGCCCTCGTCTACGCCTTTGCTGCCATCACCATCAATCTAACCCAGACGCTGCTCACCACCCAATCAGATACCCTCACGGAAATAGCCACCCTCATGAGCCTGGCTATTCAGGTGCATCGCCAGGCCGAGACACTCCGCGACAACTGCACCGCCTGGACGAGGCTCGACGCGGGACCATCGGGTGCCAGCGTCAAATTTGGCGAGCTCTCCGTCAATTTTAAACGCATCATGACGTGCGTCTTTCTCGAAATCTGCATGATGGCGTTCAAGCGCTGGGACCGCAGCTTAATGCTGCTCCGCGAGGCCATCACCATGATTCAGGTCCTCAATGTCCACCAGTACGACGCCATGCCCTTTGACGGGTCGCAAATCGACGTCTTCGACGCCAAGGACGGCGGCCCGCCCGCTCACGCCAACCCCGCCGAGGTCACGGTCCACGCCGGCATGCGACCCCGCGACGTCTTCCGTCTGCGCCGCGTCTACTGGGAGGTGTACATCCACGAGCGCTTCCTCTCCACTGTGACAGGCTACCCGTGCGTGACGCTCGCCCTCACCGCGGTCCCGATCAACGACCCGTGCATACCGGCCCACGTCGACCTCGGCTTCAACCGACTCGTTAATCTCTTCCGCGTCCTTGACGGACCATTTCTCGCGCACTGGACCGCCCAAAAGGACCCCACACAGTCTGTCCCCAAGATGACGGCCGCCTGGATCGAGACCAAGCAGGCTGAGCTCGACCGCGACGAAGATGGCGCTGCCATCAGCGAGCAGCGCCTTGTGCACACCGGCCGCGGCCGCTTCACCGAGATTCAACACGTTGACCTCTTCGTCACTCGCGTCTGGCTGCGCACCCTCGTCTGGCAATTCGCCCTTCATCACGGCCTCCTCCGCTCCGCCCCGCCCCGTGACACCCACGAGGGCCTCTCACTACACTTCCCGGCCCAGCGCCTCTCCAGCCAACTGCGCGCCCTCGTCGCCCGCCTCGGCAACGTCTCCAGCATCGTCACCCACGGCAGCGGCATCCTGCAAAAGCTCTTTGAAATCACATCCACTGTCGCTGACGTCCTTGCGCTCCCCCTCGGCCCTGGCCAGACGGAAGAGGAGGCCCGCGCGCGCCTCCAGGACTTTGAGTTTCTCGTCCGGTTCCTGTTTAGCTTTGAACGGATAGATAAAACCCAACGCGACTACCTGCGCGAGAAGCTTGGCATCCTGGGCCGTCAATACACGGTTGTCGACTTTGCGGGGCTGGCAGGCAAGAGCCCTGATGCATGATGAGATTATGAGGAATGGAGGATGAATATTTGTAATACTGAGATCAACGGGAATGACTATGGACATGGTCAGGTTAGCGAAAGTCTATGCAGCACGCGCGTTTCGGCGTTTTTTTCCTTTTCAGTCATGGCATGCTTGGCGTTGACGGTTTTGGTTATGAATGATAGTCCTGCATCAACTCATACAACGATATCTGATCAGTTCAGTACACATCAGTGGCAGCATAGTCACAAACTTCATTGGCTAGATTTGGGATAATCATGTAGATTAATCAAAGTATTTCTACACAAGACGTAATAATTGATCAAGTAGACCTGCCCCTTCCCCTATCCGGCCAGATACAGAGGCCGACCACATTGCCGAGCTCTCAAGAAAGAAACGATTGCAAAGCCAAGCTATTGCGAGCACTGGCCCAGGAAGCAAGCACCTTGTTGCAGAAAGACGCCATCCTTGAGCCGTCAAGCCAACCACCAGCGTGCCAGCAGTGTTGAACGGGCTGGCCCACCGTGTGGGACACAATCCACGAGCAAACCACCTGGTGCACTTAGTCTGTCTTGATCTTTGTCAGGAGCATGCTCATGGCAGCGAATATGACAGGCAGGACGCTGACAATTTCGCCAAGGCCGGCGTAGGCTGGTGGGATGCGGACCTTGACCATGGCGCCCGACGCAAGTAAGATGGCGAGCACGTTGTAGACGGCGGACCAAACAAAATTGAACACCATGCGGCGAAAGCTGACGCGGCTAATCTCAATGATGAAGGGAATACCTTCAAGACCCTTGAGAAGAACGACGTCGGCGGCACCACGGGTGACCTCGCTGGCAGAGAGAGCGCTAGCAATCTGAACACCGACGTCGGCCTGCGTAACGGCCACAGCGTCGTTGGTTCCGTCGCCTACAAACATGACATTCTTGCCTTCTTCCATGAGGGCGGCAACATAGTCGCGCTTCTCAGAGGGGGAGCGCTGTGCTGCAACGTTGGGAATATCGACTTGGCTGGCAACCGACTCGACCGCCTGCTGCAAGTCACCAGATACAATGTGGACAGCAATACCTCGACGAGTAAGCTGCTGAATTACCTTGCCAGATTCGGCGCGGATTCGAGTTCGAAGACCGTAAGCCGCAATGGGCTTGGAGTTGCGGGTGATGACGAGAATAGTGAAACCCTGGCTCTTGATATTCTTGATGACAGGGTCAGTGTCAGTTCCAGTCCATTTCGAATTACCAGCGCGGATTAGGTCGCCCTCATAGACAGCTTCAACACCGGCGCCAGGTATGACGTGAATGTCTGTAGCAAAGATGGCCTTGGTGGCCCGGTTGTCCAGGTACTTGTCCACGCCTAGCGAGACAGGATGATTGTTGCCAGAAACAAGAGGTTTGGTAATAGAAATGGCCAGTTCTTCGTCACCGTCAAAGAAATCTGCCGCCATGACGTCAAGGTCGGTCTCAGTGATTGTGCCAGTCTTGTCAAAGACGACATCAGTAACTTTGCGGGCACGTTCGGTGCACTCAGCCGACTTGATGATGACACCATAACGAGCAGCAACACCACCGGCTACGACCAGGACCATGGGAACCGCCAAACCAAGGGCGCAGGGGCAAGAAACAGCGAGGGTAGCGACAGCATAGGTAATGGCGTTGGAGACGGTTTGGCCACCATTGTACCTGCGGACTTTGAGGCCGACCACAGCCCAAACAATGATGACAATGACGGCGACCGTGGTGACAATAGGTACGAACCAGCTGGCAACGCGATCGGCAGCATCCTGAAGAGGAGGCTTGGAGTTGGCCGCGTCTTCAACAAGTTGGGCGATATCGGTAACGGTATTCTTACCAGGTAGACGAGTCAAGCGAGCGACAATGGTACCAGTCCCGTTGACAGTCCCGGCAATAACTTCATCCCCCTCCTTCTTGAATACAGGAACACTCTCACCAGTCAACATCGATTCGTCCACATCACTAGACCCTGTGATGACAACGCCATCAGTAGGAACAGCGGTATGGGAAGCGACCTTGAACTTGTCGCCGTACTGAAGAAGTCTGGCGTCGATGTTCTTGTCCTGACCATCTTCGACAACGACAGCAGAGCTTGCCTGAAGCGATCGAAGTGAGACGGCCTGAACAGCGCGAACCCGGGCGAAAGTGGCAACTAGTCGGCCGAAAATGACAAGAGTGATGAGCAAGGTGCTAGTCTCAAAGAATTCCGCAGTCTCAAGAGGTTTGCCGGCCATGCGGAAACCAAAAGCGACGACTGAGTAAAGATAGGCAGCAGTAATGCTGATGACGACCAACATGTCCATCTCCACTACCCCATTGTAGATAAGAGAAGAAAGGGCAGGGCGATAGAAATCAGGTATAGCAATCGCTTGGACAAACGTGGCCAGAACGAGGGATGTAATGGCTTTGGTTGGCTCTTTGACTAGCTCGTCTCCCCAAGCCATGACTAAGACAGGAATCGTAAACGCAGCGGAAAGAAGAGTTTTGACCAACTGATCATACAGCCTCTTTCTACCGCTGGACACCGAAGGATCGTCTCGGGGAGGGGCGAGGCCTTGAGTACTGGGTGGCAATCTTGAGAAAAGTTCTCGAGCACCGATGATAGTAGGATCATAATTGATTCGAACCGTCTTCTTGTTGATGAGAGACGCGTCTGTGACACCAGGTATATCGAGGTCAAGGAGGCCTTTAGCCACTGAGCCTGTCGCTAGAATGTCAAGAGATTGGTCATCGCTGGAAAGCTTGGTGCATTTGAACCCGGTAGCACGTTCAGCAGTCTTTTTGACCTCATCAGGTGTGGTGATTGAAGTATCGATGCTGCATTCGGCCTGTCCCATGACAAAATTGACTCGTACGTTAGAGACACCGGGTATGCCTCGGAGACTCTTGTCCATCTTGTTCCCACATCCAGAACAAGTCATACCTTCGACGTGAAAAGCCAAGTGCTCGAGCCCATGGCCTTTTTCGAGGTCTCCAAAAGCGGCATTCTGAGTGCCGACGACTAATTTGCTGTCTGGGGCATGTTCGATGCGATCACCGCCGCAGCACGAGTCCTTGTCATCCTTGTCACTGCAGCAAGAGTCCTTTTCGGACGCAAGGCGGAGTGGCTGCTTCTTGTTACGTCGCTTCATTCCATGGTGGTGATGGGCTGGGTGGTAGGCACGCGCCGAGTTGAAAGAGGTAGCATTGCCGACAGATCGCTTGCGCATGGGCTTCTTCTGAGGATGGGTGCTGCAGCAAGTCTTGCTCCATCCACGGTCGAGGACGCCGCGACAAATGCAACGGGCAGATTCGAGATAAGCAGTGTACTGATCAAAAGCCTTGGCCAAGTGGTCGTTGCAGGCGGCAGCTGGGTGCCGGCCAGAAGCATCGTGGAGGTGCTGGTGGACGAGGTGGGCTGTCGCGTGTAAGTGGTGGATCACACATCGGTGCTCGGGTGTAAAATTCTCACCATCGGGGATCTCTCCCTCGCCTTCGCAAGCCTTTTCGCACTCAATAGCAGCAGCAGCAATGATACACTTTTCTGTCCCATAGTGTTAGTTCAATGCTGCATGGCAGCCATACTCGATAGGGCCAGATCGGGGTGGCAAACCGTCGCACTGCTCGTCATTGGTGTCACAGCAAGCCAAAGTTGCAGAACTGCACGTGTCGTCGGTGTCGCAGCAGTCAGCGTCATCGCAGACTTCACCCTTGGCGGCACAATCATTTTCATCAACGCAGTGCGCATGCTCCTGGGTAACGACTTGGTTGCGATTGTGTTCATGACCGTGTTCAGGATGGGCGTGGCCATGATCATGTCCGTGGTTGTGGCCATCGTCAATCCGATTATGATCGTGATGGTGACTACCATGGGCCTGAATCTGGCCGTCATCGCGAGCTGCATCATTGTGGTCGTGAGATTCAGTCGAAGGGCCACCACAGGACGGGCCGTCCTGCTTAGGGTCGGTAGAACAGCAGTCGGCACCCATCGTAGTGAGGATGGGTGGAGGGGTTGGAGGAGTCTGTGTTTTTCTGGATTTTTGGAGTAGTCACGCCCAAGGGAGAAGGGGAATTGCTAGAGGAACAAATGAATGAAAAGTGGAAGCAAAAGATTGAACATTGCTAACGGCCGGGCCATTGGGATAATAAATGGCGTTGGTGTCGGAAATGGTGGCCTCAGCGCGAGGGCCGCCGTTGGCCGTTTGCTGGTTGCCAGCTGGCAGCTGGCAGCTGCCGTTGACTAGTTTGCTTCGCCAGCTGCGAGCTCTCGTCTCGGCCAACTAGGTAGACGTCTGGGGAACCTCTATCAACAGTACATTGTGTCAAGCAACAACTTGGTGTCAAATGACGTCGCTCCTGATACTGTCCACTAGGCTTCATCCACGACTTTCCAAGACGGTGACTATCAGTAATAGAGTGGAGCTAGGCCGACTGGGTTCTAGGCTTGCCTCCTTATTTCTCTCATTGTCCCCTAAGTACCTAACTTATGCTAGAAAGCATCAAAGCCACACTACGCAAGCAAAGACCAACTTTCCATAAATCGTATGCACTCGTTCCATGAGGCCATGGCTTGAACAGTGTCGAGGAGCAAACAGTCAGCGTTTGTGCGTGTGCAACTGTTGACCGGTGAGGAGTGCTGTTGTTTGCTCGTACCCTTTTTGTCTCGTACTTACAAGACCATGATGCATAGCTCGCCGACTGGCTGCTGCATCATCATCATCTCTCATGTGAAGCAAAAACAACGGCTTGCGCAATCCTCATTCTACACCATCTCGCAGACAACCGTCAATATTATGGGGAATGGCCTGATTTTTGCCTCGTCCCATCGAGTGAGTTCAACAAAACCTACCCGATTAGTGGTGTTCTCTCGCAGCCATTGGCTCAGTCCGCCGCCTTGTGGAGCTGCCTTATTTCGATCCTACGTGGCCCTGCCAAATAGCCTTCTCAGCGCTTCCCTTCTTTTCCATCTTCAGATTTTACTCGATCCTTGGAACTGCGCTGCTGCAAATCTTGCTTCAAAACGTAGTTGGTGACTCAGAAGTAGTTACGCGAACCGTACCCGCCACCTTGTCCCGTGTGCCGCTCCGCTCTCGGGAACGCGCGGAGCCGAAACTATGCAGTTCGCCAAGAAAACGGTGACTCGACCCTAGCCTAGGCAATCTCATTTGCTTGTGGCACTCGCGCCCATCGGCCATCGGTGGTTGTCTTTACGAATCTGTCTGTCAAAGGATAGATAGTCAGGAGAGGGCTAGCAGTGAGGTCAACCTTCTTTTTCCCATCATGGGGCCTCGGCTGCACACTCCCGTGTGGATCTAGGCCTTGGTAACCCCCTGAGACGCGTCAACACATCACTTGCCGTACCCATAGATCACCCATGCGCAGAAACCTTCTCATTCTTTCCGTCGCGTTAGACATCGATCATCTTTGGCCCTCGTTCCAGAACCGGCTACTTGCAAGGCCCGACAGCCAGTCATTCTCGTTCTCAGCTTCAACAGCCGCCCATCGAGCTGTTTTTGGGATCTCGGCCAGGCTGCCTGACCCAGCGAGTTCAGGTCTTCCGATCGGCCTTGCCTTGATTGCCGAAGTTTGTGCAATGGTCCCGTCGGCTACTGCTTTAATATTACTGACACTCCCGGCGCAAGGTGTGGTTATCTCTCCAGCACTGGAGAAGAAGGGTATTTGTTTGCCCATTTCTCCGGTGAAAGAGAAATCCCGGCGAGCAAGTCATCGAGCGACCGAACTCCGTTCTCGAGGCCCAAAATATCAAAGTCTACAATGAGGTAAGTAGTTTCCTTCTTGGTAGTCATGCAGCGTGTCTTGTACTCGAACATTTTCAGCGTGTTGGCGAATATTTGATACGCAGTTCTTTCTCGCAGATTTCGTCCACAATCTCGCAAAATCTTCGTGCAATAGATGGAAGTGCTGCCATGAGCCTACATCAATGCGTTTTCCCTTACTCGGGCTCGTGATAAAGCGAGCTTCCGGAGATCTTCGGAACTGCGGCGACGACCACTCTTGCGCAATAGTGTCTCGACTCTGTGCCAAGTTGCCAAATACATCACTTCTATAACCCAGACTGAGATGTTTTTGAACGCTCAGTTTGATGGTCACGGCTACCCGTGTGTGTAGGGGAATGATTTTCAAACAGACCAAGGCTATATGTGTCGCACATTAACTAGCCGACCACAGCAGGGCATGATTTCAACAGAAGCAGCGGACCGTGAGTGGTGGTAAATCCGACTTGCCAAGCAGCACCCAAAAATGGTCTATGGCGGCCTTGTTCTTGCCGCTTTCCATCAACTTTGCTGGTGTTTTTCTTCTCAGCCACTCGGCGGGTAGTCTTGCCCATATGGCCTCGTCAAACTCCAGCGTAATATTCAAAACCTCTTGCATCCACGGCATAAACATGCTCCGCGGCAGCGCCAGCCGAAATTCGGTCAGCTTTGGCAGCTGCAAAACATTTTCTAGCACTTTGTGAAACAGCGCCTCGGCCTGCTCGTAGACTGCGGCGGACCGCGAACCATAGGCCTGCCACTGCTCCCCTCCGCCAAACAGGCCTAGGAGTGACAAGTGTAGACACTTTACATTGGGCAGGGTCGCTGAGAGCCGCGGAAGTAGCCGCTCCAGGCCCTCGCGGAAGTTGTACGTCTCGGGATGGTCGCCGAGTCGGAGACGCCGCGGATAGCCCGGCAGCCACCCCAAGTCCCAGTGCAGCGACACAAGGGCGAGGCTGTCGAGGCTGGACCTGGGAACTAGTTCCGGCAGATGCGCAAACATGAATGTCCCGTGCAGGCGCACCGTGTTGGACCTGTGCAGCACGTGGAAGCCCTCCCGGTAGGCCTGCCGGCACGTCCCCAGCCACCCCAAGGCGCCGAGGAAGCACGTCTCGGGCGCGCCGGGGTCATTGCAGCACTCGCCGTCGACACAGTAATCCCTGTCGAGGAACCAGTCGCTTTGCTGCGGCGACCCGAACCGCCAGCTGTGGTGGTGAAAGCAACCCGAGTGGCAGCGGGAGCTCCGCCAGCGCCAAAACGGCCGGGCAGCGTCGTCGAACGCGTACTTGCCCGGGTGCCGGGCGTGCCTGGCGCTGCGACCGTCGCTGCCGTCGTTGCGATGTTTGCGGAGGAGTGGCCACTCGAGGGACAGGTGCATGTGCACGAGCCCGTCGCCAAAGGCGGCGACGAGGATACGCTGCCTAATTTCGGCAGGGATGCGCTGGAACAGCGGGCTCTGGGCTGTCGCAGACGGGTCCGATGCGGCGACGGCGGCGGCTGCCGGGCAGGGCGGGAGCGGTGGCACCGTGCGGATGGCTGCCCTTCTCCGGGCGTCGTCGCTCAGGAGGACCCTGTTGCGGAGGCGCCGCAGGGAGTCTCCGACGGCACTCATGCCAAAACACGGTCGGAAAGAAAGGAAGACCTGATGGTAAAAGCGTTTGTTGGACAAGGGTTCTTTTAGGGGGGCGGCTTTTCTTGTTCGGGTTCTGTCTAGGAAGTGATGGACGGCCGGATTGCTTTCTCCATGTTGATGGTGAGATGAGATGAGGTGGGGATGGTGACACGATGCTGTAGAACGTGGCCATGTCAACACAGGGCTTGTCAAACAAACTATATCCAGCAGCGAGTGTCCTCGGGGTCATTTGGCGCCAACAGCATGCCAAGATGTGCATACAGAATTCGAGTTCAACATTTCCTATCAGTCGATCTCTAAATGACGGAGGCTCTGGCCATGTCGTCCATGAGTGGGCAAATTTACAGTCCAACTTAATTGCAAAGCGAGAAATGGTTTAATTACGAGAAAGATATCCTGGAAGTCTCACGGCATTGCTTTCTATACTTTTAAGAATAACGGACTTATGCGAGGACAGGACAGCATCGCGGATAATTCGATCAGTCCATTTCACGTCGATGTGGTGCATTTTTATGAGTGGCGGGTGGCGACCACCTCTGCCATGGAAATTCCAAGTCCATGCTCCCTCTATTTTCTTTGTCGCTCTGATCTACTTATATGCGAGTTGACTTTCCCTCTTATCCGTTCGAAAGGCTAAAGCGTCATAGTTCAGTCTGGCCAAGACCGTTTCAATGCCATCTTTTTCATTGTGAGTCGGACCGCAGTCGAGGAGTAGTATATACAAAAGATACTGATGTCGTCAGTCCCACCAAAAAAACGAGGAGCAGTTATCTAAGTCGACTTGAGGCTCTGCTTCGACATGATCGAGGTAAAAGCAGCAAGGGCCGCCTCGGGCTGGTACGCGGGCACCTCATGGCCGGCCTCGTAGACACGCAGCCAGTTGAGCTTGCCGGCCGTCTTGTACTCGCCGTACTTTTTGCCTCCGACAGTGTAGGGCTTAATGGAAGCTGAGACGAATTCCTGCGGTGCAATTGACTGGATGGCGTCGTAGTTGCCGATCCAGTTGCAGATCCAATCTTGTAAATCTTGCGTCAGTACTACGAGTTCTGTTTCAAAATCGGAAATGAATTTGGTGCTTACCAGCATCACCGGCCCAAATCAAAACGTTGACGCCAGACTTGATGACTTTGGATAAGGGCTCGAGAAAGGAGCGAGCGCCTGCGGCATAGCGTTAATGTGTGTCAAGCAATCGTCACCGGGGGAGGGGGGGGCGATAGAGTATACGTACTGTCATCACCACCAATAGCGGACCGGCCGCACGAGGAAAAGTTGGAGGTGGCGCCAATCGCCTTCTTGACGGAGGCGCTGGTGAGATAGCTCTCAAAGGTGCTCGGCGGGAAGGAGTCGTCGTCGGCGCGAATGTCGTAGGCGTCAAACTGGGCCAGGTCCTCCAGCGGGCTCTCGACCGAGTTTGCGCACTGGGCGTCAGCGCGCGCGCAGATGCTGTTGCTGCCGACGCCATCGGTGCAGCCCGAGTAGGCCGGTACGCACTTGTTCTTCCAGGCGTCGTAGTACGGCTGGGCGTCGCTGGCGTTGAGCAGAGGACGGTACTGGTTCTTGACGGCAAAGTCGACGTAGGCCTTGTATTGGTTCTCTGCGAATACAAACCCAAATCAGTATTGTCGTTGTGTTTTTTTTCCTTCTTTTTTTCTTCGAGTCCAAACACAGACAGAGAGAAAGAAAATCGACGGGGGCAACAAAAAAAAAAAAAAAAAAAAAACTCACCGGGATCGAGCCAGCCGTTGTTGATGCCGAGGGCGACGAGGTTAATCTTGTCGCCGGTGAGGGTGCCGGCGTCAATGGCGGCGTTTTGCTGCTCAAAGTAGTAGGCAAACTCGGGCCCGTAGTGGCCGCCGTACGACTCGGTAAACAGGCCAAAGTCGCGCGACTTGTACTCGGGAAACTGCGAGAGAAAGGCCTGCACCATTTTCCACACGGCCGGGGCGGCGTGCGGCGTCGAGTCGGCCGCGTTGACGTCGCCGTAGCTGAAGCCGGCGCCGATGGGCTGGTCGACGTAGAGCTAAACAGAAACAAAACTGAATGAGCCATGAGAGGTTTCTACAGGATTCATGCAGAAGCTATATACACACCATGTTGGCAAAGTTGTTCCACGAGTACGGGTTCAGTTTGGGCTGCGAGCCGCCACCGTTAAAGGTGCAAGGGCCGTTTTCCTGGAAAAGGCCGAGCATGGAACTGCATCCGGGACCGCCGTTGAGCCAGAGGGCCAGCGGCGCCGTCTTTGCGTTTTTTCGGGCCTCAAAGAACCACCACCACATGTGCTGGTTGTCGCCTTGTTTTGTTGGTTTCGCATCAGCCGGGTCAGAGAAAGAGCCGGTAGGACGACAAAACTCACCGACAGTCTGGTACCCCGAGTACTGGTTCACGCCGGGCGTGGTCTCGCAGATTCCCGAGTTGGACACATATTTAAGGCTCGTGCCGGTGGCGGCGTGCTCAAAGACGTTGTACTCGACGTCGTGTTCGGTGCGCTTGTACTGCTTGTTGGTGGCGGCGTCTTGCGGCAGCGCGGCGCCGAGCCCGGCCAGGGCAATGAGGGCCAGCTGTACAGACCGCATCGTGATGACTTCGAAAAAAAGAGTCTACGCAAGAAGTGAAGCTAAAAAGAAAAAACTACAGCATAAAAAAAAACAGGTAGTCGACTGAGAGTTATATAGAGGTGGGAGCACCATTGGTTTTAAAAAGACTCTTTAAACCTTGCTCCCGGCCCTGCTCGTATCATGTCTGTTCTTTGAGCCTAAGATGGCACCACAACGGTCCGCGCGCGATAGAGCCATGTAACGCTCTCTCACCAAGTCGAGATGAACTTGGCTCCGTATTTCAGTTTATGAAATGAGTTGATTCGTGAATGTGCAAAAGTAGTCCATTGTCTTTTGAGAAGCTTGCTCCAACCAATACCGAATATCCCCGTAGCGGCCTGCCTAATCAGGCAGGTCGTCGGCACTTGAGCCCCAACTTATTGTTGCACTGCGATTTATCTCTCCCGGTTGTGTTGCTCAACTTTCTACAATTTCAGCCCTAGTTATGCGTCATTTTTGACCTTTTTTCTTCTCCCTGTCGTGTTTTAGGTTCGATCCGGCATTTTGAAACTGATTTATGAGGATGCGTGCGAAACAAGTATCCTGTGATTATACATCTTTACAAAGAGTATAGAACCACACATGTGGCACGCACTAGGGCGATCATGTTTTACTTGGCAAGGCTGTCAATCTATCCCATGTGGCTTGGCGAACTACTATGCTAGCAGGCTAACCAACTCCTGAATAGTTCTACCACGACTCTCAAATGTTTACATGTAGCGATCAGTCATCTGGCTTGTAATTACAGTGTGGATTCCAGTTTGACTTTGAACCGTCTCTGACACGAACTTCATTTTTCATAACGAATCAACTGAGGATATGATAAAGCAAGCGTTTCCGGTGCCTACAACGTACGCACTTCGTCTCGTTGAGTGCCAGGACCTCGCAATTCAACCAAGAAATTACGCTGAAATTTATTCACAGTACCATGGCATATTGAGTTGAGACGGTAAAACGGCGGCGATGCAGAATTGCGTTACCTGCCCAGTTTGAGCCGAAAGAGACAGACTACCCGGTAGCTTACTTTGCTCTTCTCGGGGCTGGTTGCGGTTCTGGGGCCACGCCACGTAACACAGAGAACAGTCAAAGATGACTTTGAGAGGTTTTGATTTTACATTTTGCTCAAGAGGACTTGGTCCGTTCTGTCTTTACACATGTGGCGACGCACAGTAAGCGTAGTGCAAATGGAATCGAACGGTTCAAGGGTTTACACATTCGACCAGAAACCTTGTGCAGCCTCATTCCCAGCATGATATAGGGTTTATTTCTAAAGTAATCAATCTATCCCGATTAAGATCTTGCAGCTCTTGCATAGAATGTGTCGGTTGACCGTTGAGACTGCGCTCTTTGCCTTGTCAGGTCGGCAGTCATGTTAACTCTGATGAAAAAAAAGACGTGACTGACTTTTGTTGCGACGGCCAGGCTGTATACTCATGGCCGTTGTGTAGACAGAACAATCGCATCAAGCCAATCTTCTGTGCCTCGTTTGCGCCAAGTTTATGCGCAATCTCACGAACGAGAATGATCTACGGACTTGGAGATTGAAAGAAGGCCCTTTGCACGCAACCAAGAATTTCATCGGTCCAGGGGTAATATTGGACTCTGAATTGGCAGATGGGAAATGCAGAGTTCGAAACGCTGGTACATGAAAATATCCAATCATCATATTGGGAATATTATTAGTAGTATTGAGGCAATGAGTTTCATGCTATATTTAGAGCCTTTTACTGCTAATTTCAAGTCTATTTACCTTATTGTAATTATATAGTAACGCAAGAGTGCTTATTATACGCAATGCGGCTATAGGTACTTCATAAAGTGCAACGTCATGTTCGTTCCAAGCGTCGCACTCGCAGAAGCTGGTGGGTTCTTCCCCAGACAACCATTTCAATTAGACGAGGCCAACTTTCGCCGGCTTCGCATGAGAACGCTTTTTCTCATCACGTATAGCGGTCCTGAGGTGATGGCTTAATCGGAAATGCGCAAGCACCGAGCATGTCTGGGATGGATCATAGACAAAAGTCTCCTTGCCCACCACGCGGCTGTTGACCACTGCACGCCGTTTTAGCCTGCCATAAAAACTGTGGCTTTTGGCGAAATCCAGCCACGCGGATATGACGGATCCAGCAAAAAGATCTTTTGGCCAAAGCGGACAGAGAGTGGTGCAAAGTTGTCACATTAGTTAGTAGGGATGGGGTGAAAAAGGCGGCAGGCGCCGACGGCAAGCCGTAGCTAGAGTGAGACACACAATGGCAGGGAATAGGCTCCGCTACCAAGGAGAAAAGGCCCTCTGGCAGCAGCAGTGGTAGGTGGATTGAAGAGGCGAAAGGGTGCCACAGAAAGCTAGCTACTTTGCTTTCAATGAAGAATTGCCCTGGCAACCTGGTAGAGAGGTTGAGAGGCCAGGTTGGTTTCGCTGCCGCCTCGGCAAGTCAAGGAGACCAACCAGAGTCGCGCCATGATCAATTAAGCTGGCCAAACTGGGATCACTGCCGAGCGGAGAAAGTAAATGCAAAAGTCCTGCCTAGGCGGATTGACGATTGGGTAGTTACCGCGTGGGGAGGTTTGAGGATCTGCTCAATGTAGCAGCCAGTGCCAGTTACCCCAGACGCTGGCTGCATTTGAGAATTATTAGCGTAGCTGACGGGCGTCGACAGCAACCCCTCTCTTTTTTGCGCAATTGTTACGCTGGGGGGGGGGGGCTTGGGGGGTTACATGGGGCCGCCGTCAAAAGTTCTAGTAATCTATAGTGGCGCTCAAGAACCTCAGTGGGACAACACAGTAAACAGTGCATAATCAGCTGAGGCCCTTCAAGGCGAAAAGGGGGGGGGGGTCCCGGCGCCGACACCGCATGACATCGAGTACGGATTACCCGAGGCAAATGAATTCGGAAGTCCGTTTGTTAGGGAACATGGCAAGCTTTTTTGTCGCAACGAGCATGCATGCTGTGAACGCCGTCACTGCACCTCAAAAGAGAGGCTGATTTGAGGTACAGTGACGGCGTCGAGATATTGTGTACCAATGGGATTCATCAAGTGGCTTGCCATTACTCTGGATGACTCCAGGTGCCAAGCGATCGCGCTCTTGGCACGCTCGCCTCTGCGGAAATCACTGCTTGGCATTCCCGAGGTTAGTGAAATGGAATGGCCACCGGAATGCATAGAGCCTCCATTTTGACGAACAACTTTTGTTGGGCCGCTGTATGCATATATAACGCCTAGCGACCAGTTGCAAGAGGCTCCGTGGCGTAGTGAGCTAATGCGCAAAGACTTTCTTCTCCGAGGAACTTTTGTTCTGGCTTCAAGAAGCGCGGCAAAAGCAACAGTTACTATGTATGTATGTACAGTATCCGCAACTACTTAGTAGAGAGGGGTGTATAGATTGCAGAAGCGTCAGCGCTGACTTTGAGGCGATGCCCGCTTTGGGTTTAGATCGCCTGATTCGAGATAATCACTTTGTTCAAGGAACTTTTCTCTGCCAGGACCTCGGAAAGAAAGAACTTTTGGAAGCCTCTTGGAAACTAGCGATATCCATCTGCTCATAAGAGCGATACCAAAAGGCAAAGTGTTACCTCATGGAAACTGTAGACGAGTCTGGGGAAATTCCGAAATAACCCAGCCTTGAGCAAGGCGACAGATACATGGTCCCTTGAAAAGCAAAAGAGATAGTTAACCCAAGCGCCAAACAAGTCTGACCACGGACCCCACAGGTCCGCAGATGAGCATCCGTGGTTGCGCAAAGACCAGGTGCAATGGCAAAAGATGATTCGCATCCAATCGAGCGCGGGTTTCACCCTTATTATTGGTATTAATAACTAATAACTATTGATTGGATTGGTAGTCAGTAGTCTCGTTGCAACCTTCTCGCAGACAGCGCTTGTCGTATCTACGGATTACAAAAAAGTGGTTTTTACTTGCCACTCTCTCTCCACAGCCATATCTCACTCAGTATCTCTCGCAAAACCGAATAATAGTCCGACATTGGCCGCGGTCCCCCCCCCCCCTCAAAAGACTCCAAGATAACGCTCATCACTCGCTTGTGAGCGCCCAGTTCCTCATCGGCCCTCATCGGCGTATGCCAAGCCGCTGCTTTTGTATGGTGGCGCCGCCATGCCGACCGTCTCAGTGCCGGTTGCCGGTTGTGCGCTTGGCAAAGGGAAATATTTGTCTAAAAAGAGAAGGCAGGCACAGCGAGGCAGGGGAACTTTTGTCGAGGGCCCCCTTTAGCCATGCGCGCCCCGTCGATAAACTAGCGAGCAAGGCCACCAACCTCCATTGAAATGAATCGGCCGCCTGACCCGTTTTGAGACAACTTGTCCCTTTGAACTGATAGCACTGCTGAGCAAGGAGGACGGAACGAACTTTACTCAGCGTCTACATGCGCGCGTGCATCTGTATGTAGCAGCGACCTAGTTACTGACGTACTTGCCCCAACCTTGGCACATTCCCCTCGCAGATCCCACACCCCTCTCTTGCGCCTCCTGAGCACTTCTAGTGCGACAGAGAGTACTCTGCTCGGGATCTGTGTGCGCATACTCGGTACATACGGATACATACATACATATATACTATTCAGGCGACTCCTTGAGAATCAGCTGGGGCAAGCAACTGACTACATACCTAAGCTCCGTACCTTCCCCGGGGCATCCACGCCACCAGCTAGCTCATCGACCGCCCCATTACCACATGCTCCTAGGCTCTAGCGCAGACTCTTGCTTCAATTGGGAAGGCGAGATTGCCAATACAGAAACTGTAAGGCTTTCCATTGGTGCGCACCTACCTTCCCGTGGCGTCCTTCACAACAATGCGCACACCTCCTGTCACAAAGGACCCGGCCGGGCACTTGTGCCTTCCTGTCAGCTTGGCCCAAGATGGAGGGGGAGGGGTGTGGTATCGGGGGTGGTTATCGTGCATGGTAGCAGTAACAAGTTAGCATCGCGCAACCCCACGATGTCTGCACTGATATAATTATCCCCATTCCCATCCGCTTCCTTACCTTGGCCCATCCTTGTTTCCCTTGCAATCTCATTTCTTCTTCCTGTCTCAGACGACAACAAGCTTCTTTGCTTGAAGCTTTGTCAAAGGGACATTTTTCTTCAACACAATGTCTGAGCGTAAGCCCTACGCCAACGACTCCATCGGAGACGTTGATGCGCCTTACACCACCACCACAACCACCATGGACGAAAAGGCCGAAATCGCCCGCCATCATGCCGCGGTCGACGCGGATGTGCACCAGCTCGCTGAGAAGCGCGGCGACGGCGCCGACGGCCTCGCGCCAATGGACGACATTGAGCAGGTCATTACCAAGATTGAGGTGCTGGGCGTCGAAGAGTGCCGCCAGATCCTGTCGGATATGCTAGAGTACCACAAGTACGACTACAACTTTGGCGAGACTACTCGCGCTCACTTTCAGCGCCTCATCGACGGGCCTGCTGATGGCCAGACGCCCGAGGAATGGGAGACGGAACTCAAGACGGAGACTGCCGTCAACAAGTTCTTTTCTCCCTACCCCGAAGTTCGCGCCATCACCACCCCGACGGACGACGAAGACATGCCCTGCGAAACACCCCGCGCCGTATTCCTCGGCCTCTGCTGGGCTGTCGTTTCTCAATTCACAAACTCCCTCTTCAACTCTCGCTACCCTCAAATCACCCTCTCCTCCTCCGTCGCACAAATCCTGCTGTACCCCTGCGGCCTCCTCTTCCAATACATCCTTCCCGACTGGGGCTTCACCTGGCGCGGCTCTCGCGTGTCCCTCAATCCTGGTCCTTGGTCCTACAAGGAGCAGATGCTGGCTACCATCATGATCAATGTCGGAAGTACCTCTGCCTACTGCTTCTGGAACATTCAGACACAAACCGTCTACTATGGCGACAAGTGGCTGACCCCCGCCTACAGCATTCTGCTGCTCCTCTCTACCCAGATGATGGGTCTTGGCTTTTCCGGTCTGCTCCGCCGTTTTGTCATTTATCCTGTGGAAGCTATTTGGCCCAGCATTCTACCTACTCTCGCTCTAAACCGCGCTTTGCTCGTGCCCGAGAAGCGTGAAACCATTCATGGCTGGTCCATCTCCCGATACAAGTTCTTCTTCATCGTGTTTGCCGCCATGTTTGTCTACTTTTGGATTCCCGGATATCTATTCCCTGCTCTAAGCACATTTGCATGGATGACTTGGATCGCTCCCCGTCACTTTACTCTCAACACCATTACGGGCTCCCAGGCCGGCCTGGGATTCAACCCCATCCCGACCTTTGATTGGAACTACCTAGCTGTCTACTCGCAACCGCTGGTCTACCCCTTCTTTGCGACCATCCAACAGTACATCGGAACCATCATTGGCGGTCTTTGCATCGTCGGTCTGTACTGGACCAATGTTCAGTGGTCGGCTTATCTCCCCATCAACGATTCCGGCATCTTTGACAACACGGGTGCGCGATACAATATTTCTCGCGTCGTTGTCCCCGGCACCGGCACACTGAACCAAACAGCCTATGAAGCGTACTCCCCCGCATACTATAGCGCTGGAAATCTGGTCGTCTACGGAGCCTTTTTTGCTTTCTATCCCCTGACCTTTGTTTTCATCTTTCTTGATGCCTGGCGTCCTCTCTGGCGGGCCACCAAATCAATGTGCGCGTCCGTTGCCGAAGTCACCGCCCGATTCTTCAGCGGCATCGCCAGTTCTGCTGGCTCTCTCGTCCGCGGCCGTTTCGGTGACAGCGCTCGCCATCTCTACAATATTGGCAAGACTGAGTCGTCCATTTATGATGGTTTCGACAATCCGCTGACGGATTTGGTCCGCAAGTACCCCGAGGTTCCTGACTGGTGGTTCTTGATGATTGCCCTGATATCCTTCATCTTCTCCATCATCATTTTGACCCAGTGGCCTCAGCTAGACACTCCTGTCTGGACCATCTTCTTCGTCATTGCACTGAACCTGATTTTCCTCATCCCCATGTCCTACCTATATGCCATCTCTGGTACCACTGAAGGACTCAACGTTGTGACCGAGCTTATCGTCGGATATGCTCTTCCTGGTCACCCCGAAGCCCTCATGTTCGTCAAGGCGTTTGGTTACAACATCAACGGTCAAGCCGACAACTACATTTCTGACCAAAAGATGGGTTTCTACGCAAAGCTGCCCCCGCGTGCCATGTACCGTGGCCAGGTCCTCAGCTCCGTTGTCTGCAGTTTCATCGCGTACGCTGTCGTTCAGTTCGCCGATACCCAGATTCCTCACATTTGCGACCCTCATCAAGAGTCCAAATTCACATGCGCCAATGGTTCCCAAGTCTACTTTTCTGCGTCTGTGGTGTGGGGTGCCATTGGTCCTGCTCGCATCTTTTCGCAAATCTATCCTGCCCTCAAATACTGCTTCCTACTCGGCTTTCTCTTGGCCGTTTTCTGGTGGGTGGGCAAGCGCTTCGGCAGCCACGTCCGCAACGCCGCCAAGAATGCGCTCCCTGGCGCCATCTACACGCCCCTCAATCTCGTCTTCTTCAAGCCCTTGTCTCTTCTCAAGAATATTCACCCTTCCTTGATCATGAATGGTCTCCTCTTTTGGGCCCCCAACAACCTTTCGTACTTTACTGGTGGTGTATATGTCTCGTTTGCCTTTATGTACTACCTCAGACGGTACAAGACTGCTTGGTGGGAAAAGTACAACTATTTGCTCTCGGCGGCTTTGACGGGCGCCGTTGCGTTTTGCGGCATCATTCTCTTCTTTGCGGTGCAGTATCACCCCAAGGACATTCACTGGTGGGGAACCGACATTGTCGGAAACACCATTGATGGGCGCGGCCTCGACGATGCGCAAGTTGCTCTCCTTTCTACGAATAGTACCTTTGGCCCGTCCACGTGGCACTAGGTCAGAGTGGTTTGGTGGTGGTGGTGGTGGTGGGCGGTGCGACGTTGTGTAATGAAAGTCTTTTTTTTTAGGATTGGAGGGAGGTGTTGTGGCGACGGAGGTTTATATAGTGCGAGTCCTGGAAATTGTCTGCATGATAGCGAATATACCCTGTGATTATTCTCTTCATCTCGAAGACGCCGTCTGCTCCCAATGTCTTTGCCACGTTGATCTGTAAAGTGCCGAATGCTTTGCTCAGCTACTCGCAGCCACTTACTTGGCTCTTTGGTCGAGAATAGTCACTTTCATGTCAATGGCGACAAATTAAGCAAAAGCGTCACTCGATTCATCAACCACCTGCATACACTAGTCTTGACTTGACTATAAATGCTTCAATCATCATGGTAATGTACAGCATTCTTTAGGTACTTCTAGGAAATCAGTATGTTACAGTTGCTATGCCATGCCAAACCTCAAAACCACAATCTAGCGTCCCAAATCAAGCATCATAAAGCTCATCGCCGTCGCTATCGTCGAAGCTCGATTCACTGCTTTCTTTGCGCCCATCGTCGCCTGCCTCATTCGTGTCGGCACCCTCGCTAGGGGTCGCCGTCTCATCGTCGTCCTGCCCCATCATGGCAGCTAGTCGAGCAGCTCTGCCCTCCTTCTTTCGGGGCACAGGGGCTACTATCGTTAGCAAAGTGATGACTACTAGTGTTATCGCAGTGGAATGCGCTTACCTCGCCCGTTTTCTTGTACATAGAAGCGTCGCAATAAGGCAACGGCATCGTCACGTCCCCAACCTCCCTCAATCTCATACCCCCGCTCGACATTACCGCCATCACCTCCACCAGGAGGAAACGACACACCTAGGCTACCTCCCGTGCCATCGGGCAGCTGGATAGGCTTGGCAATGGGGTGCGCGCTCGCCGTCTGGCCGTCCTCCCTAACCGGCAGCGAGTTTGCGTGCAGGCTAAAAACGCCGCCAGTGCCTCCAAATTTGTCATTGACAGCGCCAAAGTAGACCTTTCTGATCTTGAGCTGGCGCAGCAGCGAGGCACACATGATGCAGGGTTCCACGGTGACGTAGAGCACGCTCTCGGAGACAATGGACCTGTCTACACGTTCAATGTCGAGCATCTTTTGTCCATAAGGGTATAGGTGTCCTTTTTTGCCGTCCTCGTTGCCTTCATGAGGCGACACATCCGTGGACAGCGTTTCCGAGATGGCGTCGGGTAATTCTATCTCATCTGGGGCTTCTTCCTCACCTGCCGCCACTTGAGCAGCCCTCTCTTCTTCACTGGCTGCCAAGCGAGCAGCCTTTTGCTCTTCCTCTCTGTCCGTCAGCTCCTTGGGTTTGAGGCGAGTTGTGCGCGGGCCTTCTTTGTTCGGGTAGGAGAATAAGGCGGCAAGAGCCATGTACTCTGCATGGCGTGTGCCGTTGCGGGTGACGTTGGTGGCATTCATCCCTCTGGCAATGACCTTGCCGTCGTGGACCAAAACGCAGCCGACAGGAGTTTCGTTGATTTTCAAGGCGAGGCGGGCCTGTCATGTTAGCTTTGGCAGAAGAAGAGCGGTAAATGTCAGGCAGCTTACCATATCCAGGGCCTCACCGATGAATCGCAGATGCTGGGCGCGTTCAGCGGCAATGACAGGGTCATTGAGGAAGCTGTAATCGATTTCCGGTTGTTCGTCAGCTTCGACGGGCTCTTGAACAACCAGGGCCTCGGGCGTCTTGATTGCAGCGCACTTTTGAGGCGAATCTGCAATCTTGAGGCTGGCCAGGGAGTCTGTGAGCCTCTCGGGGGGCACATTTTCCTTGTTTTCCTCCTTGGGCTGGATGTGGGATGAGGCGACGGGGGCCTTTTGGGTTGGTCGCGTCTGCTCCGTCAAAGGCTGAGGAGGAGCCATGGTCGTATCGTCTGTCGTGATGAGGTCTTTTCTTTGGTTGACATCTGCAGCAACGGCGGCTGTATTTCCCAGGATGGTGGCCTCGTGTCTTTGCTTATTGTCTGCAGCAACGGCTGTATTCCTCAGAATAGTTGCCTCGTCGTCGTGAGCGTGCGACTTGACAATGTCTGAAAAGTCGCCGTTGAGAGCCTGAGACCAGTCGTCGCTGTGGTTTCCGATACCAGGAGCAGTAACAGTAGCAGCAGAAGGACTGCCAACGTGATTGAGCGAAGGTGGGGGAAAGTCCTTTGCGGACGATGCTCCGTTTGCATTGCCGTTAGGGAAGCTGCTGTCGACATGTTGGCCGCCAGCTGGCGAGGAGCCTCCAGACCCGTCGGCAGCTGGCAGCGGTTTGCGCAGGAGCCGGCGCATGGCGTTGCGAATGCCGTTGCGGATACCACCCAGCTTCACTGACTTGGGGCTACTCATGGCTGTGGCGCCGCAAGGGCTGTCAATCGAACGCTTTGAAACCAGTATATCGCCAAAGAATCATGCAAATCAGCTCGTCATCCAAACTATGGCCCGAAAGGAAAAACAGAAGCAAAGGAGAAGCAAGGTCGCGTTTGTCCGACCCAGTCCTTTGTGCTGGAAATCAGTGTCCTGGATAATTATTCCGTTTGCGCAATGTATCGTATCGAGAATAAAAAAAAAATCAATCAATCGAAACGGTAAAACGATTGTGCGACGTCGCGTCCCCGCGAGAACAGAGGCAAATCGTACGCAAGCGTGCCCAATATGACGGTGATTGGGCTGTATGTTTTGTGTTGCCTCACTTACAACGCTGCAGTATTGCGCGTGCGCCCTCTGATGCCTGGCAAGCACAATCGCCTAGAAGAAGGCCCAGAGAAATGAAGAAGAATTCAAGGGTCAAAAACAAAATAGTAACAAAAATCTAGGACATTGTTAGGAGGCTTGCACGAAACATATACGTCCATGAATCGTGTCAAAGGCAAACTGACTGTTGAAAAAAGCTCTATCGTGACGTACTAGCCCTTCAGCTCGAGACACTAGAACAAGATTGGAAAAATTCAAATAAAAATAGAAAAGAGCATACACCCAAAACCCGCTCTGAACGTGCGTGGGTGACAAGTCTCTTCCTTTTCCAAAGGGCTAGCCTAAAAAAAATATTTCGTCGTTGAAGAAATTAAGCTTTGTCGCGACAAACTTGATGAGAAAAGAACTGGGGAAGGAAAAAAAAGCGGGAGCCAGTTCTTTATAGACAAGGCCGCGACGACACGATGCCGTGGACAAGTTGCACCGAGCCAGAAAAATGAAAGGCGGTCGGCACCATGCCGTCCTACCAATTTCTCTTTCCGTCTCAATGTCCTGATTTTTTTTGTTTCTTTGCGCGCCGCGGGCCAGGTTGTACGACAGATTGATGCAACCAAGCAGACAAGACAGAGGGAGGTACTTGTTGGAAAACGAAAGGGTCGTCTTTCTTCACAATTAATACTCCTCGCTGACTGGCCCCCAAAAAAAGACAGGTCCCCGCCAGCCAATCTAGTGCCTGAATAATTATTTGCCAGTCAGCCAGCCAGCCACAACGCGAAAAAAGCAAGCGGCCGAAAAGCAACTGTTTTCCGCGCCCGCGCGTAGAGTCACCTGACCCGCCCCGTGACTCGTCGCAGCTCGCTGCAAGTATGTACGTGTTCGCGCAGTTCAATCTCGCTTATTATTACTGCGGCCTCGTATCGCGTCGCTGCATATTAATGATATGTCGCAGCAGCTGTTCGTGTCCTGTTGCAACTCTACGTCATGCGTCACACGTAGCACTGACAAGATTGCATCTCGAGTACACAAGCAAATCGTTTTATAATACCCTGGTCGGTTATGCAGATCGATTGCACACCATTTCACTATGCACGAGAGCAACCGCTAGAATGATAACAATTTAGGGGACATAATCCCTCTCTTCTATTGGAATAAAAATGAGCGCGCTCAACAAGTAAATGAGCCCAGCCGTTAAAGGGCTACGCACAACTCATGCTAATGGTACATGAAAGCTAAATGAAACATGATGCTGGGAAAAATTGTGGCGAAGCCACCTTGAAAGTAAGAAGAAGAGAATCAACAATGCTCAGGGTATCATACACCACAACCACCACACCCAAACCACCCGCGGCACCCGATGTGAAGGCACCGAATTGACCGCTAAGCCCGCAATTAGCCGACAATCGGCACACGCGCAGACTGAGTCAGTGTACTGCGAGAGCGCGGCGCATATTCTCGGCAGAGTCTGCTGCGAATGCTGGGTTTAGGCGTAGTAGCGATAGATTGAGCGTAGGCTGTAACAAGTAGCGTGCGGGTGAGTAAGGTTTGCATGATTTGAGCCAGTTGCAAGGTGGTAGCGATAGGAGAGGTAGTAGCAGCGGGAGAGGTGGTGGCAGCGGGAGAGGTGGTGACGGCGGGAGAGGTGGTGACAGCGGGAGATGGTTCCACTGTGCAGAGAGTTCTTCCGATGCCGGTCGTGTCATGTTCGTAGAAGGGGCAGGTAGTAGTGTGGGAGACATTGTAGGCCGATTCAGAGTCCGGAAGAGGGCGGTCAGTACGAGGTAGAGCAGGGGACGACGACGATAACGGTGTTCCATTCGACGAGGGAACGGAAGCAACCGTTTGATTGTCATCCAAGCTCGGTTCGTCGAATGATGGCTCGTCAACAGACGCAGAGGCAACTGACGCAGATGATGTGTTGGCAAGTTCTGACGAGGTAGACGGGTTGGTGACCGAGCGATCGAGTACGGCAGAGTGAGGAGACAGCGAGCCGGATTCATCAGAGACGTAGCCACCGAAAATGTCTTTGGCAAACGGAGAAGATGAAAGAGAGAGAGGGGATGCGGGTTCCGATGACGAATTTGTCGATGCAGTTGCGAGTCCAGTCGAAGCAGAAGCCGAGGTAGAGCCAAGTCCAGTAGCAGATACAGAGAGAGAGCCGGTTTCGGTCGCGAGTCCAGCCGCTCCAACAAGGCCGTCGTTGTCTGCAGCAGCAGTGGCAACAACAGCACGCTGTGGCTGGAGTACGTCCATGTTTCGATGGACAAAGCGCGAGGGCTGGCGGTCGTCCAGCGTATCGACCAGCGGCACGGGGCTTTCCTGCGGCGAGGCAGCAACTGGAATCGCAAGCTGCGAGGCTTGGCCACTTGAGCCTTCGTCGAGCCACGTAGAAACCGAAGTGTCTACGTTGCCCGTGCCGGAGGATACAAACGCAACTGCCATTTCCTTCGAGGGGTTAGTCGCTGTCGGGCGGTGCGCGGAGAAGCAGGTGATACATACACTTAGTTCATGCGGTTTGGAGATTGAAGAGCTGCTAGAGTCATTGACAGTAGACACCTTCCAAAAAGTCAGTCGCGGCGGATTGGCTATGCACGTTGGGGTGGGGATTGGACTCACGTTGACTCGGCCGGCGTCAGTCGATCCTTGGCCACTGCTGTTGATGACGACGGTGCCCGGTGGACAGCAAATGATTAATTCCCCTTGTTCGTTGGTACGCATGACCACGTCAGAGCGACTCAGTACGCTAATCGCACCGGCAGTGCCACCGGCCCTTGCGTCCAGGATGTCGCTGCGATCTGACGGATCTCGCTTATCACTGCGATCCGACGGGTCGTCTTCCGCGGCCCTGGTAAAAGGAGACTGCTCAGCCGCATCGCCAGTGCTGACACCGATGGCAGTAACATCCATTGTCTCAACATTTTGAGGTCGAGGTGGTGAGTCACTTGGTGACGGTATACTCTGTGTAGACAGGCCAGACGTCGATGACGCAATGTCGAGCATGCGCTCGTCCTCGGAGAAGCTGGATCCGGGTGAGAACAAGTTGAAGTCGGTGTATTCGCCAACCGTATCGTGCAGCTCATACGGCAGCTGAGCAGATACCGATGCCAATGCAGCAGGCGCCGTCCCGTCGAGTAGCTCTGCGTGAGTCTCTGCACGCCCGACTCCTGGGCCACGGCCTGAAGGAGATATAGAACGAGGAGATGAAACTGAGGCAGAGAGACCGGCGGCGGACAGCTCCGCGTCCGAGGACTGTGAAGAGAGCAAGCTCTCTGGATCGGCGAAGAAGTCGTAGTCCTGGTCCTGGTCCACGGGCGGATACTGAACAAATTCGTCCCAGAGGTCTGCTGGAGCCTCCATGGTGGGAGCAAAGGCGTCGAGAGCGTCAAAGCTAAAGGCAGCATCCATTTCAAAGGGCGAGGCGGAAAAGCTGCCAAAGTCATCCATCATGACTAACGGGGATATCGATTGCGGCGATACCGACTGTTGGGGAGATGTCGATTGCGATGCCGCCGACGGGGAGGATGTACGAGCCTTCTTGGTGACCTTGCCGGTGGCAGCCGGAGCGGGAGCCGCAGAAGCTGCGGCCCCGCGCTTTTTATGGCTTGGGTCGCAGCGGATCTTTTTGCGCTTGCAGCTGTCACAAGCCTTGATAATGCGCATAAGATGCGCATGGTCGCGTTGCTCCTTGGTCTTGGAGCCGCGTGAGGCCGAGTTGGTGACGTCGAGGCCGTCCTTGGTCATAATCTTCATGCCGGGGAGGCTGGCGAAGTCAGCAGTCCCGCGGACGCGGGCCGCCGGGCTAACAGGTTTGCTCACACGGTGCTGATGTTGCGAGGAGCGCGAGGACACCGAGGCGGCGCGCGAACCCGTCTGACTCCAGTCCCAGGAGGCCGTGGCGGGCGATGTGTGCATGGAGGAGGCACCCGAGGTGGCCGGAGAGGCGGCGACGACGGAGTAGACGGGGTAAAACTTGAAGGACTGGCCGGTCAGCTGGGCGTGCTCGAAGAAATCAAGGGCCAGCGTGGCGCGCTTCTCCTGGGAGGAGCCAGGGCCGACGAGATAGGCGTGTATTAGCTCATCGAGTTCCTGAGTGCCGACGGCAGGGAAGAACTGGAGCTGGGCGCCGAGGGCGGGCTGGAAGATGGAGAAACCTTGGGGGAGAGCAGAGGACGTCATGTTGGATGGGGTAAAAGAAGCCGTGTATAAATGATGATCCAGGTTGGCGGAGTGGAAGAGAGAACCGGCAGGAGATGATGAGGCCGGACTGCTCGTTTGTAAGCCCTGAGCCAGTAATACGAGGGCGAGCCTAGATACTTACAATTGGGTATCAGAAAAGCGAGAGAAGTTTGTGAGGGTTGAATTTAGCCGTATACCAATGCGAGAGTCACAATTGGGTTTATCTCTATAGAGGCTAGAAGTCTTGGAAAGACGATATGGCGGAGTTGTGGTTGGAGGTGATGATAGTCTTGGCGAGCCGTGAATGAGTGTTTAGTTAGGCTGGTCGTCAGATCGAGTAAAGCGTAGCCGAGACGCAATTACTGCCGAGATCTGGGTTCGGAGTAGAATCTGCTTCAGATTTTGGGATGAGCAAATAGAGTCGCCGGAGGTAGTAGTCGAAAAAGAAGGAGAAGAAAGAGGAAACCTGAGGCGCAGGCCGAGGGGAGTCATGCAGGTATTTTAGGAGCGCGATGCGGGATGGCACTAGGGGGATATCAGGGTGGTCGCCAGGAGGCTTGCAGGGCCTCCTCCAGGGCATTTTGGCAATCGGCTTGACGAGCCCACACCACAGCCAGGCTGACTCTTTCGGCGTGCTCGACTAGGCTTAGTGCATTTGGGAGCTAGCTGCCTCTGTCTCCAATCATGTTTCTTGTTTGTGGCGAACGAAGGATGTGATTGGCTGCTGTCCCCCCACCCCTTATACACCCCACCGGACCTCTTCGGCGAGAACGAGCCTCCATCATTGGATCATTTCAACCCCCGCCTTTCACCCACCTTTCAAAAACTCAGCGCTGCCACGCAGTGACTCAACGGCGAGCCTAAATAGGAAGCGCTAGCTGGTCGAGGGATTCATGCTCCTCGTCTGCAAGGTTTGATTAAACAGGAGCTGAAGCTGAGGCCGAGTGATCGTGTCGAGTAAGCATTCGTGGCATTATCAAATGTGACTTGCATGTTACTGCGGCATACCAGTCGGGGCGGCGACACATTTTTGTTAGCGCACCAGAAAAAACTACACGACAACCACCACCAAGCTTCACCAAAATCTCGGTTGTCGCAGAGCCGATGTGGGTACCTACTAACAAGTATCCCGTCAGCTCCAGACTAACAGCTCAAGACAAGCCTCGTCCAAGTCGCGATTGATAGCAGTAGCCATGAGTCTCTCCGCTACCTATTCAGTTCAGATATAAGCGCGGCCGCCCCTTTCCCGTCTCCCGGATGCCCTGCATACCTCACTCTGTTGGCCCGCGGTGGATGCTGTCCATACATGCATCTCCCCTGCACGTCATCAAAACGAGTCACCGGTGCCAGTATTCATTCCATCGTGCTACACCATTATGATAATACATGCCACTGACCAAATGATTCCTCGAGCGTTTTCATCTCACAAATGTGAGAAGCAGGCCGCAAAACTCGAACCCAGCCTGGACATATTCGGCCTAACTTACATGCATCGTGACCACCAGCATCCCACCCGCATACAGCCCCTCCGAATTGGGTAAAAACGGACAAACCCCAGGTCTCGCATTTTCTCGCCAATCAACAGAAAGGACCATCCACATATCCATCCGTACACCAACCACGGTGGGCAAGCAAGCAAGTGACGTGACCCGAGGTTCCAGACCGCTCGCCCCGCGCCCAGCCTGCTCCGCAGACACCAGCCAGTTGACACTAAAAATTAGCAGTTATACGAACTGACCCGAGCAATTGGTGAAAGCGCAGATTTGATATACATTGCTGTTTCATTGTATCGACATAAATTCGTGAAATTGTGGCAATTCCTTTTTACCTTGCGAAATATTATATACAGACCGCAAAGGCTCAGCAAAAAGCGACACACCTCATCGTCTCCGCTCTGGCCGATTCATCCCCAGCAAATCATGCGCATGCCGACTCCACGTTCCGCCGCTCGCCGACGTAAACCCAGGCATACTCGCTGCCTTTTTTGCGACACCTGGCACACCCGCTGCTGTAGGCGCAACCGGACCCAACGCCATAGGACCTACCGCGGCAATCCTCGCCCTCATTCCAGCGCCGCCGGCACGGGTGCTGATCATGCGCGCAACTGGCTGGACGACAGGCTCAAACGGCACTATGACCTGCGGTGCCAGCCCCGCCGCGTCTTCCCGCCGGGCCGCCTTTTTGCCTCGTGACGCGGGATTAGCGATACGCGGCTTCCCGCTATGGTTCGCCTCGCTGCCGCTGGACATGCTCTCTGCCACCGGGAGTACGGGGACTGTGGCCGCTGCTTCGAGTACTACATCCAGCTTCTTTTCTGATTCAGAAGATGACGCAACATCAGGCGCATTTGTTTCCGGTTCCTTTGGTATTTCTGTGAGAGCCATCTCGGGCGCACTAAAAAGCTCTAATTTCGTTGGGTTGGCTTCTGTCGTAGTAGGTACGACTACCTCACTTGAGCTATCGGACGGTACGACTGCTACAAGCGCTTCAACAGTGACCCTTGGACGAGAGACTGGCTCGATCTGAATCGTCTTCGGGGGGGTTGCCACTACGGCAATAGCTTCAGATTGTGCTGGCTCCGGCGGGCTAACCGCAGCAGTGGCAGTTTCTTCTGTCAGGGCGGCAGGGGATACTTCTGTCACTGCAGGTGATGTAACAGTAGGCTTTTCCTCGACGAGTAGAAATTCTGCAGGTGCGGGTGAGTATGGTGACACATTTGCAGATTTTGGTGCTGCCTCGGCTTTTGCAGCCGTAGTTGGCACCTCACTACTGACGACAGGCGCTGGCGGGCCTCCAACTCGAAATGACGCCGAATCAAACGCATTCGGAATCAGCGTCTCGATGCCCTGCGGGAAGTAGCCAATGATCTCTCTACTTCGAATGCCTTTACGCGGCAGCTTCGCTATTCGTGGGCCTTGCACCTTGGGAATTTCCTTGTCGTCCGCGGCTTCCCCGTCTTGTTCTTCAAAATCGGCTTCTTTTCTGCGCTTCGCAGCGCGTCGTTTTGGTAGCTGTGACTCTTCTTCCTCGTCTTCTTCCGGCTCAGTATCGGGCTCTTCTCTGCGCTTGGCAACTAGTCGCCTTCGTGGCCGTGGCTCTTCTTCAGCTTCACTCATCTCGTTCTCGTAGATTGTGCTCTTTGTTGCTTTTCGTCGCTGCAGCCTTTTCTTTGGTGCTTTTTCGCTCACGGCTGGCTCTGGAGGCGGGCTGTATGTCTTGCGTTTCTTGGCGCGTCGCTTGGAAGTTTGCGGCAGTTCGTCCTCGCTGCTTGATTCCAGCGGCGCAGGAGTCGGATCTCGCTCCGCCGGAGCTGCTTCTGGAGGATCATCAACAGGCGGCGCTGAGCTCGGTATCGTCACCTCTTCTGGTGAAGCTGATCGTATCCGTTGTGGCACAGAAGCCGGGGGCTCTGGGGAAGGTGTATTGGCGTTTCTATCGTCAACGTCTCCGTCTCTCGAGGCTGGTGGTTCTGGCACTGGCACGCTTGGTTCTCGTATCATGAGCAAGCCTCTCTTCTGTCTTGAACGCAATCGCAGCGTCGTTCTCGGCTCTTTCGATTTCGGTTCTGGTCGTGCTATCACCGGCGACTCTTCTGGTACCTTTTGTCGTGTCTTTTTCTTATGATGTGGTGCTTCCTGCATTTTATTCTGGCGCGGCGCTTCCTCAACTACGTCAGCCTCGTCTAACACTGCATCTGGAAACGGTGGGCGCCCTATTGCAAGTGACTTCTTCTTTTGTAGCTCATGGGGTCGATCTTTGGTCTGCCGTGGTTGTTGCAACTGTAGCAATTCTTTCTTCTTCGTCCGCCCTGTAAAAGAATCCTCCAGTGTGATGGTCTCGTCCTCGCTGGCCGTATCTTGTGTAGCTGGTCTAATAGTCGCAGTCTGACGTTCTGGCTTTCGTATATCTGTTCTCTGCCTCTTGGGAGCATCTTCTTCCTGGTCTGGTTCTTCGTCACAAATGAGCACTTCCGCATCGCGATTGCCTGCCTCTTCCGCCTCCCGAAACACCGAGCGTGCGCTAGCAATCGGATGCCGAGTAATCGGCTGCAGAGTTGAGCGGAGCTTTTTCGCCGGCCTCGAAGGCGTATTTTCTGCATCATCTTGCACAAAGATTGGACTGCTCGGAACAAGGCTCTGTTCTTCCGCTACTTCTTCTTGTTCTTCTTGTTCTTCTTCTCGCTCCTCTTGTGGCGTCGACGAAGCTGCGGCCTGCGACAGCATCCTCTGCCGCAGCGCTCGTGCCTTGGCAGCCATCAGCTCTGGACCCGGGCAAGACGACAAATTCAACGTAGTTCCAAACAAATTTCTCGCGAAACCGGCTTTACTCGGTGGCGAAGGGCTGGTGCGTCGCTTCTTGGCCAGCGGTGGCCTCTCCGCCACAGTCGGCTGCGCGTCAGCCGTCGGTCGCTGGTTCTGATGCAGCTTCTGTTGTCGGGCTTCAAACGGAGAGTGGGCCGAAATAGCCGCGCGGCCAATCGGTCCGGGGCTCTGCACGAGGGAGCTCAGCGGGAGATGCGGTCGCTGCGGCTGCGGTTGTGCCCCGCCTGCCGCCGCCGCCGAACTCCGGGGTGCTGGCCTCGTTTTCGTCGCTGCAATTTGGCGTCGCTTTTCCACCTCGCGGGCTCGTTTATCCAGAAGCTCAGTCAGGTCCTGCTGCTTTTCGCCCGTGCAGTCTTCCACTTGGACGAGCGCCATGCCTCGATCCAGCGAGAGCTCGTCACCCGGGGCCAGATCGCCCTCTTGGTCCCAGTGGGAGTCTCCAACAAAGTGGCCGCGGTCATCGTAGACAACGACTTTTTTGTTGAAGCTATGATATTTGAGCTTTCCGTCCTGCCATCGCTTCTGCTTGCGGCGCAGGTCGTGCGTAAACAGGCATATAAAGTCGTACACGGTCGCTGTGGACGGCGGGCCGTCGTTGGCCGCGGACGGCGAGGCTTGGGGCTTCGCTACCGCGTATGACATTTTTCCTTGTGTTTCATGTCGAGGATAGTGAGATGTTCGGCCGTGGGCAATTTTGACGGGGAGTTGTCGTGATGAATCAAGTGCTTGACAGCTTGGCGTGTCTGGCTAGACGCGTTAATGGATCACGCCTCGACGCCAATCCACGTGATGCAATCGTACCCTGTATGACAAAACAAAGGCAATGTTTTCGACTTTAGCAGAGTGATGCTCTGGTCTATTGTTAGAGATGGTTGATTCTTGCGATTTGATGTTTGTAATGATTTTGCTCAGTTTTATTTTCAAAGCTGGGATAGAAGGAGGCGGCGCTGAAAACGTGGTGTGATTAACATTCGCTTCTCAGGGCCCAAGATTGACAACACTATATCATATCATCCAGCACTGTAGTTTCGACGTCTGCGAATTTTTTCTCGTCGAACCAGAAGTTCTCGACTTCGGTAGCACTCTTTTGGGCCTCATCGGGAAACTCAGAGCCGTGCCTCTGACGCTCCAGACCTCTAGGCTAGAGACGACTTCTTTTATGTGCTTTAAGGAAGCACCTTCACATATTTTATCCTTTCACATTATTTGCCGAACCTCATGAATTGCATCATTCACAATTCTCAGTTTCATTCGCTGGCTGGATCTGTGTTGTGTGCTGAGCCAACTCCCTTGGCTGTTCGTTAGATGAGACGGCTTATATGCGCAATATTGCACTGCGGCAGTGCCGGTAAACTCGTGCCCAATGGCCATAGCTACGGTGCTACGTCATCTGGCTCGGCTTTTAAAAGCAACTTGGCTAGGGTAGAGTGAATCATACTGTCTTGACCTTGGACCAGTGCCGATGCAGAAGTGAGCTGGCGCTCGTGACCGAGCTGAATGTGAGTGGGAAGCTGCACTTGAGGGGCAACAAGAAAAAGGAAAAAAAACTCGGTGCGCTGTCCAGATTGGCCATGAATGCTTCATAATATCTGTAAGCTGAGATACAAAAATCCGAGTATCGGGTACAGAATGCTACAGATGCATTATTTTGTCTCAGCCAACCACCATAATGGGGTCGCTCCCCGAGACCTTAGATGCTTCGCATCTCTATTGCCCGGTTCTTTCTCTTTCTGTTCGGTTTCTACCCATCTCTTACTCTTCACTTCAACCCTCTCTTTGAAAACCCTTTTCAGCTTCATATGCTCACGCCCCCTGGCCAGGAAACGGCACCGCTCTACAGTGTAACCGACTTACACCCATGGCACACCTGCCACCACCGCCATGGGGCCATCGGTGGCGATCGGCGCGCCCTTTCGTCATCGCAACCGTAGGTATTGGCCTCTTCAGCGACCTGTTCCTCTACGGCATCGTCGTCCCCGTCATTCCCTTTCTGTTGCGCGACCGTCTGGGCGTCGTCGACGACGACGCCATCCAGACGCAAACGTCGCGCCAGCTGGCCGCGTACGCGGGCTCCTCGGTGCTTTTTGCGGTGCCGGTGGGATGGGCCGCCGACCGGTTTGGCTCGCGCAAGATACCTTTTCTCACCGGCGTGGTGGCGCTGCTGACCAGCACGGCGATGCTCTGCGCCGGCACTTCTACGGCCGTCCTGATGGCGGCCAGGCTGCTCCAGGGCATCTCGGTCGCAGTCGTGTGGGCGGTGGGGTTTGCAACTGTTCAGGACCTCGTGGGCACTAGCGAGCTGGGTAGGGTGACGGGAATCATCTACTCTTTTGTGTCTGTGGGCGAATTGGTGGCGCCCGCGCTTGGTGGCTTTCTGTACGAACTCGGGGGGATGGGTGCCATCTTTGCGGTCAGCGCCATCGTCCTGCTTCTCGATCTGACCATGAGGTTGCTTATGCTTGACAAGATGGAAATGGACAACTATAAAGTAGTACCCGACCTAGACAAAGATCAAGCAAGCTCCGAATCCCGCGATAGTCTGGCGGCTCAAGAGTGTCCGATCAATGCCAGCGAGACCTCTCCTCTACTGGAACGAAGCGAAGAATTGGGAAACTCGATTTTCAGAATACCTGAAAATTCTGGCTGGTTGTCACAGCATCTCCCAGTCCTCTTCTGTATACGCAACACAAGGCTCTCAATGGCCATGACCATCTCCCTGGTTCAGGGAGTCAGCTTTGGCGTCATCGATGCGACCGTGCCCATTGAACTGTCAAAGATGTTTTCCTTTTCTTCCAAAGAAGTTGGGTTGGTATTTGTCTGCATGATGATACCTTTTGTCGGACTCGGCCAGCCAGCCGGCTGGGCCGCGGACAGATACGGGGCGAAAGCGTTGGCAATGACAGGATACCTTCTTCTTGTACCTGCATTTGGTCTTTTGTCCTTGCCATCGCTCAAAATGATAGAAGACGCTGCCAGAGTTCCATTCTTCTGTGCCATTCTGGCTTTCAATGGTCTTGCGCTCGCACTTATCAGCCCCGTCAGCTCCGTGGAAGCCGGGACCGTGATCGAATCCTACCACAAGGCGAACCCAGGTTTTTTTGGCGAGCATGGACCTTATGCGCAGCTGCATGGACTCAATTCAGTGTTTTTCTTTTCTGGATTGGCCATTGGGCCGCTTGCCGGTGGCTGGCTCAATCAGGCGTACGGCTTCCATACCATGGCGCTTGTAATTGCGGCCGTAGCGGCCATCATGTTTGGGTTGGTCGCAAGACTGGTTGGGAGGAATTAATCCTAGCTAGAAGGTTTGTTCAAATGGCCGGTGATGAAAAATCTCGACGCTCTTTTTGAGTTGATTCTCCGTACATTTTGTGCTGTACGGAGTGTAATCACTTCCTTCTGTTTGTCTTCGTCGAGAACCGCCGTTTCTAGCGTGCAAATGTCAGCCCTTGATTTCTGTGAAGACTGCATTGGGATACTTGGCTTGATCCCTCGTTGCATAGTGTGTTGGTAGTGTATAATGCCAAATCGTCGTTGCCTACTAGCTCGTATATGATCGCGTCATCAGCGATGCAGTAACAAAGATGACTACAACCACGGCTTACCAAGTCAATCACATTGAGAAAATACAGAAAATTACCAATAAATCAGAAAGAAACGAACAGTCAAACTGCCGAAAGTACAATATGCAAAATGGTCGGCGCCGTCGGGGACGGAGTTTCGGATCAGGATAACCCTTGGCGGTGCGACCGACGGACCCATAGGTAGCCGAGGCCTACTCTCCGCGCCCGTATATAACATCTCCTCAACCTCTCATCGCCACCGTAGTGAGCACAATCTGTCCATCAACAAAATCCATCCACCAAATACTCATCATGCCTTCTGCTCTCGAGATCTCCGCCGGCGCCTGGCTGCTCGTCTCGCTCGGCCACACTGTATGTCCTGCATCTTGCGCTGCTGCGGAGGAGCCGCACCCGCGATGAGCCATCACTGTGCTAACAACGGCGCTTTGCATAGGTCAATGGCCGAGACTGGCAGTCACACGCCTCCATCAAGACTTTGCCCCAGGAGCAAAAGACTTGCGCCCGCTTAGGATGGTACCAGGGCAGCGGCTTTCTCTTCATTGCCTGTAAGAGCGACTCCCCCAAGGCTGGCTACCGCGCTCGTGACTGACATCGAATCACGCAGCTCTTCTCAACTACTACTGGTCCAAGAATCCAGCAGCGCTCCAGGACCCGATTCAAAAGGCTGTTGCTGCTTCCTTTAGCGCCCTCCTCGGCGTCAGTTCCGTCATCTATGCTGTCAACGGCGTCACCAGCAATTCTGTTGTGACGGCTCTTGTCTCTGCTCTCCAGGCTTATGCTGCTTTCAAAGCCAACTAAACGCCACTCGACGCTTGATAGTACAATACTGATAGAAGAAACAAGATGTGTGCGATACGTTTTGTGAGGGAGCTTCTTGGTATTGATCTTATCAGATAATCCAGGCTATCAAGGCACTTGTGAAAGGGGAGTCTGCTAGCTTTTTGAGGCTTATCAGAAGCCTATTCTGAAGTGAGTAATATGTTGTAAGGGCTTCAATACTAGTTAATTTTCTATAAAAGCTAAAACACAAGATTCATTTAGGGATATGATGAAAATGGTAGTTCATTTACATATTTACGTCTTGAAGCATACGGGGTCAGTGTCAGGGAAGAGAGAGGAGGTAATGATGTTGTATTCTCTAGGTTCTGTGGGGGCCTCCACAGGGCCGAACAGTCAGCCTCCTGCGCTGTACTTGGGTGACGGCGTGAGTGGCGCTTACAATAGGTTCTGAACGAAACGTACTCAATTCAGAACCACAGTATTATATCTTCTTCATTTTATCGTCCCCGCGAAACATCCAGGCCACCATAAAATTTAATATGCCTAGCATGAACAACGCCGCGCCTAGCATACTCTCGAAACCCACTCGAAGCTCGCCTGACTCATGTGTCGCGCCTTATAACGAGATTGCACGGTACACTAGCCCTACTCGCACGAGGGTAAGGAAAAGTCCCGCTATTAGTGGCGGCGTTTTCATAGGCCTACTAACCTACGGTTTTAATAGCTATACGCTAGTAAGACCTAGTAGCCACATAAAGGAGAACTTTAGAGAGTTTATATTTCTCTTAAGCTACTTATTATAATAGAAAAAAAAGCCCTTAAAAGTCCTTATATAAAGGCTATAAAGGTAATATATACTTCTTATATACTACTTCTTACTATTAAGGGTTTTCCTAAGCTATACTATTTTCCCCTCTTCTTATAAGAGAATTCTAGCTAGAGGTAGTCTAGGAAGTATATAAAAACATTATCGTGATCCTACTAACGGGTATTAATACTAATAACTATTTGCCCTTAGGCGTGAAACTGCTATAGCTAGAGGACGGTTAGATAGAGGAACTCCCTAGGGGTATTCTATTAAGAGTATAAGCGTGACTTAGCGCGTTCTGTGGAAACCTACTAAGTGGGTGTAATCATATAATAACATGACTCGATAGCACGTCTCAACCCTACTCTAGGGCGCTAGTTAGACGTAAAAAAATGCAATTCAATTCAATACATCCATTTCAAGCACGAATGTAATGGATATTATGTAATCTGAGCGTCGACAAAATGGATTTAATAGAGATGGACCATTTATAGATGGTCCACGTGGCTATCCAGTGTAGTGGGTTCGAGCCTTGACGATGACCCTTCATCTAAAGTCTATAGTATAAATATCTATGCTATTAATGCATGAGACCAGTTTGCAATAGAGCATAAATCAGAATTGATTAGCATACGAAAGCGCATGATAAACGCATGACTGCGAAAGTGTTACCTTTTAGCGCGGCAGGGATCTTGGCCAATCAGGTTGCCAAATTCTCAAACTTTTTACTTCTTAGTACAATGCTTGCCACAGACTCCAACGGTTTTCCGTCTTTACAGAGCGGTACGTCGCACTGCCTACAGCCAGAAACTACCTTGGACTTGGGTTGGATTTTTCCTATGGGTATGTTCAATTGCGCATCATTCACGAGTCGCTCGTGCTTAAAGCAGGCCATGAGTCATTACGTATGGCTGTGTATATATATGTCGCGGTAAGAAGAAATAAATTTTCTCTATTAAAATTACCACAGAGCAACCTGCTAACTGTGAATTTTATACATACCTCTCCCAATCAGAGCACATTACTTATCTATACGATGTTACCCAAGGCCACTATTACTCTAGCTATCGCCTTCTTTGCTACCCCGGCACTAATAGCAGCGGCAACTATCAACAAGAGGATTGTCGACGGACAAGACGCCAAAGATGGTGAATTTCCATTCGTGGTCAACCTCCAATTGACGGGTCCCCAGAGCTGCGGAGGAACCTTGCTAGACCAGTATACTGTTCTTACGGCGGCTCATTGCGCCAAGGTCGCATCCATCTCGGAGACCATTGTATGGGCAGGAACGACGGTCAGTCTGCCCTGGGTCTAGATGTTGTTCATTCATTATCCAGACAGGAAGCTTCCCCGAATAGGGGAAGCGGATGGCTAATCATAGAGTAGCTCAACACGAAATCGGGATTGTCGAGCAATATTACCGGCGTCAGGATTCACCCGGATTTTGAGAAAGCTTCTCATCTTCAAAATGACATTGCCCTCTTGTATTTAGAGAGCGGCTTTCCCGAGAGCAACGCGGTCGGCTACGCAGTGCTAGCAGCAGATGGTTCAGACCCCGTGGCCGGTTCCAATGCAACAGCCATAGGCTGGTGAGTGCTATGAAGCCCTCGTGGAGTCGTGGACCGCATGGTCGGAAAAGGCGCTGACCCCATGTCTCAAGGGGCGTGACAGATCCTGCCAAGTACGGTAAGGGGAATCAGGCCGAGCGACTGGGAAAGTTGATATACCTATTCTGCAACGCACAAAGTGTGACAAGCCTTGGTCTGCAGCTGAAGACACAATCGTATGCGCTGGCGGGAATGGCAAGAACACATGCTCCGGTGATAGCGGCGGACCTCTTGTCCTCCAGGAGACGCAAGAAGTGATCGGTATCACGTCAGAATCCCTAACAGATGACAACGGAGAGTCGTGTAACGGGGCTCCCTCCAAGTATACTAGAGTTGGTAGCTACATCGCCTGGATCAGCGCAGCTCGTAACGCGGGGCCGACCAAACAGCTAAGCCGTGATGAGCAGGAAGCCCAAGGGTATTGCGAGGCAATTCGCCGCGGCTCTGATAAGTCTTGTCTAGACCTGTTGCTGTATTGCGTCCAAAACTACGAAAAAGACGGCTATACTGCACTCAACAAGTGCGCGGTCGCGGAGTCGAAGACCAGACAACACTGCGGTTCTGACAGTAATTGTCTATCCACGTGGAGATATTGCAGCGTCAATAGCGAAAAAGACGGGTATGACTCAGTGGAGGAGTGCGTGGGTGAACGAGGGTAACGCGGGGCAGTTATTAGTCGAAGACATATTGATTAAGGAGGAACTCGGGGGACGGCTCTGTCTGTGTCGCTCGCTACCACAGATGACAGATAGAAGCGTTCACAATACTTATTATCACCAACCGTACTAGTAGGTGCTTCCACCAATCACCTTCAGACAGGACTGCTTCAGCACAGGACTGCTTCAGTACTGGGTCGCTTCAACCAGAATGCTTGTGCAGGACTCTAGCAGCATGTATCTAGAAAAGCTAGGCGTGGCATAGTTGTGTTAATAAAACTAGTTCACTACTGTAAGCATGCGGTGGCTGTTGCTACAATAGTGGCCAGTGGCTTCTTTAGTGGTTGCGGCCTCCCAAGGCTCGAAACCACTACACCCATCCACATTTAGACCAAGTCGCGTGGATATGCTATATGTTAGACCTTAAATTGATAGATGTCTATAATTTTTAAGTTAAGTGGAGTGGATATACACATATATATATAAGTACACTTTAGAGACTCTTCACCGCATCACGTCTATTTAGCCTCACTTTTATATTTTATCTCTGACTTATCTTCTAACTACTATAGCACTATATTACCTCCCTTACTAACGCTATCCTCACTATCCTATAACTACTTAGACTTAGTAAGTATTAGTTTATTATTACTTAGAGTTATATAAACCCTATCTAGCTAAGTCTTAATATATAAATAAAGTAATAAATCTAGGTCCTTAATAAGGCTAATATAATACTAAAAATATAAAACCTAATAGATTCTAATAATCTTAGTATCTAGGTCTATATATAATACTAAAACTATTTTACTAGCTACTAAAAATAGCCTCTTATATTCTACTAATATTAGCTAAATTATTAGGAAGTCTAACATTATTCTAGATAATTAGGGATATTATTATAAACACTCCTACATAAGGCAC